GTGCTCAATAGTCCACGTTCGAATGTTGCTTTTTTTGATGTCAATAGGTACTTTATTCTGCCTATTTTGGTTTAAACAACTGTTGAGAATTCACATGATTGTGGCTATTCTAATCGAAATAAAAAATTCAAATATTAATCACTCTAGAGTGGTTCTCGAACCAGTTCTGCCGTTGACTTTTTATATTCTTCTAACTGAAATTACAAACTAAAATTAACTTTATTTTGGAATTTTTATGATAGTATTTTTTTGCAGCATTTTGGATGACTGCAGACCTATTAAAATCGGTTTGGCTTTGACATTAAGATTCTTTTTGTTTCTCAATTTTATAAGGTGCAGTAAGATTTGTTAAAACAATATCTTTAACTATCAAAAGAGTATATCATCTTATTATTATTTTACTGTACTTAAAATATCGATAACCAAATTAATTTATTTTAATTCAATATAAAAACAAATAATTTTTAATTAAAATTTTACCCGTAAAAAAATATGGAAATTTAAAGAGAAAATTTCAAAAAGTTCATTACGAATGGTAGTTAGGTTATGTTTTCGCTTGGTCGACCAATTAGTGAATGCAACGACATATATGGGCGGTGCTAAAAACTCCTAAAATATGGCGAAGGTATAGGAGCTTTTGCCGTTTGATTAGGCTATTACAATTTTTTATTTATCGGTGGTGTTGATCAATAAAATCACGCTGATTCTATAAAAGTGAAAAACATTAATTCAATGTGTAAATTTTTTTATGATCACTTTCAAATCTTTTCATTATAATAGAGAAAGCTAAACTAAATATTGATATAATCTTTAATACTCGATATACTTCAATTTAGCTGTTGTATTCTTAATATTTCCTATCCTATCCAAAGGGTATTTCCTTCACTATTAAAAATTTGTTAAATCGCTTACAAAACTCAACCAACTTTCTCCATTCTACAAAAAAACTTGACACAAACTTCGCTTAGCATAACTTCGAAATAAGTAGTCTGCGCTGGAGTCCTCGTCATATCTTGTACACTCTTCTTCAAAAAATAGCTCATTACCAGCCTGCAATCCAACCCCTTCGTCTATGTCGACGCGATTCACAACAAGCCTCGTTTCTCCTCGACATTGTGAAAAAATCATTCTCCCTCACTACGTCGCATACTCGCATATGTAGTGCCCGTACTCGAAAAGAAAGGGAGTAAACCGTGTGTAAGGCGCGCAGGAAAGAGAAAGAGCGAGTAGCAGGCAAGGCAGCCTCTCGTGAACGGCTCACGTTGTGTAAAAGTGTGCATTCCGGAAAGAGAGGAGAGGAATGGAATCCCATTCGACCGGGTGGGAGAGAGACACGCTGCTGGCTGCGCAAGCCTTTATGGAAGCAGATAGAGCTTGCTTTCATGCTCGAATGTCTGCTGCCTCTGCACTGGAACGAATATTTAGACTACTTCATTGCGGCCTAGAAATGGATATTATTTTTATCAGATTTTAGATATACTCAAGTCACTCCATTGAATTCTATAAGTTTCCATTGAACTTTAAAAATGATTGTTCAATTGATGTTTGAATGTCAGGCTTTATAAGTTCAATTTAGCGAGTAGCTCCGTTCAAGCTCCAATGGTCAGTTTAAATATGAAGTAACACATTTAGTAAAAATCTTCAATGAATCTTCAACCCTCGCATGTACCTCTTTACTGCTAAAACGATTAGGTACAACAGAATCTAGGTTTTACCCAAACCGAACTCACCTTGCATATATCCGCGAGGAAAAGAGAATCTAATTAAAATAGTTGACCTTTCAAATTGGTGAGGGGACTCCACATAGTGTCTATATAGTAAACGAACGAACGACCGACAAGGCCTTTACTAATATTACATGATGACGGCGGACAAGCTTTTCCCACGAAAGGCGCTCGCGCAGGCGTACGAGATATGGCAACTCAGCGTTAGGTCGTTGTGTTTCTCGATCCCCCCCCACTTCGTGCCTCGCTTCGTGCCTCGCTTGCTCACGCGGCAGCTGCATGAGTCCAGACTGAGTCCAGGAACAGCCTCGCTTTTGTGCGCACATTGGATCAGACTCGGCTCTGATCGAAACGACGTTCACATTGCTTTTCTTGCAACTTCCACCAACATTCTACCGTGAATTTGATAGTCACGTGTTTCGTTTATACGCTTATAATGAAATTGTGATGACTGCCAATAATCGTGGGTGTGTGAACGCGTGTTATTTCTTCAGTTATTCTGTTTTTTTATACCTTCTGTTCGTTTTTATTACTGTGTTACGAGCACATATTCTGGAATAAAAGGAAGACGTCAAGGGAAAATCTGTTCAATTTTTTGCTATCTGAAGAACACCCTTGAAACAACCCCGATAACACACCATCAAGATGCCGCCTTATATATCAGTAGTACGTATCCATCTATGAGCGAGTGTAGTTTGTGTGAGGTGTTTTGTGAAAGTTAGCCAAGCGAAGGCAGCGCAACTTATAAGGCTACGAGCGAGAAGCGTTTGCCAGTGTGTAAAGTGCTACGGCATTGATTTGCAAGCCATATTAGCGCTTTTGATGTCAGCTCCATTCTATTATGGTGATGCCTGTCTTTTTTTTCATATAATTTTGCCGTCTGTCTGTTCACTTGAAAGGTCACGCAGTTCTGTAATGGGTTTATCGGTCGACTCATTATTTTATGCTGGTTTTTATTAGCGTCACCAGGGAATCATTTGACAATAAAATATCAGTTCTCATTCCTAAAAGCAATCATAAATAGTAGATTACGTATCCAGGTTGTCAAACACATGCTATGGGCTTATCAATTTTCCGGCCATGGTGTTTCTATTATTTTTGTCCAACGAGGTTGAAATAAGAATGTTACCGACCGAGGCGCAACTGGAAAATGCTGAAAATAATACTTTCAGGCCACCGGGCAAAAAAGTTTTTTTTCAATTTCCTTGATACTTTTAAAAATTTTGAATTTCAGTTTCGAAAGCAGTTTTGAAAGTTTAATTGCGAAAATCGATACTTTTTAATAAGAATTCTGATGGCTTTAAGTTTTTTTTTTTAATATTTGAATACAAGGGCATGTCTCTCAAACGAATGATTGTATATAAAATCAATGACTGCTTGCACGTTCACTTAAAAAAATACCGCATTTAAATAATTTATGAAATACACGAAGCGTTGCACTCTGCCATATGTCGATTGTCGAGTGAGAGAGTGGGCTCTCGATCTTTCTTTCTATATTGCGAAGTTTACTTATCGTGTTTTTCGAAAAGAACGTTTATTGTCTACAGATATAGATAAAGTATGTAGCAAAGATAATAGTTTTCCAAATGGATGCAAAGCCCGTTATCGATCGTTTGTCAAATAGCGTGTTAATGACGTGTGCGTGTACAAATTGTCATCGTAATTCGTCACATATTTATAAGAACGGAATGATAATTACTCATATATGTTCGTATACGTTTGCATTTTGTTCACGTGTGCACAAAAAAAGAAATGAAATTAGGACACGAGTTGTACACGTGATTTCTATATAGGCACAGTGTGATGATTGATGGGTTTTACGGGAAATTCTCGAATTTCGCGTTCTCCTTTCATCAAAGAGGGCCGCTTAAGCACTGGCGTCGTATACTGGCGAGTCGCGGATTCTTTCAAAACACTTTTCTAAATAAAGGATCGAGAGACACGTTCTGCACAAGAGAGGACTTGTCTCATTCTGACACGGATGGAAGTCTTATCTTTTGTTTTTTGTCGATTCAATTTCGTACTGTGCACGACTATGTACGTAAGGAAAATTTATTTTCTGGGGACGGCACGAACGAGTTTATCGATTGTTGCAACCACTGCTACTGCTGCTGGTTGTTGTCTGATAACGAATACGGCGGTAAAGAGTGCTAGTTTTAAATTGTTGAAATTATTTAATGATAAAATTAATCGATGATCAAGTTGTTATGCAACTTAATTTCATTTTTAGGACACGATGCAAGATTTAGTCTTTAATTCAAAAGTATTCAGAGATTGTCGAGAAAATTCGCTAAAATAGTGAAATAACTTTCGAACTGTATCCCAACCAATAAAAGTAACTCGTGAATAAAGCGGGAACGGTGGAGTTTTCTAAACGTAACTTATCGAGTTTGAGGACATAGCTACCGAAAAATTCAGTCACGCGTATTTTGTCAAGGATACAAACATGCGTTACAGAAAAAAAAGATGTGATTTTCCGCACGCCGACAGAGGGAACAGGAATTTTCCTCTTACGTAAAGCCGACTGATGTCCTCACTCATCACTCTTTCACGACTGTTTTTGTACCGTTGCGTGAGCCGATGGAGAAGCTCACAGTACTTTCCGCGTACTCGTTTGCATATTCAAAATTAGTCGTCATGGCTTGACACTATTTGTTTCATGCTCAATCGTTTTTCATTTTGAAGCAAAAGTGAATTTTAGGCTATTCGTTGTCTGATTTCTCAAATATTTTTTGAACTCGTGATAAGAGAAGATATAGCTTTTGTCTGTTTGGCAATGTGTATGTTACTTAAAAATAGAACACTGAGAAAGTGTAGAATGATAAGAAGAAAAGGTGTGTTTGAACAGCTTTAAATTAATTTATTGACTTTCTGATTGTTAAATAATTTATATTAACTACTGTGTATTTAAAGTTTTAGAATTGCATTATACCTGAAATAGTAATTTAATCTCACTTGATAATGTGTAGACACCTAGACCCTGTTTTTCCTTATACATTTGAATTTCATGTAAAAATAGAAATACAAATTACTTGACTACCCAATTTGACAAGATTAAGTTTTTACCCAAAAATACAGGAAAAACCATTTATTTCATTATTTTTCACCTTGTGTTTTTGATATCTTATCAGACTTTGCATTTATTGTTTAATACTGTGTAAAAGCCAATGTGTCTCAGAGATAACTTTTATCAGTACTTTGAATTTTAATGCGTAGCCTATTTATCCTTTTTTAAAACGTGGTTTATTTATGAAAAAATGTTCTTTCTGATTACAGCAAAACAATGGCTTAAACCCACCAAACATCGGAAATAAAATGACTGAATCACCACAATCAATAGGCGTGGAAAATTTTAAATCCTCTACAGCTAGAACTGCTACACCACTTCAGTCAGCAAAAAATGAGGTGGACGATGTTAGCAATAATTTAGAATACAGGTAATTCTATACACCAATTAAACCAATTAAATCTTGCTCATATTTTTTCTCTTATCCATAAATTTTTTTATTATTTCACTCTTTGATTTAAGAGTTGATTGTTGTCTCTATTTTAATTACAGTCAATTCGTATTTTTTATTGATATTTTATCTGATATAGATTAGTATTTAAAAAATTACAGATAAATTTAATTTTATTAAAGTCAGTTTATTCACAATAATAGTAAATTAAGTAAATTAAGAGTAAATTAAGAGAAAAGCATAAAGCTGTAATAAAAGCAAATAAAGCCTGTGACTAACACTAACATTTTTTATTCTCTTTATTAGGTTTGAACAGAACAGACTGAATAGCTATGTCAACTGGAGATGCCGGTATGTTCATCCTGAAGATCTTGCACGGGCGGGTTTTTACTACACTGGACAAATCGATAGAGTTCGTTGTTTCGAATGCCGCACTGAAATTTGCCGTTGGGAAGAAGGTGACGATCCAGAAACGGAACATAAACGGTGGAGCGGTCGTTGCAGGTTAATCCGCGGAAAATCATGCGGTAACGTACCCATCGGTGTTAATCCCGACAACATCGAAGTAACAAGACCAAGGAGTCGCGACGTCTGCGGACCTTATAGATTAAATTATAGGATGGATGCTGAAGCTGATACTCATATGCCGTTAAGTGCGTCGCCACAAAGCGAAGAACAACAGCAACAGCAGCAACAATTGCCTTCAGCCGCGGCATTAGGAAGCCTTGGTTTCGCAATTGCCAAACGTCCCGATTTTCCGGACTACACTACTTATGAAGTAAGGTTGCAGACTTTTGCCAACTGGCCGACCTCGATGGTTCAGACGAAAGAACAATTGGCTGATGCTGGTTTCTTCTACACCGGGACGGGTGATCATACAACGTGTTTTCAATGCGGTGGTGGTTTGAAGAACTGGGAGCCACAAGATGACCCATGGGTTCAACATGCCAAGTGGTTCTCTACCTGTTTCTACATCAAACTTAGATTAGGACAAGAGTTTATTAATAATGTTACTGGAAAGATGGTGCCACCACCTTCGGAAGAGGTAAATTGCTAGTTATTCTTTTATGGATGTTGTATCATATATAACATTTATATTCAAAAACACAGTCAAAATATAAATGAATAATGTTTGATTTTTTAATTTTTTTAGGAAATCTCCAGAATGAAACTTCCAAGCTGTATAAAGAAAGTTGAGTCATCAGTACCGCAGAAATGTGAACTCGTAGAAGAGTCGACACCAAATGAAAATACTGCTGCTGGACCAAGTAGTACGGAGTGCCCGACGCCAAAACCTCGAACGATGATACAGGTACAAAGGGATTCGAAAGAATCGACGGTATCGACGAATTGTAATAGTGTTGCAAAGCCAGAGGAGTCACAGCAATCAAGTGAGAGAAAACCAGTAGACTCTGATGCACGATTATGTAAAATTTGTTACAATGAGGAGCTCGGCATTTTATTTGTGCCGTGTGGACATATCGTCACCTGCGTTAAATGCGCACCTGGCATGACTACCTGTGCCTTGTGCCGTAAGAAAATCGATCTTACTGTGCGCGCTTATTTCTCATAATTTTTTTTTTTCGAGGATTTTTATAAGCCTAGCGAATGCATTTTTTCAGTCAACAGCTATAAAAAGCCTGGGAATGGCTTTAAACTGTTTGACGACGACTCATGCGTTACGTTGGCATTGACTATGAACGCAAGGGCGATGTTTATTAATCGTGCACACGATTTTATCAAATGTATACGAATATACGAAAAAGAATTTTAAGCGTGTGGATATTGTGATACTTTAAAAAGTAAATAAAAAAGAAAAGTTGGTATTTTTCTTGGTCGGTCTTGATTTCGCAATTAATCACAGATTTGTTGTTTCTGTGTAATGATCAAAATCGAATGTAAATTAGACAAGAATAGTAATACTTTGCCTTTGTGTTTTTAGTCCCGGTTATTGTTTGAAATAGATGGACATGATGAAAGTAATGTGCTATGGACGCATGAAGTCTAGTCATTAACAGTATTAATGTATATTTTTTATATAAAGGAAAACCTTTACAAAAATTCAAATATTTACAATATCATATTATTTTTATAAAACAGTAAAAAATGCAAATCAATTAAATTTCCATATAATTTTATATTACTTTATCTATTATTTGCAATACAAAACAAAATAAACTATTAAATTTTCAAGTGTAAATAAAGTTAAGCCTCCTAGTGACTATATAAAGGGCTCGGGGCCTTAAGGTTGAACAAAATGTCTATATATCGCGCATCTTGTAATAAACATGTTTTCATTCATTTAGAAATAGTAGATGTATAGTATACTTTACATTTATAAAAATTTAAATTAGTGATTGGAAAATTGAATTTTCTAATTAAGAAGTTTTCTCATAAAACAATTGGATACTAAATCTGGTTAATACAGAACAAAATAAGCAACATTATAAAATAGTTAGCTTTGTCACGGAAATGTAGATTTTCTGGTAAAGTATCGCTGAGATATAAAAATACGGTCAAAACGTAATCTAATAAATGAAAATAGAATATCGAATAAAATAATAGATATATTTTCTCGAAGAAATTTCGTATGAAACGTTATAGTACATTACGATACAAGTGCGGGAAAGTAGATTCTAGTCTCGTGTAGCGTTTACGCCCGAGCAAAGCGAGGGTGGAATGGTACACGAGACGAGAAACTCATTCCCGAACATGTGCCGTACCGTATTTCTTGATACGACGTGTGGAAAGTGCGATTTTCAACGTACGTTTTTTGCCGAGCGTGCGAGAAAAACGCACTTTCCGCACGGAGTGTCGAAAAGTTTATTTTCAAATTACTTTTATATTTAATTTTATTATATATAGCGTCTCTTCGAGAAAGTATTTCTAGAGTTTTTGTATATGAACATTAAGATTGGTATTGAAGAAAACATAATAAAAAAAATTTTTAAATCATTGGTTTTTAACTCAATCCTAATATTCTCTCAAAATTCTAGTATCACATCTAAAAATATTTGATAACCTATATTAATTGAATATATTATTTGCAATTTTTTTATTAGAAACGTCATATTTTACTGAGCTTTCGAAGTAATATTATTTTTTTTTATTTAAAAAAAAACTACTTTGAATACACATATGACGCATCACGTGCACCATTGAAGAGGCTTCACTCTCTACTATAGAAATCCAACAGCAGCGAAAAAAAGAAAACAAACGCAGCTTGTACTACGCAGTATGTACCAAAAAGGAAACGCGTGCGGGCGTTCCTTAATCGCGCATTCGAATCAAGAAGCGATAAAATACATCATCCTTCTCGAACAATAGGCCCGGTAACGCGTGCACGTGCTGCCCAGAGAGAGCATTTCTTTTTGTGTCTTCATGTGGCAGCTGTCGCGTGGCAACAATATTACTTTAAGCCGGCTGCTGCCTTGCACGCGCCAGGTGCTCGGAGAGAAAGAGGATACAAGCTGCAGATCGTCCTGTTTCGTCTAAGTATTTGATTATTAGCCTTGGTCTCGTGCCAGCGGATGGAAGGAAGATAATGTCTAAAGGTAAGATAACCAGAAAAATAGAGGAAGTAAGAAATAGGAAATTAGTATCTATGTTGAAAAAAGTTTCAGGGTTTCCGAGGTATTTTTTAAAAGAAATAGAATGTGATGATGAAAGACCTTTTTTCAACGATAACCATGGTTTACAATGAATTCCAATAGAGGTGTCTTCGTCCGAAGCTGCAATAGTCAAAGAATTGTAGATTTATAAATTGAACCTTAAAAGAAAATACTTTCTCATATAAAATACGGATTCGAAGGAAAGCATTTTTTTATGAATGAAAACTAGGATGGCATAGCCTATCTTTTGTTTACTACGAAGTAAAGGAGTATCGTGGCTATAAAACAAATAAAAATGAAAATTGCTTGAAACTTAAAGGATAGATATATTAAAATTCTCAGAAGCTGTGGTTCAAATTTATAATCCTTAAGCATTTAAAAATTTAAATATTAAATTAAAAATAATGCAATTTTATTATGAGAACATACAGCTTTACTGTTTATAAAAGTATTCAAAAATAAAAAACATTCTAAAACATTCTAAGGTAAGCTAAAAATTATTCTAGAATCATATTCATTTACAAAAGTGTTATTTAGAGCCTGGAGAATAAAAAATAAATAATTTCGATTACAAGTGTTTCAAAATTTAAAGATTAAACACGATGTTGACGGCGAACACTGCGCGAGTCCATAATCCATTAAAAGCATTATCTCAGTTGACTACCATGGTAAAAATAGATAATCACATAATATATAGTATTGTATACTCGTAATGATAATATAGTAGGTGTATATATTTTCTGTTGTTCACATCTTGAGCAATCAAACACGTATGCACTCAGATATAAAACAATTAGCTTTTTACCTTAATATAACTTCTCTTAAATAGAATTTAAGACTTTTAATTTCACATCTCTGAATTGAATTTTATTATCTGAATATGATAATAATTATAACAGTTTCATTTGCATACAATTATTTGAAATACTTGACTTAGTTGAGTGATTTAGAGTTATCTTTATCAAAACAACATAGGCATATCATTTTTATTCACATCTCAACAGTAAGAGCTACTTTTCTAAGAGAAATTAATTGGAAAAATACAATTATTTTTCTCTTACTTATCAAATTTGTAATAGAAATGACGAAATAAAAGTTCAATAACATATTTCACATTTTAGTTTTTTCGTAATCGGCTTTTGATTTCTGTCTAACCCACATGATATCACGTAAAGAAGATAAATATTTAAATTTCACTACATGCAATTTAAATTAACGAGTACCTTTACTAAAATTTAATGATTTTCAGGGATTTCAGTCGAAAATTTAGAGTCGGTTGGTCGTAACTTTCTCTTTAAAGGTACGTGTAAAAACGCGATAAACATATAATATTATAAATCCCAGTAAAAAAAGTACAGCTATTGATTATTTTATAATGAGCATTTCACCGGAAAACATACGTTTAATCTAATCCTAAGATAATTTTCCTCTATGCCAGCTTACTCGTTTACTTTTCGCATGTAAGAAAAAAGAAAATTCCCATGCAACTCCATATCGCGCTACTTGCCAAGTACCACAACATCGGGTTCTGTACTCTGTCGAGAGGTTGCGCAGCACTCTTGGGTAAAATTAGAGAAAAAGAATTCATCGCGCTCATCAACGGCCAGCTCTCATTCACAGCGCGCAAGACTACTATTATTCCCATTCCCTGCAGCGAGAGACTCGTAGACACGGACGGCTCTTTCTTTCCACCACTGCATTCCGCGAGCGGAGAGGGAACGGCGTCTGCAGCCTCTCATTCACCAAAACATGAATAGATTCCACGAAGAATGACGAAAGTGAGTGGCTCGACACCGTAAACCAACGTATCTCGTATTCCAGCAACACATCGTATTTTATCTTCTCCCCTCCGTAGACTGGTTTTGCTGCATTTCTTCCTCATACAGCTCGCGCTGCACATATACAAGCGTCGCGCCAAGTACGAGGCGGCTTGTTTCCATCTTGTAATCAGCGCGCGACGTGGGAATGTAATCCTTGTACTCGTGGATATTACATTTTGAGACAGACAATTTTTTAAGAAAAATAATTCAACCTATATATATTTATTTATTTTTTATTTCAGAGATAATTTAATTTTCTTTGATATTTCACTACATTTTAAGTTCAATAATTTTATTTGCTTTGAACGATTTAAGTTATACTTGAAACTCTATTATACTTTACAACAAAAATATCTCTTACTGTTACTTTTCACTACATACCCATATATACTTACAGCAAATGTCGGCATCCACAGGAGAAAAATTTTTAGTATAATGTGCATAAGTCTGATCAAATAAGCTGCATTCAACGAAAACTTCTGCGCGCTCGTTGTTGGCTCCTTCTCCGGAATACAAAACTACCCCTTCGTATAAAAACGCAGCTTGTCCGTACAGGAATTTCTTGTGAGGATCAAAAATAGAATAATAGGACGGACCCCTTGGAAAAGAAAATTCCCGACAAAGCTGGCGACTCTGTGCACCTTGACAAAAGCGTATATAAGTTTCATTGATGTAGCGCCAACAATGACTTTGTAGAAAAAGCTGCCGTACACATGGAATATCTTCATTTTTTCGAGGGGGCCTTATGCGGTGAAAGGGAAGTGCGCGGAGGGGCCCGCCGATTCCGAGAAGGGCCGCGCTCATCTAATATTACACTTGCATGGCCCGTCTTGTATACACAAATAGCTGCTTTCTCTCTCTCTCTCTCTCTCTCTCTCTCTCTCTTTGTGCCTTTTCTTCTCCCGACCATATAACTGGTTTTAATTTATTCTTACCGAGAAAGGACGTGGTTTTTCTTCGTTACTTTTGTTTTTCTTTTTCGGGATTCCCGCTTCAATAAACAGATGGTCGGTTGTTCGAATACTGGTTTCGTCAATGCACGTTGCTTTACAATTATTTCAGATTATTGTCCAAATGGATTATTATTTTCTTTCTCCGGTCAAGAGTGTTATTTTAACATTCTAAGTTCGAAGACAAACCCACATAAGTTGAAAACTATGAGAAAAAGCGTACCTCGGTCGTATAGGAGTTGGTAGCAAATTGTCGGCTTGGCTCGATCTTTACAGGGCTCTCGTAACAAATTCTTCACATGGACTAGTACATTTTCATTTTAAATCGCTAATGGTAAAAATTCGCAAAGAATTAATGTTTTTAAGTACCTAATGGCTAGGTATATAAATAAAGAAAAAACAAAAAGATGTTATGCAACTCTTGTATAATAATCGATTTATTCAGAAAGTCTTTCAAGATATATATATATATTAAACACTATGAATGAAAACTTAACTATAGTGATAATAGTATTTATTTGTGATTTCTTACAGTATGCGTTATCTGAAAATTTTAATTGTTATCTGAAAATTTATGCGCTGTGATCAGCGTTGACGCTGGAATAATTACTTTGCTGGGTCCCTAGAAAATAGCCCCCCAGATTTGGTGAGATTTAATACATATTTCAATGCCGTACCTACCTTGCTATTAGCGTACTCGTGGCTACAAGCTAAAAATTTAGTCAATTAGTTTACTTTTATTTATTATTAAAAATATGTAGTATTTAATGAAAAATTATTTTCAATCGCAGTTTGAAGTTGAAAAATTGGGTAGTTGCTGGATGTTGGTTAAATAAGTATCGGGTTGTAACTTGAAAATAATATAGATCATTATTATTTTTATTCTTTGAAATGCATATTTTATGATTAATTTGCTTTTATGTAATGCTAAGTGATTGTAATTTCCATCTAAAAAAAGTAAAATAATCACAAAGTTTTCATACAAAGTAAACGTGCAAAGTATACGTACAAAGGTACGGCACTGACGGAGTAGCCGACGCAATTCTCATACCAAATCTAGGGACCCAGCAGCTAGAGCATTTTTCACAGCAAAGATAATAACCTGAAGGTAGTCAGGAAGTAATCTCGAAACAAGCTATTCGATTTGGCCTAACGTAGCACTCATGGAGACTTATACAGTCTTCATGGCAGCACTGCATCCAGCATTTGGCCAGTTTGCAAGTTAAGGTTACAAATAGGATCAAAACAAAACAAATGGCAATTATAATAAAACTGACAGTATATTAATCAAATTCATATTAAGTGTGATTTTTGAAGTAAATTTATCAAGGTATGGCAGTACGTTCAATTTTACAAATTTTTATATTATAGCAAAGATTAGCAAATAATTTAACTATTCACTAATTGATAATTCAAAGATAGAAACCTAGAAAAATATTACAACTCTATTTGCAACTAAATGATATATATTATATTTCATTTATATACATTTGTTTCATATTTCATTCATATTCCTATTTATTATTTATAAATTATATGCAAATTAAATTATAAAAGTACATATTTAAATGATGAGAAGTCATTCAATGTCTGTACAATTGAATTATTATTTCAATACTCTCTGAGCGAGGACTTGATTTATACACGCTCGGAAAAGCAAGCGTGCTTCAAATCTCATCTCACACACATCATGTATAGAAAAATAAAGTTAGATACATATGCAAGAAAGTGATTTCACCTTTCTGTTGCTTCTTCACCTTTGCTTCGTTAGGGGGAAAATGTCCATATGACGTTCAAATTTCTTTTTTACACCAGTATTAAAATGTGCTAAATTTTAAACATTGGAATTATGTAAGTAATTTGCTTCTACTATTACAGATGCCTACTTGCTATGCAAAAGGATGCAAAAATAGTTCTGCCAAAGGTGTCAAAATGAGCTGTTTCCCTAAAAATTCCATACGAAGAGAATTGTGGACAGATATTTGCAAAAAGTTTGGCGCCAAAACTTATATGCTTCCTAATGATCATTCAGTTTTGTGTGAAGTGAGTATTAAGCTTAAATTTTTAAAATACTTTTTTAGAGTGAAACAAAATATTTGACAAAACTTTTCTAGTATCATTTTACAGCAGATATGTGGGAAAAGCCAAAAGTAGATGGAAAAAAGAAACTGAAACCTGATGCAGTGCCTACTATTTTTGGTCATTCAGTGTTTCAAGTTAAAAAAAAAAAACGAATGGGTATGTAACAACACTTCTGTTGATTTTATAAAAAAAAATATAAATGATTATTAAAAACTTTATATTTGATGCAGTTGCTCCACCTCAAATTAACTACCTAAATACAATTATGGTGCGTACCAATCCTCATACCAAAGACCTTCAAATATGGTCTAAATCGGGCCAACACTATAAAATATTACTAGTCAATCGTCCAACCAATAAGTCTATGATCACAGCTGATAAATCAAAAGGTATACAAAGTTTGCATAAAAAACTATAATTTCATTAAAAATATAATTACATTAAATAACTATAATTTCTACATTTATCAATTTACTGAGAATATTCATTATTTATATAAATATTTTATAATATTACAGATTTAGACACGAAAGAAAATGAAGAAGTATCAATTATTGAAGAAAAAAATACAAGCCTGCTCTCAAATAGCAATGCAATTTCATATTACATTAAGGATGAAACATCAGAGGTTACTAAAAATACAGATATTCCAAATGATCCTGTCAGTAATTGCAAGTTGCTAAAAGATGATGATAGTGATTCAGATTCTTTTATAGATAAAAATTTTGAACCGATAACAGATGATGAAATAGAAGTCACTGAAGAAGATTATGAAAACTTTGAACCAGTAACAGATGAAGAAATTAATTTCAATGAGGATAATAATTTACCAATGAAAGAAAAAAATATTAACCCCAATATGAACACAGAAGAACACCGTGTACATTTGTTGCCGAAACACCTCAACCAATTTTCTTGTAAAACAACTGATGCAAAATGCAGTAGATGTGAAAAATTTGAAAAAGCATTGCAAAATAGTGAAAAAATGAGAATTATGATGAAAAACAATCATAAGATGACACGTAGAAGTCTAAAGAGCAAGATACAATTACTAGAAAACAAAATAAAAGTATTAGAAACTAATTACATAGGCTTACGTAAAATTTTAAATGAAGATCAAATTAATTTTTTGGGTAAAGGAACAAAAAGGAGGTATAAGTGGTCTCAAGAAACTCTATTGAAAGCAAATGAATATAAACTTGCATTAGGTAGAAAAGGATACCAATTATTACTCGATTATAAGTGGCCATTACCAACTATCAGAACCATACGCGCTAATCTAGAAAAGAAAAAAGTTGTAAAAAACGAATCTTCCTCCCATCCTGACAGTGTTTAAAATGACCTTCATTTTTTCATGATTTGTGTTATTTATTATTTTATTTTTTTATAACCTTAAAATTTTGTATTTTTGGTAGTGTACATAATTAAATGATTAACTATTAAGCAAAAATGTATTGTTACTTAAGAATAAGAAATTTTTATTTACAAATAAAGATTTTACAATTTTGTTTTGATTTACGACCCTTAAAATAATATTTACAATCAGAACGTATGTTTAGTTCCAGCATCTTATTGATTATTTTATTAAATTTTTCAAATGAAGTAGATTTATTTCACTCTACTTTTATATAATAATTTTGAGCAACTTGTATCTACTACTACAATTCAAATCTAGCGCGTTAATCGGTAACAGAAACAGATGATTAAAGAATTGATGTCATGAACATTCGTTTCAGACAAGCAGAAAAAAGTAAACGAAAACAATGCGTAGATACTTAAGTGTTTTCTTTTTTATTTTATCTCATAGTTAATGAAAAATTTTATTAATTGTATATAGTGCTATTTCAATTGTAAAATGACAAATCAAACGGTAGGAAGTTTGTTATTTATTAAAAATGATTTACATGTAATTCGTTTTTTAGGTTATATTTACTTGAATTTATGAATGAAGTCTAAATTCATTTTAAATGTACTAAGAAAATTAATTTTTAATATGTTCATATTCCATAGGATCTTTGCACTCTAAGAGTACTACATTTACCACCAGGACTTTCAAACGAAAAACGAGATGAACTTTTCAGGCATTATGGAGCAGTTAAAACACGAACAATACGAAAATCAGAAAAATACACAATCACGTTTGTTGAATTTCATAACAAAGAATTAGCTAAGGAAGCTTTAATACGACTTCATCAATTACCAGTTAAAGGTCGAAGATTGTCAATAGAATTTGCAAAAAGAAATATATCGGTAGATGATAACGATGATCAAGAAAATTTGGAAGAAAATGATGCTCAGTTAGAACAATGCAAAGCCAATTACAAAGAATTTATGAAAAAATTAAATAATTGGGCACCACAAAGTTTATTTATGCAGCCTATACCACCTAATATAAAGTACAAGTATCCTCCTGCGACAAAATGTACAGTTTTGCGAATAGCCTTACAGTTGCTTAAGGAACCTACATTTTATACTCAAGTATGTCAAATAAAACTCACTTTTCTATTATGATTAATTTAAAATCTAATACATTTTCTAAAATGTCATAGGTTTTACATTTAATGAACAGAATGAATATACCTCCTCCATTTGAAGAATTAGAAGAAAAATATCCTATAATTAAAGAAATATATGATGTTGAAAATCATAATTATTTGTTTAACTTTGCAGAGTCTCCACGTGATAAATCAGGTAAATACATTTGTATTATTTGAATTACTTGCAGTCATGATTTTTATATTATTCGTTTTATTTGTATATTTAGTTTTTGAAGAGCAATCAAATCTGATCAAGGTAATTGAACAAAAAGAGGAAGAAGATGATCAAGAGGAATCAGAATATGAATCAGATAAAGAAATAAGTAATATGTCACATCACATAATACCAGAAAAACGAAAATTGCCACAATCTAAAAAACGAATGAAGATTCCTAAGTTTATTAACCCTCTCAAACAGCTAGTAGTTGCATCTACAAGTCAGAAACAGAGACCCCAAGATGTGTTTGAGCTACAAACTCGCAAAAATAAACAGCAGAAATTGGTATTGGAGACTCTCAAACCAAGTGTTGAAGAAACCAAAAGTGAGGGAACATCATCATTTATTGTTAATCCAACTGGAAATGTAGAAGGTTTTGGACTGATCTTCCCAGCTAAGAAAGATGAAGAAAAAGAAGAGCTAAGAGAATTTATTAGCATAGAAGAATTAACTAAAAATAAAATGTCAAATTACAGTAAGTTTTCCATAATGTAAAATGTGTAAAAAGATTAAATTTCAATATGAAATATTTTCAATACAAAGTAATTACTTTTTATTTCAGCTGCAGACAAAGTATTTGCAAATTATAGTCCTGGTAATCCATATTTTAAGTTATATATAAAAAACCTTGACAAACATGTAGAAGAAAGTGATTTGCACTACATTTACCGTCGATATGTTATACCAAGTTCAAGTAAAGATGAGGCCGAGTAAGTGTATTTTTATCATTTGTTACAGTTAAAGAAAACTTAAATGAACTCAAATAATTATTATTAATTTTTCAGGTACAATGTTAAGCTCATGAAAGATGGAAGAATGAAAGGTCAGGCGTTTGTCACTCTGCAGAATACTGAACTAGCGAAATTAGCACTCCAAGAAACAAATGGCTACCATTTGAAAGATAAACCAATGGTTGTGCAATTCTCTAAACCAAAGGAATAATATTTTTATACAATAACTGTCAATACTTTTTGTATATATTTTTATTCGGCATCATCTGCAAATGTTTGTACATATAAAACATGTTATAATAAACAAATAATTATTCTAAGTCAGCAAGTCGCTTTTTATTTAAAAATCCAATGGAAAATTAAATAATCAATTATATAAATATTTACAAAGACAGATTTACATAGACTAAAGCAAGTCAAAATAAAAAAGCAAGTCAGATTTGTTCTTCTTTGATTTGAATTTCTTCACATTGCATTGACAATATTTCTGATTTGAAAAGCATTTCCTTCTCCAATAAAACATTTCTTGTATCTAAACAAATTTGGCATTGGTCTGCCTTAACCAAAACTAACTTACAATGTATATGACGCCAAGTTTGGCAAACATCGTGGACTAAACTATCAGTCTTCACTATAAGTAAATCATCTCCAAGTCCTTTACAGATTTGTATTTTATCAAAAATGTGTAATATACTAAGCAATTTTTTAATGCTGTCAAGAACATCTGGAAGTATTGTTTCCTTTACATTAACAGGTAAACCATAAATAGAATAATGAATGGTTCCACCTTTGTCAATAATCAGACTTCTTTGCATCACAGTTATTAAATTTTCATTATTGTTGATCACATGAGGTTTGTAAAAAACAATACATGGCTTAAATGAATCATTTTCAAATTCTGTTACTGACCAGTGTTTTGGAATCAAAAGTTGTTTATAATTATCTTTTACACTACTATATACATCCTGCTCATCTCTTATTTGTAAAATAGGGGTATATTTTGGATGGATAGTGTAATTCTTTACTGTTTTGGTACCTGCATTAATAAAAATAATTAAATATTATAGTTAAATAAGAGGGAGGAAAATACCTATATTTTTTAGATATACCTTCCTTTGTTAGCATATGTATTTTTTTCAAATTATCTGAAGTGATAAGATTTTCTTTAAGTATTAGAAGTTATTTTATAATATATATAAAATTTATGTGAATACATACTCGGTAATTTATTTTTCAAATACTTTGAAGGCTCTAAAAACTTTGGATCTTCTTTCAATACAGTACCTAATTCTGATTCAGAGTAAGATTTTTTCTTTTCAGATTTTGATACAACTGGTTCTATTTCAATACTTATTGCTGGTGATGTCCATTTTGCAAATTTTGTTTTTATTAGATTAGGCTGTATTAAACTACGTTTTGTATTTATTCTTTTATTTGGTGGTAAATTAGATTTCATACAATTCCCGTTTTTTACCTAGAAAATAGATGTCATCAACAGTTAAGTAATATATTTGATCATGAAGTTGAAATGAAACAAATAAAAACTAACAAATCAACTACATACATTGTTTTTTGTAACACTAACAATAATTGGATAAGTTTGTCCATTTCGCATTTTAGTTTGAGCATTTACTTCTGAGTTATTCTAAAAATTGAATAACTAATTTAGCAAAGGAAGTTATAAATACAAAAACAAAAATAACATTACCGGTCTAATGATTAATCTACCAGAGCTATTACGCTTTATCCATTCTTCAATAGTACGTTGATTTTCAGGATTCTCTTCCAAAATGTTTTTGTGCTGGGACATCCCTTCAATTTGAAAAATGCTCTATCTATGTTCTATACTATTTTCCGAAACTTAAACTAAAAAACAAATTATAATTGTAACTTGAAGTGCACAAATGTTATAGATACATTTTTCACAAATTCATTTTTTGGTCAATAGCTATAAAAAATAATAGCTAACTATAACTTCGGCAATCACATTAAAGCGACAAAAAACCATAAATAATTTAAGACAATCAATGCCAAAAATATTATTGAACTGATTGTCAATCTTCATTAATTAAACACATTAAAAGTATAAAAGATTGTAATATTTATTATGCAATATTTTATGCATGCATTTCAGTTTAGATCAATGAAACCGATATGTATGCGTGCATTCAATAAAAATATTAGCATTTTCGTACACTATAGAAAAAACTCACGTTGATGTCGCTATATTTAAGTACTAGTAATTGCTGTATAGTTATAAAGTTTGCGGGAGTCAGCTGATGACGACGTGAATCGACCGAGAGCGGTTGATTGAAACCCAACCACTTTTACCTATACTTTTTTCTGTAATTTGATTTATTGAGCTCTAAAATGATTTTCCATTGTTCAAATTAATTAATATACACAATTTTTAAATTATGATATTTAACTTTAAATAGCCTTTTACTGCGTATTATTTTATAAAAAAATATTAACTTGCGTTGACTGTATAAAAATTTAATAAGAAAAAATAAACAAACAGCAATCCAATTTTTCAATAGAAAATAATTTAAAAAAATATTACTAAACTCTCAAATAATCACTGACCGTCATGTACACTCCTTCTCAATGACAGTCAACCACTCTTTCTTGCTTGGATGTATGTATTGGCAATGCAAACGGCTGCCGCGGCGTGACGCTGACACGTAGGCATCACCAGTGCAGATCAGTCCGCTGCTGGCCTTTGCTGTCAGTGTACTCTATCGTTCGTCGACTTCATACTTTATTAATCGAAAAGAATAAAGAAAATAAGTAACACAAGTCATGGATCTAAGCGTAATATTGCAACCGCAAGTTACGGTACCAGTATGTTTTGTAGTGATTTGCGCAATCCTGACGTTCGTTTTTGGTTTCAAGAAAACCGAGCAACCGCCCTTCGCCCATTTCTCAAGCATCGCCGACGCTGAACGAAAAACTCAAGCTCATTCCAAGAAAAAATCCAAGAACAAGGAGAAGGTAAGTGAGTTTTTTTGTTAAGTAGCAAGTTAAATGGGATCTTCGTACTTTGCAATGGGGTTCGTACGTTTGTGTATTGATAAGCGTTTTGACGTGGAGGTTATGTGTCGCCATATGCGAGAAAGCAGATATGACTGTATATATTCACACGCTCAAGGTGTGTGTGCATATCGTCAATTATGTTCCATATGCCGTGTCCCGCATTCGACATTCTTTGCTAGATGGTCAATGAACGTTTTTGTTGGAGAGCTCTCCTACCTAGAGCTCTTTGCTTTCATTTGAAAGAACTGTATGGAATAACGCGACTTAATTTGAGAAAAAATGCATGCACGAGGCATTGCACGGTTGCAAGTCATCTAAATAAATCTTTTCTACTTCGTTTTTTTGCATGTATTACGTGTTCTAATTAACAAATCGCGTTCTTTCTTTCGTATACTTTTGATTTCAAAAGAATATTGTCGAGATACGCAAAAGCTTAGCCTACTTCTCCGTTGAATGGAAAACTCGACAGTAATCATTGTACAAAGTATCTCTATAATGAAAATGGCTTGATCGTGAATCAATATAAATCACGTCGCGAAATCTCGGCCGCATGACTGTACACGTGGGTCGCCTCTGCCACTCTCTAGTTCTCTCTCCATAATAAATGCCAAGTTACAAGAAAAAATTTTTTGGTGCCATATGGCAACACGCCACGCATGCACACGCATAGCGAAGCGAAGGCCTTAATCAGCTGGCGAATATGTCGCGTAACACCGAGAATTTCTTCCAGATGCTTGTTTTCTTGTAGAGACTTTTGATATTTTTTTGCAAAAGTTGAACATTTAATTGCGTGGGAATGACTGGGATTGTATGTAAACATTTATGGACTGTTCAGTCGATTGCTTTGTCTGTTGAAAAGCATAACATAAACATTTTCATAAATATTTATTGCAAATAACTAAATTATTCAGTAAAATATAAATTTCTTTTACATCGTCGCGCAATGTTATAAAAATTCCCTAGTTGGAGCATTCGCAAATGGAGCTGATTATTGTTACGCTTGCTTAGTAGAGCGTGAATTGTATTTCTGAAAAGTAAAAACATTTTTCTCATAAAATGGAAGAATTAAAAATTATTTAATTTAAAACCACCGTGAAGAAAATTATTTTTTTTAATATTATTCTGCTAAACAATACTTTCATGTATTTTATAAATTCTGATATGATTCAATTACATTTCATTATATCAACCAAAATAAATTTTTTTTTTTTACATTATACAATTTTTTAATCATAAATTTAATTGATTCTAGTTCCATAATCGAAAACAACATTATTTCATTTCAAATTTCCTTTTGTTAGTCTAGAAATAAGAGCTTTTGTTTCGCGAATATCAGTTAAATTCTAGAATTAACACAAATGGGAAAGCTTCCAATTGGCGCTTATATTTAACTAGTTATTTTTGTTAAATTACAGCGAGCAGCCAATGGTCAAGTGACAACGGAAAAGGCCAGTCCATCGAAAAAATCGACTCCCAAAACCGAGACATCGGCCAAAAAGAGTAATAAGTCCGACGAGATTGACGGTAAAATCAAGGAACGTAAACAGGACGACAACAAGACTTCCAACAATAAGAAGGAGAAATCTCAAGAGGTTAAGAACAAGGAGAATAAAGTGGAGCAGACAAAAAATAAGAAGAACTTGAAGAATTCACTTCAAGAGAAACCTGTTGATTACGATGAAGGTACTGTTATTATTTTAATTGTGGAATCAGTTTTACAGTGATTACAAATTTGTAATTACTGACAAAGTTTTTTTTACTTTTTCAGGTGACTGGGAACTCGCCTACTCTCGTAAAGAAAAATTAAAAAAGAAGAAAGAAGAAGAGACACCTTCTAAAAAATCAAAGAAATCCAAAAAAGCTGAGAATGAGCCTGCTAACAATAAGGAACATGAAAAAACTGAAGTAAAGGATAAAGTTGCTAAAGAAACCGAAAATAAGGAGTTGAAGGAGAAAGATAGCAAAGCTATTTTGATCTCTAACAAAAACGTTGAACAAGATAAAGTGGTTGAAAAGGTTGAGGAAGTTGAAAAAGTACAATTTTTTGCAACTGTAAGTATTTATCTCAGCGCATTATTACTTTTCTAAAATTATAATTTTCGTTGATTCATTTAACTATAATGTAACTTGAACATGATCAATTTGACAATGAAAAGGTTTCAATGGTTTAAAGTAAAGTACAAACAAATTATCTGTTTGAGATACCAATAATATTACAACATTTTTTCATTCATGAAACTTTGTATATTTATCAAATCAAAACATTTTTATTAGGAATCACCGAAAGTAGAGAAAGAGGAGAAAAAGTATAATAAGGGCAAGAAGGCCAAGAAAAACATAGAAGCCGACTCAGTAAAACCGATCTCCGAAACATCACCGAAACCTGATAATGTGACCGCTGAACCTGCCGTTGAAAATAAGCCTGTCGAAACTCTCGCCAAAGTTGAGATGGTTGTGATTGAACAGAGTGATGAGAAGGCTGGAGTTATTGCATTTGACGAATTAGGAGGTATTACTCAAAACTTCTATTATGTTCAATTCAACTATGCAATTACTTTTAAAGTTTAACAATTTTTTTAACTTTTAATCCTTAGAGTCACAGCTTTATTTGAAAATTTAGCATTTGCAGTTCTATCAATATTATTAACTCGAATATAATTCAATCAAATCTGACATTTGACTTTTCAAGCATTTAAATTTGCAAAATATAGATTGTTCAATTGATTTATGTAATTTAAAGATCTAATCTAGTTTTCATTTAATTTTGCTTATGTTTTGAAGTTATTTATCATTGTCTGCTATAGCGGAAGCTATGACTAAGGGTTGATATGAATGCTAATTTATATTTTATGCAATTGAAACTTTTATTTATAATTTATCAAGCTAAATCATTTAATATTTGCCAATAATATAATTTTGAAATTGAATGAAGACAATTTTCTAAATTTCACAGACGTCTGGAAGGAAGCGAAAGCCCCAAAAAAGAACAAAAAGAAAACTCGTAAGGACAATTGAGGATAAATTATTGGCCGTTGAAAATATAGACAAGTTCCTTGCCCCTCAGGGATAATCAAACGAGATTTTCATCTCGTTTTCTCCCATGTATATATGCAAGAAAACTTCAAATAAGTAAATTCTTATTAGGAGAGCTCGACGACGACAAAAAGCTGCCTTAATATATTTCTCATTAAGAGAAATAGGCATATACATGTTTTTTTTTTCTAAATGCAGCTCTTTATCCAAAATTTTGCTAGGTAAAATTTAACGTTGAGAGTTATTTTATCTCTTTTTGTATTGTAGTCACTGTGTCAGTACAGAAGTTCGAAAATTTCATAGTCAAAAATATCAATGTGGATGACATTAAAGGAATCCTCTTGATATTTTATTTGTTTTAAAAAGTCGTTGTTCGTGTTTTGTAGCAATTCGGGATCAATAGTTTATATAACTAATGGAATGTTTATAGAAAAGCGTGTCAAGTGAACTAACACCTTTTTATTTCATTTTTTTAATGTAAAAGTGTTTGTTGTATTGTCTACATGAGGTAACTTGATTATAGTTAAGGAACTTATTGATAGTTTTGATGTTCATGAGTCTAGTTAAATGAGTTGTTAAATTTAGAAAGAATTCATAAAAATGTTTTTTTTTACAACAGTTTTATGTCGTTTGAGCCGAATTAAAAAAAAATCTTTAAATGTTGACAAAAATTCAGATCAACTATTGTATCATATTAAACTTAGTTTTCAGAAAGTACAACGATTTATTACAAATCAACAGTTTCTAAGATTATTATTGATAATTATTACTGTATCTTTAATAAAGATTCTTTATTGTTATTATTATATTACGCATGCACTAATGTTTGAGTATGATAGTCATATAGATGTTCGCATGTGTAATAAATAGCGAAAAGGGCAAGAATTCTATTCAAGAATTCGGTTACTTTGTTGTATCACTTGATCTGCGGTAAGCTGACGCGAGATGTAAAGTTGTATAAAATGTAAGAATTTCGAACTGGAAAGTGGATAAATATAACTGTAGAATTTTATAATTAACATTTATTGACAACAAATATTTATTCAAAATGATGTAAAAATGTTCGTTTCAGCTCCCTGATGATAAGAAATGATATTATAATCATTATACATAGATTGTCGACGTAAATTAATTCACTATCTTGAACAAATTACAAGATATATTTCAACATGCCATAATTTTCCAGCTTATTCCAAAATGTTTTATATTTAAAAATAGTTAGCAATCGCTTGATTCTGCCGTAACAATTAAAAATGCTAAGAATATTTTGATTAAAAATTCTTTTATGGTTCAATGGTATACAGATGTTTCAGAAATCATTGAGTCATCATTGAAGTTCTATCGTAATAATATACAAAGTTGCTGTGTCTACTGCACTTTGATACTTATTTGATAATGTCAAAGGTTATTACAAGCATACTATATACAAGTATGAGATAATCGCTTTTTATATATTAATGTGTGCTTTTATAAATATATACAGCTAAACAGATGTTTATAATGCAAAATAAATCTCTATCGTACTTAAATTAACGAAAATAAGTACGAAGGAAGCGACAGCATTAATTGATGATTTAATCTTTGCCAAAGGCTGTTTAGGTAGCACTGATTTTGAATGTGAAATATTTTTGTATAAGCCGATTATTGTTTATTTATGTAAGTATTTACTCTGAAAGTTGAAATAATTATTACTCAAGTTTTTCATAAAAGACAAAAACGTAATATGGAAAAGCCGTTTGAGTGGTTTGATTTTGAAAAATGTATAACCTTCAACAAATTTTTTATAATACTAATAATCGTATCGGAACTGTACATAGCACCTTGGGTAAATATTATGTAGATGTTGTATCAAAACAGTGACTGATGATTGTGTTTAAATTAGAAACAATACAAAAATGTGCAAAATTTCACAAAAAAAAAAACTGCTGAGTCAAACATATTGCAGCTACTGTAAATATGTACATTAAACAAAATATTTGGAAAGAACGGCAAATACTCAACAGTTTTCAGTTTTTTAATGAAATAAATATTATTTACTGTTATCCACGATCAAAGACTTTTAAAGTTGAGTACTTGCAGTTCTATTAGGAAGACTGTCTGAAGCTATGGTGTTTGCCCGATGAGACTGAACATTCCATTTCTCCGCTTTAATATATATACTAAGGGAGAATATTTAAACTCGAAAAAAAAACTTTCATTGGTACCCATAGTCTTCCAATAAACATGGATAATTCAGACTAATTCCTATTTGATATTACGTGTATCTATAAACAATTAATAACGTTGTAAACACGTTGAAGCAGGGGATTGTGAAAATAAATAAAATAAAATGTTTGCTGATACAGATATCTTTTTCGATATTATCGCTAATGTATTTATCAAACAAACTAGTGATTTCCATTTCTTCCACTGTCATTGTGTTCACGCTTTGACGAACAAGTAGAAAGCATTTTTGTATAAAAAAAAAATAAATAAAAACAGCGTTCTGTAATTTTATTTTTATTCGACCTGCTTGTTAAAACAGTATCGGTGGAAAAGCTTGCCGATTATGCAAGTTTATTTCACAGGGTGTGGGTCTGATTTAAGTGCGTATTTAGAATAAAAAGCTTTCGCGTCAAGCGTTGCTGTGCAACAATTTTTCTCTCCCCGCTCTGCTACGTCCGTAATTTTATCTCGATCAAAAGCAAAAGTTTTTGGCGCTATAAATTATGTAATAGGTAATTATTAATTACTGTACGCTGTGTATGCATATATCTTATAAGCGTAGCAAAATTTCGACGTACAATTGCTGGGTTATCATTTCGATTAAGTGGAAAAATAATAGCGAAGGTGAGTACGTGAGAAACGTGCAAGTTAGGTTTCCGGGTGTGAGGATGATTTGCTAACGTGTATATCTGGTGTGTGATACGCAATTAACGGAAAGACGATTATAAAAGTGACAACAGCGTATGCGATTAATAAAGATTATATTTTTCCAGCATTCAAAAGATTGTTTAATTATTTATTGAGAATCTGATTTTTTTTTGTTCGCTAAAATTCTTGTAAGGGATTTTCTACATAAGGAGACTTCGGACGTCGGATATTGGCTATCAGCTGTTTATTGTGATGAAAAAAGATAGTCAAATGATACATCAGTGCTCGTATCTTACACTATTACGGACATATCCAGATATTAAACAATTTGTTCTTTAACTTGATAATCTCAGTATACATCCGATGTTCGTCATTTGATGTCCGATGTCTTCTTATGTAGAAAGCCTCTAAGTCTTTTAATTTGAAAGAAAAATTATGAACATTACTAATTTAATAAGATGAACAAATATTGGTCTAAATGTTAATGAAGAAAAAAATTAATGCTTTGAAAGATTTAAGTGTTATTATATAAAACATCGAAGTAACAGTACGTAACTTATTAATATTAACTTATTAATGTGGTGTACTGAAAAACACAATACCCGAATTAGTGTATATCGAGCGTTTAAAGGGATTCGCTACATTCTCCCCCCCCCCCCCCCCCCCCTTCCACTCGGGATCGCGATGCAGTTGCGCGTACACATCCTTTGTTTGAGAGCTCTTGCTCCGATGCAGGTGAGCAGAGGAACGCGTCATGCGTGTTTACGATGCGTTTAAAAGTACAGGATTAGTCTATTTTTATTGGCCAACGGCATCAGCCTATTCTACAGTTGCAAACTAAAAAATTGACTTGCGATGACAATATCGTTCAGTAGGTAAACACGTAAGGGTTCTAAATCAATATTATGAATACGTCGAGTTGATATAACGTGAATTATTAGAAAAATAAAATCGTTCCTGTTTGTGTTTTGTCTTGGAGATTCCACATGTCAGTATTGTCGTCAAGTTTTTTATTGAATTTTGCGAATTATAACGTTTTATTATTTCTTTGTATTGTTTTGTAGACTGAAATAGCAGAGACATGGATGACATTTGTATAAAGTCACCAATTCCAGATAAGTGGGACACCACTAGAATGGAAATAATGAAGTTCAAGTATATGTGGACAATAAGTAATTTCAGTTACTTCTGGAACAATACACCAGGAGAGTATATAGATTCGCCAATTTTCTCAACAGGAATGAACGACAAGATAAAATGGCATCTACGCTTATACCCCAATGGCAGTGATGATGGTAATATTTATGATTATACACCTGACTGCAGCAATGTGGCTCTATATCTGTACCTGAAAACTCGTCCTGCACCAAGAATCGAAGCCAAGTGCAAATTTTCCATTATAAATAACAGAAGAGAAGAGATTAATATTAAAAGTTCAAGATATTGTCATCGTTCTGTTGATATGACTGATCCGGAACGTTTTACTGGTCTTGCAAAATTCATTAGGCGTGATTTTCTTATTGATCCTAACAATGGATTGTTGCCAAATGATACGCTTACAATACTCTGTGAAATTAGAGCATGTAAAGGCATAATCAATATTCTAGGCCTAAGTATTCCAAAACAACTTATGACTCCTAGATCTCAATGTGATGACCTTGGAGCACTTTTAGAAAGTGAAGAGTTTAGTGATGTGTCCATTATTGTTGGTTGTAGAGAGTTCAAAGTTCATAAAGCTATATTAGCAGCCAGAAGTCCAGTTTTTTTAGCCATGTTTAAACATAATATGAAAGAGAAAACTGAGAGTATTGTGGAAATTGATGACATTGATGAGAGAGTTATGAGAGAATTATTAAGATTTATCTATGCTGAAAGGGTAGATAGATTGCAAGAGTTTGCTCATGATCTTTTGGCTGCCGCTGAAAAATATTCACTTGATGGATTGAAGATAATGTGTGAAGAAACCCTTTGTGGAAAACTAACCATTCACAATGCTGCTGATGTTTTGGCCCTAGCAGATATGTATAATGCTGACTGTTTGAAAACACAAGTGATAAACTTCCTGGTTGCCCATGGAAAAGATCCATCTATTTGGACTAAGTACCTGAATTCTGCTAATTCTAAGACATCCTCACTTTTGACAGGCTGTTCAGAGATTTTTAGTAATTACATAAAATTATTAATTATATTGGCTCTCTGTATGTTCATTGTCATTTTGCTGGCTCCATACTTTTCATTCCTTGTTGATCCAATGTGTGATGTTACTGCAAAAATTTGTACTCCACACAAAGATATTGTAACCGATGCAGACACTATATCAATTGCTTTAAAGAAATTGCAAAAAAGCGCATCATCTTTTATGGAAGATCTATATGCTTTCATATCATATTTTATCAGGCTTATCTTGAATTGCATTGTTAATCCATTCCCAGCAGAACCTGAATTTCATGCTGGAAATGAAAATTAAGAATTTCACTGAGGAAAATCATATTTTCTATTAAAAATTTGTCTCTTAGTGACACTTTTAAAATTACTCTGATTTTAGATGTAAAAATTAAAGAATGAGTAGATGATAAATATAATATAGATGACCTATTGTGAGTCAAATAACAAAAATATTCTTGTAGATATATTACAAATATTTTTGTAGACCAATATTATCAAAAAGATAAGTCTTAAATCTATTTTAGGAGACATATCTAAACAAATTTTTAAATCTAATCCATTGTCAAGGTTGTTGAATTTTCAAAAAGCTTCAAATCAAAGTCTATTTTTTGGAGATAAAGAGCTACAATAAGTATAATAATGTCAATTTGAAAGTTATTGTTTAACGAAGTATTGAAAAAAACGCCATACTGCCTAATATTAATATTTTTTATAAATAGCTATTATGTAGAAATAATTTTAATAATTTTGCCTCAAGTATTAAATTAAAAATAAAAGTTACGCGTGGTGTGTGTACTCTGCCACACGACATTGCAATACGTATATTATAAAAAATCAACAAAAACTTTTATCACGGCCGGGAAATTTAGTGTCAATAAACTAAATATAAATAGAAGAAAAAGTTTTTTTTTGTAATTTGCAGACGATGATTAATAATTCGGGAATAAAGAGTTATTCAAGTGAAAATTTCTCAAGATTCAAGGATTGGCGAGAATCTTGAGTCTGCTTCTCTTAATCTGGAATACGTAGTCTTGTAAGTTACAAACTCCTGCACTTTAATATATTATAATTGAAGTACCTCAAACTGTGTTATAATTGCAATGTCGTGAGACGATGTGGGCATAAGTAATGAAAAGTATTTATTGATGAAATATCGACGAATAAGCTATTTTTCATTAGATTTTTGGAATATCCACCTTTTTAATAATGATGCATCTGTTGAGTCTCTATTGCTATAAAAATGCTATACTTTCGGATATTAGTTTCAAATGTATAGTAGCAATTGATCTCTGTGAACAATTAAAGTTAAGTAGAAAACAAATATAAAATAATATGAAATCATTATATTGTAGTTGAAATATTACTTGTAAGCACTATTTTAATCTTATTTATAGTTGATATGGAGATTTCTTTTGTTGTAAGAAGTTTTTAATGAATAAAGCAATATTTTGCAAAATTAAACAATGCAGCAGTTAATTGTTGCTCCACTCTTTTCCTATAAAAAAATTGAATTATCTACTTTGGTTTTGCAGAAAATTAAGGTACAATGTTGTTTTTCTTCAGTAGAAAGCTTTATTATAATGCATCTAACTAGAAATTACATATGTTTTTTGATTAATTGGAAAAATTATTTATATATAGTAGACTAGAATTCAAATATTACATACGGCATTAATACTTTAGAATGAAACGCTTCAACATGTTATATTTTTTCTTTTTTATAACATTGCGCGCTAACGTATTCTACATGTTAAAAAAAATACTGAAGTAGGTACTTATTAATACCTATTCTTTCTTGCACTTCTCGCGAATGCAAACTAATATTCAGCGAAGATTTATCTGATGACACGAAGAATTATAGTATACATTAAATGTGAAAACAAAATTAAAACACTTGAGACCTATGCGCAGCACAGAAACTATATATGGGTAATTCTTGGCTATTTCGATTGACTTGTAACCCTTAGGTTACGGATTTTTTTTTAATTTGGCACAATTGTTGTATACATAAAAGTGAGATTTTTCCCAAATTTTGAAGACGATACATTAATTATATCAAAAGTTATGAACAATTAAAGAAAAATAATAAAAAATTTTCAAACGACTGTATTTTAAAAACTAATAAAGATATCGAAGTCGGATTTTTTTGAAAATACTTATAATGCCTTAAAATTTCGAAATAATTACAACAATAAACAATAAAAATTTTTTTTCGAAAGTTATTAACTTTTTGTTTAAACAATTGCTAATATCTCAAAAAGTATTTTTTTTTTTGAAAAATTCTTGCTCCTGCGTATTCCTGAGGATTTTTGCTATCGAAATCAATCATAAAATTCAAGGGCCCGACACATCGGAAAGTGTAGCCTTAATCAAAAGACGCCTCAGCGTAAGACCACGAAGACGTCCCGCTGCCATTGCGACGTACACCGAGGTATCTTCTTTTCACAAGTCAATCGAAGGGTCACAAGTCAATCGAAATAGCCAAGAATTATCCATATATACGATATGATATCTCTAACTCAACAAATATAAGACATAAAGTTAAATAAATAGAAAGAGTTTTTAGTTAGTTTATCTTACTACATCGTATAAAATTTGTAAGCTCTTAACAAATATATAAAATTATTATAGTAGGTGTTAAGCTTGTTAATATACTATAACGATTACTCATAACATAGCAACCTGTTTATCTTTCGCGGATTGTTAAGATGCCATTCCTAGTAATAATACTTACCTAATAGATAAATCTACAACGAGCAAGTAGGATTCGCTGGATTAGTCAGTATTTCTTTTCCTCCCCCGATACTTGGTGCATTTATGGCGAAACTTGCGAGTTCCATGAGCACCGGTCCCAGCATTGCCTTGGACCTGGTCCGCGCTCAGCTTGCTTCCTTTCCGTGCAGGTTTGCCAGCCTTGCCTTTGCGCACCAGCAGTCGCGGCGTCTTGCTTCCTTTTCTCTTGCCGGCAGCGGCGCGCGGCACTCCCGGGGCGTGCTTCCGTTTCTTCTTGCCGGATTGCCCTGCGCCGCGCGTAAAGTCAATGCCAGCCCATGTAGCGCTCGCCGTTTCGGCCTCTCACCTGGACCAGCGCTCATGCCGGCAATGATCGCGGCCGCGTCGGCGGTGCTCCTCGCCTTGGCTGCTGGATGCGGGCTGACGGTGACGCGGATGAAGGCGTCGTAGAGCACGTCGCCGCAGGACTCGCCGCCGCAGAACTCCTCGCCGCAGTCGCCGCAAATGCGCACGCTGCTCTGGATTATCCCGGCGCGGTTTTTCGCTCGGCGAATCGGGCTTACGAAGCTGCGTCGCTCGCGCGCCCGCGTCTTCAGCTGCAGCTTACCCATCTCCACCTGCGCGCGGCGTTCGATTTCGCGTTTACAATCTCGCTCGCCAGACGCCAGCCGCCAGCCGCCAGCCGCTCTTTTCGTTACCAATCGAGAGAACATTTCCTCGTCTTGTCGGAGCTTCGGCCGCAGCGGCGTCAGCATTCGCCAGTCTATCGGGACCTGCTGCAGCTCCTGGAGATTCAAGACTCTCATGTCGGGTGGTACCGGATCGCCGTAGCTCCACTCTCTCGATATCGCTCGCAGCTCTTTCCTCGTCGTCCGCCAGGAGAACTCCTTGATGCTGTCCCGGACTTTGACGTCGTCCTTCCTCACCTACGGACAAAGTCACGAAAATGCGCACAGTGGCGGCAGTTGCACGATCGCAAGGCGAACAACGCTGTCTACTTTGTCGGGCTTGATTTTAAAATCGGGCGAGCATTCGTAAATGGGCTTGAACTCCGCCTCGCTGTTACACGTAGCCTTGCTCAAGTCGGGAAGAAGGTTGGCGTCCTTTCGATCGTCCCGCAGCAAATCTTCCAGCTGGAAATTCGCCATTTGCCCGTGTTCGCGCGTATCAATGTTAAACTTGCAAGCAAGAACGTCCGTTTGACTCGCTACTCTTGTTATGCATAATTTTTGCTTTGTTAGAAAAACGACTATTTTACAAAATACATTCTCAACGTTCACGCAAGACGATATATCTACACGAAGCACTTGGTTATCATATCCGAAGCGATGTGCACTAATTGTCGAGTGTTTTTTGCACTTGTCTATGGAGAAAGCCTTGTTCTCTTTAGTCCGGAGAGCGGATTCTCCGGTGGCAGTGACGTTGGCCTGCGCGCTGTCAATAAATTTCGGTGATGGGCGAGATGGGACATTCTTGAAGATCCCATTCTCTTTTCTTCATTATGAGACCCTGGAAACCAACCGAAGCAGAATTTTTATTATTTTTTAGTCTATTCTTATTAAGATTATTGAATTATTTCGTCGTGTTACAATAGACAGACTTTTTCAAATAAGCAAATTAATTGATTTTCCCCGATCACTTATCTTGGCTTTAAAAAAGTCAGTGTAATACGTATAGGTGTATGAAATGTGAAGGCAACGAGCAATAATTTTTACACATTTTTCAACATAGACATGCAAAAATAGAATCGGAAAGAATTACATTCGATGCACAGCAGCTTTATCTAGTATACTAATAATAAAATTATTCGTTCGATAAGACAGAGTGAGAGAAGAAAGAAAAGCAAGTGCGAAATATCCATTGAATAAGTAACTACGACATTGAGGTCACTGACATTCCTCAACGATGAGAGGTGAGACAAAATGTCATTTCCACACCAGACGTCCTTGACATTGTCACGCCTCTCGATGCTCACACGACCATTTTTATCCGTGTGTACCGGTACCAGCGAGTTAAGGCTATCCATTGACAAATCAGCATCGTAGTTGTCGTGTTGCTTATTGGCTTTGCGTCTTGCCGAATTGCGCGGCTTTGCCTTGGCGACGCCGTGCTTATTGCGACGACTTGGCTCTGGAGAGTGCCGGAAATCGCTGGAATCATCGAAATTTCATGTCCAAATTTTTTACAACTTTTACGGAACCCAATGAGTTTTATATTTCCCCGTATAATAATGTTGAAAATTTTCATGAAAAAATATAAGCGTTAGTTACTCTCCTCAAAAAAATCGTCATAAGATGTCATTGAAAGATGTGTGCTACCTGCACATATTTTGTCATATTTGGCAATAAATAACGTTGTAGGGCCTTTTGCTCGTGGCAGGGTTGCTATAAAGCCTGCAAATCATGAAATTATTCTGGACTTCCTTTAATTTATGACTGGAAAACGACCAACGTCTCAGGACCGTTTTTCTCGTTCAGCATCGTCAAAGACGGCTTCGTTCAATTGAAAAAGCGTATCATCAGCTCAATTAACTCGCAATTTTGAAAGTTACAGATGGATCAAAGCGATTAATAGTAAGGTTTCTAATAGTCTTTTTCACGAACCAAGAAGTATTTTTGATTGTTTATAAAAAATTATAATCTTGAAATTTATGAATTGAGTAATTTGAATTGGCAAAAGTCTGTTATAAATTTTTGTAAATACTACATTGTTTACCAGCGTCTTAATAATGCATGCATCAAATTGGAAGTCTTCTTATTGATAAATAAAAGTTATAGACGCCGAGGTATCGACGTTTAAGCACGTTTTTGTTAATAACTTCCGTAAAAACACCGTTACCTATTCAGTGGCTTCGATTTTTAAAGAAGCGTTTTACGTCAATTTTAGTTAGCAAATAATAAAAATCGTCCCTTCTGTATTTCTCCATGAAGAGCCAATTTCTTGAATTTGATTGAGAAAAACCACATGTGCGCCGTTCCACTAAATTGCTTCTTGATACATGTCAAGCAGCGTGGTATTTAAAAAAAATTGATTTTTCTAAAATTAATAACAGATCTGTGACAATTCAAATTACTTATTTCATAAATGTCGAGATATAATTTTTTATAAACAATCAAAAATACTTATCGGTTCATCGAAAAGATTATTAGAAACCTTATGCTTAAAGAACTATTCCCGAATTTTTTTGCGTTTGATAGAGCCCTTTTTGACAACCGGTAAGCAAGAGAAGTAAAAGAACGTCCTTAATTACGTCTATTGCAATTAGTTGATGTTCTCTAGGTTTTCCGTTTTGTACATCCCAGTTATTGGTGCGCAGCCAAATAATGTTTATCATACCGTCGGAGGAATTATGAAAGTATTTCTATAATTACAATATTGATACGCGATTTGGAAGATTAGCTGCGAGGCGATTGAGATATACACGCCAATCTGTTCGTCCCGAACAAAGCCCTACGTGTACTTTATTATGCAGTGACCACGCGCAAATTTTTGAAGGTAGGATTCACAAATCTTTGCAGATTTTAGCGGGTTTTAACAGGTTTACTGTAAGTAAACCTGTTAAATTTGTTTTTGCATTGTAATTGTTCTCCGTGTGACGCGACAATCCGTTTTCCCTCGATTCTCCATAGCTCGTAGATTCCAGATTATGACGATCAGTTTATCAAAGGTAGGTTTCGGATTTTCTTGAAACTTGGTCTAAGTGTTGCCTATATGGTAGTTTACTTTAGTATGAATTATTATAATGATCTAATAATCCATACTGAAGTAAACTACCATATGAGCAACATTTAGTCCAAGTTTCAAGAAAATCCGAAACCTACCCCTGATAAACTGATCGTCATAATCTAGAATGTGCCAGTTATAGCTAAGACCTTGTTTCGAGCACTCAAAGTGCCAAATAATAAATCTTAGGATCATTTTACTCAAAGCAGGTCGAATTCCATACGAGCATTTGTCGTTGTGCGCCTAATCGCCAATTAATAGCTCGCCATGAACAGACGTCTGAGTCGAGTTTGCCTCTCTTCTGAACCAGGAAGTATGGGAAATCGGGCATAGCTGAGTCTATATAATTGAGGGTTGAGAGCCGACGAAGAACATTCTTGCTAGAGCTATAGGCGAGTAAACACCTCGGTATTCATCCCGCTTCGCTATCTCTATACTCTGCCGTGTCAAAGTCGTACGAGCATTCAACCCGCTAACGAATATATAACGAATCAAAAGAAAGCAGTCATCGTTAATGAAGAGCAGGTGTTGAAAAATGGATTTGAACGAGGTAAGTGGTAGTTGTACGATAAACGACGCCGACACCTGCGAACTCGGGCACATTCCCATTACATGTCAAATCTATATAGACCGTGGAGACTACCTCCATACGGTACGGGCCCTCGGTGTCGACTCGATCTGCCAAAAGTCGCGTCCAATCTAAATTTATTGTCTTGTCCGGCGCGTCCACGGGCAGGCGTTAGCAATCGTTAAAATTACACCGAACGCATCGAATAACAGTTAAGAGTAGTCCAAACCTGGATCCTTCGTCGCTAGTCTCCACGCCTTGTCGCCTCAACCGCAGCCTCCTCTGGTAGTGCGGATCCTTCTCGCTCTGGGTCCGATAGCGAGTGCCTGGACTAAACACATTTCCGATCACTAAAAGACACGTGGTGTCGGCGCTTGCCTTGGACCAGCCGCGCGCCTCCCTCGAGCGGCTCGTCTATCGGCTCGGACCCGTTTCGACTTTACCGATTTGCATTCCAACGGGGCCGCGATTCGATGCTGGTCCGTGCTTGGCGCCTGTTGCCACGCTTCGAGGATTTCGTCGACGACTCCTCGACCGGTCCCGTGCTCGTCGTCGATCTGCAACCAACGCCAGAGGCACCCGCGCGTCAATCAACTTAAATTCGCGCCTTTTGCTGCCTCGTGCGAAATACTTGAATAGCATTAATTATTGCCGTATGCGTTTTCCAGATAGATCCACCACTGGAGGATTTTGGTGAAATCGAGCAACAGGTGGCCTGCTCAAAATGGACGGTTCACAACGTCAAATCGATCGTTTCGAAACGGACGAAGGGGCGCGTAACGTCGCCAATTTTTTTCACCCACGACGGAAACATCAACAGATGGTGTTTCAAACTGATTGCAACTACGGTGAACGACTTGAGCATAAAACTGTTTCTCGTATCGTGCAATTACGACGAGGTGTTACTTCGTACCGGCCTGTTTCGCGTTTATTGCAATGACATTTCAATAGGATCAAAATCTGTGACAAAGCACACGTTCGCCGGTGAGGGATCGGAACTTTGCTTTATGACCGTTGACGACTTTCGCATGTTCAGCTCATACATCGAGATTTTGCAAGCGCAAGAATTGCCGGATTTGACGGTCGAGTGTCATATGACCGATTCAAGCTTGCCTGTTACAGATATGTCCGTGTATTATCAATCACCTATAAGCATAGTAGGCGACTACGAATCATTATTTATGAATTCGAATCTCTCTGATGTAACATTTGTCGCTGGCAATCAGGAATTCCCGGCGCATAAAGCGATATTAAGTACTCGAAGTTCTGTATTCGCGGCTATGTTTCATCACGATATGAAGGAAAAGCACGCTGATACAGTAACTATCTCAGACATTGATTCTAAAGTTATAAAAGAATTGTTACGGTTCATTTACACCGGGAAAATTTACGATTTCGATGATGTGTGTCAAAATCTCTTAGTAGTCGCCGACATGTACAATATCGAGCCTCTGAAAAATGCTTGCTTGAACCACATGCTCAGATGCATTAATATGGAAAGTGCAATTGATAATCTTATATTTGCTGATCGATATGGAATAGCTCAGTTGCATATTGCCGCGTTAGACTGCGTTGCGAGAAACTCCAGAGAACTTATGAAAACGGAGAAATTCAAAAAATTGGTAGATATGCATCCTGAAATTTTGACAGAACTATTTAAAAAGCTTGCGGTACAGTAAGCAGATCTACATTATTCTAAATCTCTAATTACTTTTCTTGTATATAAATTCTTGTATTTCGCGTAACATACAAAATATGACTAGATTTATTCGTGTATAAATTCTTTATGTGATAAAAATAACTATATTTTTATAATAAAACTATTCTTTTACTTACTTTTCTACCTCCCTTTTATTATTATTAACTATCTCTTTACGACCTTTCAAATCCTTGATCTTGGTTTCATATACTTTCTCATCAAAGCCCTGCAAAAATTAAATTCATAATAAACTTATAATTTTGTTATTTATTATAACACTTGCAACGTTACATTTTAAACTTACTGAAGACAAAGACAAATTGTAAAGATAATTTTTTCGATACTCCGAGCGGAAAGTACGTACTTTCCGTAACCTCGGCCAAAAGCGTGCGTTCAAAAGGTAGATTCTTGTATCGCAATGTATTAATTCTATTTCTTTACCTGAGACTCAGTCTCGCCCTCGCAATCAGTCTGCGTAGCGCATTCACGACCACTTGGCAGCCTATACTTGCTCGGGGTGAGTAGTCTCGGTGAGTTGCGCGAGCCCGTAGAAAGAATCACAGGACTTCCATTGAAACCATTCAATAAAGCACTCAAAGCGACACTTGCACTGTCGCTTCTTCTCGAATCGGCGCTTTCCAAACCGCTTCCCGACGACGGGCTGACAACGAGGTTGACTAGCTTCAACGGTGACTTGCCAAGTAATTCTGGGTTCTCGATTCGACCGCTCAGCACTATCGCCACTTCCTGGCTGATCGGTAGACGCAGGGCTTCCCTCGGGCTTCCACTGAATCGATTGCAATTACGGTTCGTTCGATTGGCGATGCTGGCGAATAAGCGCGTTTCGCTTCGCGATAACGACCATTTTCGCGAATACCGCAGTCGACTGTTGTACCTTTTATCAATTTCTACGCGTTAACGAGGTCGATCTACGTTACGACAAGTTCAAGGACGATCTGCCGTGATACGCAGAAAAACTTGCACACTCGCTGCACGGCAATGCATAAGCGATGCGAGGGCGCTAGGTCTCAAGATGATCTAGCAATTTTATTGAACTATTTATAAATGAGTCTATCACGCTTCGAATAAGAATGTACTCGTAGGAGTCAATTAATTGTCGTATAATCATCAAGAAACTCTTCGGAATAAGCGTTTTACTCTTATAAAATCCGAGGGGCGGCTTACGAAGCAGTTTACCATTCAATTGTCGTCGAGCGGATCAAACGTTTCGGCGAGCTAGCTTTCGATCAAATTGCAGAATCATCAAAACAACGAGACAAAATGAAAAGGAAAATGAGCGGTTTACCATGTATCTATGGTCTCGTGCTGATTGATAGCCTGTTTGGTATCTTTATCGATAACAGCTCTCAGCGAGTTGTCGCGTTTCGCTTCCGACGACTCGGCCTCCTCGTTGCCATTGTTGCCGTTTGTGCCGTCGTCATGCTGCCTGCGTCGCGACGTCTTCTCCTCTTTCGCTTTGCGTTCTGCTGCTTCGAGTATCTCCTGCATCGCCTTGCTTTTGCGTGCCTTCGCGGCCTCTTTCTCGCGCTGGCGACGCTGCTCCTCTTCTAGCCTGGCACGTTAATTTCTTGCTTTCAAATTGTTCGACAAACTGCTCTTCGTATTCACGTTCCTCGGACTGTACCTTTGCTTTTCAAGGCCCATCTCGCGCTGAATTCTTTCCTCCTCGGCGCGTTCGTCGCGTAATTTCTTTTCTTTTTCCTCCCTTCTTTTTTTCTCTCGCTCCTCGAGTTGCTGTTTGATCGCCGATTGCATCTCCAAGGCTTTTTGTCTTTTGATTTCACGCTCCTGAATAATTTCAGCGTCGACGGGACGACTGTGACCTCTCAAATACTTTTTATTTGTGTCGGAGCCAAGGGAACCCGTCGTTGAACTGTCTGGGCTCGTACTGTCGTGATTAATCACTAGTACCTAAAAACCGGATAATATTTGGTTGAACGTAGATTTATTGCTTAAAATTAACAAAATTGCGATTATCCCGTTGAAAGGAAGTACAATTCTTTTTCTGACGTCGTCCGATCGAAAAGCCAGCATTAGCGTCAATAGCATTAACATCAATCTACTATTCTCATTTATAAAAGATGCAAATTTTCACAAAAGATACTGATAATATTGAAAAAATATATATCTTTATCGCCGTCAACCTATAAATCAACTGAAAATCTCCATCATTAAATGAATACCTGAGAAGTATGATCCAATCTCGACAATCCTCGTTCAAGCCAAGAAGGAGGTGGCGGATCTCTCGACGTCTCCTGTCCCCAAACACTACCCCATCTCTGTCTGTTGAACTCTCCAGCTCGCAAGCTTGCCAGCTTTCTCGACGAGGGCAATGAATTCCCGTCTATGTAGTACGCATTTTGCCAGGTTCTTTCGCCCATCATCGAGTCTGGGTTGTTGCAATTCACTGCAACGAAATAACCAACTCCATCTCGGTGCGATATACATACGTAAGCGAGATGAACATCAGGAAGAAACCTACCGTGACAAGGTAACAGGAGAACTTGCTGCTGCGACGTCGGCTCAACGTTGTCACTGGCATAGCCGGAAGTTTCGCCCTCGCGCTCGTCATTCGCGCGTTGCCTCTGCGGCTGCTGCTGCTGCTGCTGCTGCGTCTTATCCTTGACTGTGCCGGATCGCCGATGCGAACACCTGTAGTTCGACCTCGACTGATGCTGCTGACCGTTGGAATCGCAATCCTGAAACGCGTATGTTACGGCTGAAATGCTCTTCGCGTACAGTGGCTACAATGAATTCATATTCATTCCTGCTGCTGCTATGCCTTCGCGATACGATTGGATTCCCGATGCAGATGACGGAGAATACGTTTAACCTAGTTCTCTTTTACTTTTTTCCTTCCGTTGAGATTTCGAGTGATTTGGGATAAGGGCATGCGAATGTCGCGAGGCACGCAAAGTTTCGAGAGATTAGTCCGCGCGCGTTGCAATGAATCATAACGAGCCACAGCCGCGCCGTTTAGTCGTCGACTTTTTCGTTGCGATTTTGAGTGGAGTGCGCTTGCTCGGCTAGTCCGAGTGCAATTCAGAGAAGTCACTCAGATAAGTGAATGCACTGGCGATGAGCTGTTCGAGATATTGCGTCGTGTCATCGCGGTCGCGCGAAGAGCTAATCGGTGACACTTGCTTACAACTCACGTTCTGTATCGACCAAATAAGAGGGCTTGCGCATTGCTGCGTCGCAACATCGCTCGTCCGAGCCGAATACGAAGATAATTCTTTATGGCCGGCGATAAAGACGTCAATCTTTGGGTGAATTTTCAGACCCACTTTATGGAACGAAGCGCAAGAGGCAGAGAAAGAGAAACTTGGCCGCGTGCGCACGTAAGAAAAGGTATAACATTGCTATCGGACAGATCAATGGCGTTCCACTTTGCGCTGGCTCTCTACGAGGGGCCGCATACGCGATCGTGTGCAGCCGCGCTCTTCGTGCGCCGACGACACAGTTCGGCGCACGCTGTCAGGTGGCTTTTTAATTTTGGAGTGTAGCGAATACGACCGACTTTCGTTAGATTGGGGAAACTTAATGCCTTGGTTCGCGAGTGGCTTGTGTCCGTGCCTTGTTGAAATCCCATCGACTCCATTGCCTCAGCTGGAAATGTCGATTTCGAACCGAGATTAAACACTCATAACTCGACGTTTTACCTATTATATAAAAAAAACTTTATCGGCGCCTGAAGGGATCGCGACTGAATCGTAGATACGCGCGTACATTTATTCTAAATTAAAAGCAATTCATTATATACACGTAATAACGAACATATTCGTTGACTGAAGTCTATTGTTCGTCAAAGTATATACCTACAAAATTTTCGAAAGCTTCTTTCAAGAACAAGTAAAGAGTTCGATGAGTCCTCGTACAGTTCCCCCACTTTCAAGCTTCCGCAATAGACTCGAATAACTCCTCTTTGCTCTCGACGAGCCAAACGTCTTTTTCGTAGGCTCGGCGAGCGGCTCCGTCGATCGACCAAGCCATCGCCAGGTGAGAAGAAAAAAGAAAAAGCCTCGCCTCGCCGTGGCGTGCCGAAAAACTTGTCGACGCGTAGCTATAGCTGCTAAACCGCGCGTACACACGCTCCCCGAGAGGTTGGTTTGGGTCAACGTACTTGCAAGCTGCCGATCGATTTGCCTCAGCGGTGGTTTACTTATGCGATTCGGCCGCCGCGTCTCTCTCTCTCCGGGGCGGTCGGGGGCACGAAGCGACATCGTTAGCCGGCTTTCTTCCCCTCTGCCTTTGTTCCGTGGCGTATCCACGATTGAACGTTGATTTACTATATGGGCTATCGTGTTTACCGACTGCATGAATTATCGAAAGGTACGTTGACTTCAACAGAGAGACTTTCCGGGTTAACGGTCTAAGCTCGCTACCATTGTAGTAATTTAGATGTGCGGAAGGTTTGTCCGACGCTTGAAGCTTTCGAGAGAGGGTGGCAAAATGATTCTCAGCTGTCTTTGAAATTTATATTGATTAATTCATCAATTAGAATATAGTTGGAAACTTGCATCGATATTTTGTATAATATTTTTTTGACTTTTTGACCATTTCGTTTCTTTTATGTCTCTGCATTACGTAAAATAAATCGACATTCTGTTTTTTTTTATTTTACATACAACTTTACTCATTTATTTCTGTCCATCATTTTCTCAATAAACTACCTTTATCATATATTTTTCTATCCTTACATTTGGGATTTTTCGAATAGAAGCATTAGATAATCCAAAATCTCGATCGAAGGGATTGCATTGTAGACCGCAAGTGTATCCAATACAGTGTACCCAAACAATTATTCGATTACAGTATTTGAATTATTGTTTGGTTTATCCTTGTATTTGAATTTTAATAAAATGTTATAATAACCATGTCTCATGATTATATCAATGAAGACTCGAAACCATAACAATAAATCATAAAAAGAAATAGATTTAGAGATAAAGGATGTTTGTTATTTACTTGCGAGAATTTCAAAGACTGATCTTGTCACTGACTCTATTGCAATTCCTTACATATTCGACTAATTGTTAATACAAGGGCGAACACAGTGCAATAACCGACTCTTCGACGAGTGATATAAACTCGCGAATGTAACGTTGTCCTTGCTTAGATGATAATCATGTCGAGGTTCAAGTGTCTAAATCTACACCTGTGTTTTTATACCCGACTTGCAATTAACTTTTACTCTTCAATTCAATATTCTGATTTTACATTGTATAGACTGTAAGTAGCTCTAAAACTAATCGATTTCATACTGAAAATTAAGATCGAATTGGTTGTTTCTTAACTGGTTTGTAAGATAATGAAACTTATTCTGATTAAAGATCCAAAGTCCTAGTGCCTTCGAAATCCGATTGGAGTTTGTTTCTCGAACGCACTCTTGCATCTACTAGATTTTCCGAAAGAAAATTAACGTGATTCCGCGTACCTGGTATCGATAATCATCCTTGCCATAAATCGGCGGTAAACTGGGGCTTCGACGCCGAGACATATGCTCCAATTCCATCTGATCCTGCAGGCTAATCAAGCTGGCACTCGTGTAATCGAGATTACGCAGACTGGTGGTGCAAGCCCCACTGATGTCCGACGCCAGGCTTCGCAAACTCAACGTACTCGCGTAACGTGGGTGGCAATGCTTGTTGCCGTTCATCTCGGCCAGGGAGCTCCTCCTGTCGTTCGAGTACGCGCTGACGATGAATATCGAGACATTCGCGGGGTGCCCGATCGTTCGTGAGAAGAGGCGTACTTTAGGACTCACCCGATTGCCGTGCGGATGGTGCTACTGGTTTTGAGAGGGACGAGGTTGCCCACGAGCCTTGCCATCTCTTCTGTCGAGACAAACAGAAATAAGTTCGCCAACGTTAGCGATTTTAATTGTGCTGCTTGCCGCAAGCCGGCCGCAGATAATTGATTCCTCAGAAAATGTACCTTGCGTGATGTCGTATGCCGAAAACTCGGCATCCCCGCTTGGATTAATAAGCAGTGCGTGCGTATGTTTTTTTTTGTTTTTTTTTTTTCAAAGTGAAACATTGAGATTTTCTTGCTTTTCGAGCATAGAAATAGCGCGAAACGACTGAGCGATAAATCAAAGTAGCTTTACCGTATCCACCACACATAAAGTCGGCTTTACCTTTCTCCTTGGCCCACTGCATACGTTTCTGCTCGACAAGCGAGGTCCTTGCTGTCGTTGCCGCCATGGAGGCTGCGCGGCACTTTCGCGCCGGCAACTCGTACGCGACAACACGGCCATCTAATATCGTGCCCACCCCGCCCCCACCCCCTTCGAAGCAACGATTCCGTAGCTCGCTGCGACTGAGATTTTCGTTGGGTTTCCCCCTCGCATTATTATGGCAACTTTATGCTGAATGAGCAATTCTGAAAGAAGTTTCATCAATGTTTGGATGTTTTCATTGAATTAATTTGAGTGGTTCGGTAGGATTGACAAAGTCGAGCAATTTCAAGCGATCTGCTGCAAAATTAATATTTCGTAGTTGTCGTCAGTCGTGTACACACGTGAACACGCTTTTGCGAGGATAGTGCGTAAGTAAAGTTATTCGAAATGCGCTATACGAAGCTATCACAATGACAAAGGTTTTTCAAGTCGTTGAAAATTAAACACAGATTCAGCGTGAACGAGGATTTACGCGTTTTTATGTCTTTCGAATTCTAGTTGGACGCATTGTTTTAGTTGGCCTTTTACTGAGCGTCAAAAAATAAAGCATACGATTCTACTGAAACAAAGAAAAAGGAAGAAAGAGAGAACCAGTTGGTACTTACGGACACGATGATAATCAAACAACGTAAAATCAGTTTGCAGCACAAATTGTTAAACTAAATCGAAATATTGTGTCATTTACTAGAATTACGTAGCTGCTCTCGGCCTATAGTCCCTTCAACTAGGCTATAAGCAGTCCCGTTGCGTAATATTAAATTAGCCATCCATAATGCAGCCAAGATAAGTGATCAACCCTGAGTAAGCGAAAAAACAAAAATAGAAAGAAAAACTAAAAGAAGGAAGAGAGAGAAAGAAACCAAAGCATTATCCACTGTAAAGAACGGACGTGAGCTACCTGGCAGGACAGTCACCTGCAAAGGTCGAGGCTTGCACTTGCCGATGCGTCGACGATAAGGCACAGGCGTCAATATTTGCGCGGTCGGCGGCGGCTCGCGGCCGACTGGGATCGGTTGCGCACGCGACGCATGTGGAGAGCTTTAGCTATGGGCGCCCGCGTCGCACCACACTCGGTTGCCATGGCGACTATCGGGCGCCCGGTATCAAGCGGCACCACGGATCCCCAAGTTAAAATATCGATTACCCCTCGCAGGGATAATGACCTCTATTGCATGACTGCTGGTCACTTTGACGGTCATCCAGAGCTGTAGGCCTGAAATTCTTGCCTTTTCGTTTCTTAAATTTCAATGTAGCAGGTGGTGATTCGAGCATTCTATCGAAAGTCCTTTCCAGTAATAAATCTATTCCCTTTTCCAGTCAATTGATACTAATGTGTTTTAATTGATTGATCATAACGAAAAATCTTGGGTTCTGATGCGGTTAATGGAAGAAATTCGTTAAGTTAAAGATGAAATGCTCTTGTTGAAAAATCATGAAAGTAATCTAGATGCTAAAAAAGAGGCATCAAACAAGGCAAAACTATTATATTAGACTTACAAATATAAGAAAGATATTTTTAAAAATATTTTATGACGATAATTATATGCTCATCGCTATCGATACCTTCTGATACTGTGACTGATAAATGATAGTCAAGATACACCTATCGGTGCTAATAAAGGATAATGACCTCCCAGTCGTCCAAGTGTTGATCGCTCCACGTTATACACGCAGGTGTTATTGACCTTTAGCGACCTTTTGTATGCAGACCTGTAGGCTTCAAAGAAATTTTATCTTCCAATCGATACTCCCGTTCATTCTCCACACTGTCCTCAATAGTTTAATCCTGATGCAACGAATTATTCTAATGCTTCACTGAAAGAAACATCGCCACATAACAGGTGGAAGGTGACTTTTACCAATTTTCATGTTACAAGAACTTCTATTGCATCAAAAGGATGTATTGATACAAGACGACTTTTTTTAATATACCAGGACAGAAAGGGTTTCTTGTAGAAAGTAAATCTTTTAGTTAGTCTAAAAAACAATCTTCTTATATAATATGTGAAGATAAAATTCTTTTGCTATAAGGCGACTTTCTTCAGTGTGCAAAAAGAACTTTTCTCGATAAAGGATAAAAAGTGTTGAGAATAAAAAATTTGTGACATATTTTTATTGAAACTCTGGATTACGCGAATTTAAAAAAATCAATCCACACAGGAAAAAATGATCTCTTGTAACATGAAAATTTCAATTTTGAGTAAATCTTGTTATTTAGAAAAGAATTTTGCTTGGTCCAAAATTATTTGAATAATTTGTTAACACGTAAATTTTTATTGAACAACTCTATCACATTATAGATCACAAAAATATTAAATTTGATAGTCATTTTTATTTTTATTTAAATAACTTTTCTTTTTTCAACTTTCAAATAAATTCCACCCCGGGGGGTTTGCAATAATGACCTTCGATTATATTCAATTGGAATAGATGTTCTGTCACATTTGGAAAATTTATAATGTAATAGTAAATGATATATGGCCATTTTACTCTGAAGTATCCCAAGCCGCTTGCCTGAAATAAATATATGAAAGCAAAATAATTGTTGGGAACGTAGAAAGTAATGCCATAAAATTTAATTATAAGTAAGATCTTTGTAAATGCGAGGGACACGCGACGTGGAGCGGGCAACGACGACGAGTTGAGCACACTATAAACGACGGGAAAGCAGGTTGCGAACGTTGCGCGTTAAGAATACGTCCGTTCGGTTGGCGTCGGAAAGAACCCCATATACAAGCGACGCGTCGCGACGAAGGAAAACTAGAAGTAGCATACGTCCTACAGATGCACTTGAAAAGGACGATGCTCATAAGAAATTAAAAGGAAAATAGACCTCCATCGGTTTAAACTCGACGCTTCAAACGTGCACGAGCGCACAGGCGTTATTGTATAGCTGTGAAGCTCCTAGCTCCTAAAGAGTTAGACTCCAGGAGACTGTTAGACACCACCAGAAGTTTGTACACTTCTGGGTATTGTGGATCACCTAAGTACGGATAGAGTCAGCAAAGATGCTGCTCTTGGCCGGCAGGCTAAATGAAACGAGAGAGCGAGAGAGAGAGAGAGAGAGAGAGAGAGAGAGAGAGAGAGAGAAAGTGGAAAAATAGAAGGGTGGGGCTAACTGCGAGCGGAAAACAAGTCCCAATGGGGGTCACCCCGCAGCAGTGCGCCGCTAGTGCGAGCTGTTTTGACACCTACTTGTCGATAGTTAATCAATCCGTCTGCAGTTGGTAAGGCAATTAGCGCGATTTCCCGCTGTGTAAATAAAAACAAATACAAATAAAGTGTTTCAACTTATTCTTGCTCACCCTATCCTCATCAATTATACTCGACTTTATATTTTGCAATCGGCTATACTGTATGATTATCATTACCTATGCAAATTCTTGGTCCTTCACCGAATGCTAAATAAGCGTAAAAATTTTTCGGCTCCAAATTCTCTTTTTTGAATCGCAAAGGATCGAATTTTTCTGGATCATGATAAATGTTTGGATCACTGTGAAGGCCTGTAACTGAGATTATAATACCTGTGTCCTTTTCTATAGTGAAATCAGAATTGGGAATTTGATAATCGTTTATACAAATACGATTCAAAATCGGAACAGACGGATGTTTCCTCATTGTTTCTAAAATGAAAATTCATTAAATTATGATTAAAAAAAAAACAAAGTTCAAGGTGACCTGGTAATTTTTAACATTTACCAAGAAATACCATATCAAGATATTTTAATTGCATTAAATTTTCGTAATTCAAGTTACATGAGCTGTTTGATTGCTCCTTGATTTCATTGTATAGTTTTTCTTGTATTTCAGGATTCAAAGCAAGTTCGTAAAGGCAATGCGTAGCTACTGAAGAAGATGTCTCGAAGCCACCGATGAAAAAAACAAATGCTTGAGCTGCTGCTTCCACCATTTCTAATCTTCTTGCAATACTTTCTAATATTTTTAAATGTCATATAAGAGTATTTTATTGAAATCTTTATAGATCAGCAATACTCAAAAATACTTACCAGCACTTATACCACTAGAATGTGTCATTTCTTTATCGACTAATTGTTCATTATCCATAAGATCTATCAGAGAATTTAAAAAGTCTTTCCGTTTAATGTTTTCTCTTCTTCTTTTATCAACCATATCTTGAAATAATTTTATGAAATATTTTGACACTTCGGGATTTGTAAAAGGTTGTCTAAAAGCGTACAATACTTTGGGTGCAAAAAAACCTATGGCACCACGTACTATACTATTTTCAATTGATAAATTGCCATAATGACGGAATTGATTATTAGGATATTTTAAGCATTTACTGTCGACTCCAAAAGCAAGACTGAAAATTGCATCAGTCGTATATCTGTGAATTAAAGTTTGCTATAGATTTTGTCAATACATTACACGACGCATTGTAGTCATATATAATATACAATCTTGTATTATATTGTTTATATTTAATATATCTTGATGATTAATAACTACCTTGAAACTAGATCTTTCATTTCAAGAATATCAGTATTTATCAAATCATCGTTGACTACCCTGATCATATCACTGGTAATGTCATTCAATATATAAAACATTTGTTTAAGTTTTCCTGCTGAAAATGTGGGAGACAATTTCGCTCTAAGGGTTCTCCATCTGTCACCATACAAGAGAAAAAGATGTCCGCTTAGAGGATCGACTTGAGGATTGCAATAGAGTCCACGATCGCAAAAACTCGCAAAATCTTTTACTAATATATTTTTTATAAGTTCAGGATCATTAATCATCAAAACAGGGTTGTGGAACACATAGACTCCATGGAAAGGAAATTTTTTTAATTTTTCGTAACTTCTTTTAAATACGTCACCTGTAAATATATGATAATTATTCCTTCTTAAGAAATAATAAATGCATTTCTAAGTAAACAAAAAAACAATGTTTCACTATCGTTAATACTTGGTTTTACAAAAAATATACTGCAATAATTGTAATATAAAAACCTGCGATTAAAGTTTTTGATTTGAATAGCGCGCTTTTTTATCCAGCAGTTCATTGGTTTACACGTAAAAATGCTTTTATTGATACCAATGTCAAATTAATTAAGAAAGCTCAGTTTCTTCTTATTATCATATTGATTGATAATCATATTTTCAATGTATGTAATGATTATTACTTACCCACAGTAATTTTTTGCATTAAAAAATCTCTGCCAAAAATACCAGTGAGTATTGAAAAATCATCACAAGGTATCCTACGTTTTTGCCAGTATGAATAAACAACTAACTTAAAATACAAATAGGTAAGAAAAAGAATTAAAGTTATGCAAAACGCTTTAGAGTTAAAAACCTCCATCAACTCTAACATTTTATTCACGACTGTTCTATATAAACTTGTTTATCAATTGCATCTGAGAGTATGTACTTGTTGACAATTAGTTTGGAGTTTTAGCGGAAATTTCGTTTTTTAAAATTTAAGCTTATATAAATATATTATTAATAAAATTTACAGTACTTTTTGTAAACAACTTTTCGTATTAATTTAACCTCGAACTAGAAAATAATTTTATAAGTATTACTATACAGTATACATTTGCAGGTTGCACTGTGCAATGCAGCAACTCTAGTTACGATTCAATGATACCGCTACGCCGCTCTGGTAGCCAGAAAAGGAAGCTGTGAACCGACTGACGTTTTAAAAATTAACATGCGAAAAGATACAAATACATTCAAAAACATACATTTCTGAATTTTGCGATATTGCAGGAAAAGTACCGGATAGAGAAATAAAAATATATTTATGATAATTTAGTATTTGATTCAAAATTTATTGAAAAATTTCCAAGTGATGAGTGGTGTAGGAGTTAGGGTGAATTTTATTTCTCAAGATAGCCAACAAGGATAAATAATGCCATCGTAGTGGTTATTACGAGTATTTATTTTTACCTGCTTCATACGAACTTTGAATGTAATCGGTTGAAAAAATTAACATCTATTTGATTATTTTTAATTTGAACGTTTAAACCATAATAATTATAGCTATAAGTTGATCAATATTACAAAAAGATTTGTTTATATATTTTCATAACAAACATATAAAAGTAAAATAGCCTTTGACTTTACTATATTTACTATATTTCCCTTTTCTGAATACCAAAATAATGTAGCGGTATCGTTGAATTGCGATTATTAGCTGACAAATTATGATTCTACGATGGTAATCAGAGATACGTATATATTGTTCAAAAAATTATTCGATTTAAAATAACGTGATATCATTGGGTTGTTGAACCTCCGAATCACAAACTATTTTTTAATTTGAGTAATAACTACGACAAATCGTGAATTGTGATTTATGAAGAACGAAAATTGAAAACAATCTGATTATTTAATTGTTTTATTTAATAATTAAACTTGAATGATCACAGAAGATCATTTAAGATATTGCTATTTTGCTCCCAGGTACAAAGCGCTTTGATCATTATTACAAACAACTCGGAATTCTATTACATTCTTATAGAAAATGAAAGATATATTTTACATGTTGTTTGTTACTCCCACGTGTATTGGTAATCTACTTCGCTCTCCGTTCCATTCGCAAGTAAACACCGCCATGAGGAGATTGAGTAAATGATCGTTTTGAATATTGTATAGGAATCGGAGTTTTTTCACATGTAAAAAACTTATAATTTGAAAGTAAAGCTATGAGTGCTATTTTAGACTGAAGAATTCCGAAACGAGCTCCTAAAATGTGAACATAGAGGTTAACGACAACAATCTTCTTTGTTAAATACGATTATTATGAAGGAACAAATTACCAATGCAAATCCTAGGCCCATCTCCAAAAGGCAGGTACACGTAAGGAGATCTAGTCGCGACGTTTTCCTTCGAAAATCGAGTTGGATCGAACTTTTCTGGATTTGGAAATATATCCGGATCGCTTTGCAGTCCAGTGACAGAAATCATAACTCCAGTACCTTTTCTTATTGTAAAGTTAGAGTCCGGAATTTTCCAATCTTCGAGGCAACTGCGATTCAAAAAGGGTACTGATGGATGCTTTCTTAATGTTTCTAAAACAATTTTGATATTTTTTACGTTAATTTACAACTCTTTTACTTACGTAAGTTAATATAGTTTACCATTGAATGTCATATGCAAGTAATCGAGCTCATTCATAACTCGATCGTAGGTCAGCTCTCCTTTAGCAAAAAATTCATCGATTTCTAAATGCACTTTGTCTTGAATATCTGGGTTCAAAGCTAATTCATACAACAGATAGGTAATCGTAGAAGAAGTTGTTTCAAATCCAGCAACAAAGAAAACAAATGCTTGCGCTTGTGCTTGCACCATAGTAATCTTGTCGCCATCTGATGATTTACCAGTAGTTTCATTCAATTTTTCATCCTCATCTAACTTACCCTTGTCCATTAATTGCATTAATAAATCAAAAAAATCCTTCCTCACGATATTATTTTGTCGTCTATATTTAACCATGTCTTGAAAAGTCGTCGTAAAAAAGTGTATAACTTGCTTCCTGATTAAAGGGATTTGAAGAATATCTAAGACGATTGGTGCGAACGCACCAAGAGCATTCCTGATCGGATTTTGATCGAATACCATTGCTCCATAACGTTTAAACTCGTTATCCGGATCCTCTAAACTTTTACAATTAAATCCGAATGCTATCGAGGAAATACTATCTGTTGTGTATCTATATTTTTAAACAGACTTTAATGTTTATAAATGATTTAATGAAAACGAAGAATCAAATGTAAGTTTTACTTATAATGAAAAACAATTGCTCTTTTTAAATTCAAAAATTCATTCTGCAATGTAAATTTATACATAAATTACCTTCCAATCAAATCTTTGAATTCAATGATGTTTTCTTTAGTTATTGTTTGGTCGCATACTTTGATCAACTCATCGCCAATTTCTTTGATCAGAGGAAACATTTGTTTCAATTTGCCAGATGTAAATGTAACAGTCAACTTTGCTCTTAGTTTTCTCCATTTTTCACCTGGTAGTAAAAATAGATGACCCGATAGCGGATCCACTTTCTCGTTATAGTACATGCCTCGATCGCGAAATTTGTTGAAGTCCTTTATCAAAACATGACGAATGAGTTCAGGATCGTTGATGAGTAATAAAGGCTGGTGGAAGATGTAAATACCGTGGTAACGAAATTTCTTGAATTTGTCATAACTCTCTTTCACGAAATTTCCTGTGTTAATGCAAACATTTACTCTTAAAGCGTGCAACGAAGTTCAGCACCTCTTATCAAATATTTTTTTTATAATGTTATATGTGTAATATGTTGCGATACGCAAAACGTAATTAGCGCATTATTGTACGTCGTTTGATATTACGGCTAAATTAAAATCAGCACTTACGATTCATCTATCAGTCATTTAAGTACTCTTTTAAGATATGATATAAAGTTATAATTATTTAAAAAAATCATGTGTTGAAAGCGGACAACTGTTACAATGAAAATATAATTAATAAATTAGCAATAATTGAAAGTAAAATTCTTACCTAAAGACTTTTTTCCCAGAACTACGGGTAAAGCATTGCCGAACGGTAACTGTGGTGGATCGTGTGGTATTCCATGTCTTTTCCAATATGTGAAGATAACAAACTTTACATATCCATAAAGCGTAACTAGAATTGCACTAATCCAGAAATATTTCGAAAAAAGTAACGGCTCTAGTAATTGAAGCATGTTAACAATTTGAAAGGTAATCTCAATTTCTAAGTTAAGTTTATTGCAATTTTGACATAGTTGAAAAATGCGTGCGGTATATTCTAACTTGATGGTATACCAACACTCGCATTCAAGGAAACTAACATTCAGTCTAGTCGTGTATTAATACTAGATTCAAATAGTTATGTCATCGTTCGAAAAAGACATGTAATTTATGAACTAACGTACTAGACTGTTATTAGTGAGGTATATAGCGCTCAAACGTAAAGCAAATCGAGCTTTGCGTCTTCAGAGTATAAAATTTCCATGTAATATGAGAATTCGTAAAACACTAAGGCTTTTTAACTTTGTTATTGAAATGTAAGCGCAAAATAATGATGAGTGAATATTTATTCCGCATTGCTCGTTCGATAAAAATACAAGATTGATATTATTGTATCTAATCTCTTATTCTTGAAGACTTATTATATTCAATGAAAACTTCACTTTATTTTTAACCAATAATTATCATTAGAACAAACACATCATTCTAGTATCATAAATTACAGGAATTTTAATGAATTGTTTTACTTTGAAAACATCGTAGAAGTTTTTGCCTCACCTATCACGGTCATATTTAAAATTTTTCTATTTTGCAAGAGATATCCTCATGCTTTCAATTAACTCTACTATATTTACATCTAATAAAAACTTATTTCGAAATATACAATTTTGGCAATCATATTCTAAAACACCTTTTTTTTTATTTAAGCAATTTCAATCCTATATAAGGATTAGTTTGCTACTAAAACACTTTTCATTTAAAAACTATTTTGCGTGTATAAAAGTATGTATAGATATGACAGTACAAACAATACTTTAAAATTTAGAAATACATATGTAAAGGAAGATACTTTAATTTTTTGAACAAGGATTCTTTAAAAAAATAAATAAAATATGTATCTTTGTGAAACATCTAAAAATTTATGTTTATTGATTATATAAAAGTATTCCGAATGAATTTATTGAAATACCTATTGGGACATTGTTACAATCGCTGCATGTATCATCAGTATGACTTGCTGAATTCATATTTTAAAAACTGCTCGTTAAAGAAGCTTCGTGACAGTCAGCTGCGTGAGTGGTGGGGGGTAATTCCCCTCTCGTCGCGAGCGCCAATTTACCTCACACGTGATATTCCATGTTCTACGTTTCAATTGATTAGTTACGATTAGCAATAGTGATCTTAGCCTAAATTTTGGATTTGGATTCCGCAATAAATCCTTTACACGTGTGTAGGTTTTTTATAAAGTTCTATGCATTCTTTTTCTAAGTTTGCACTCCAAGTACGTCACTTTTGATGCCGTCTCTTCCATAAGACTCCGTGTAGAAGAGGTGAACTTCCTGACTGATTTTCTTTACAATTACGACGGTTATAAATATTGAAAAAATTCAGAGACCTTCCGACTATTCTAATCTGTCATAGTTTTTTATTTTATCGGGATCTATGCATTTTGGCATGATTCCAAACCCTCCTTATACTGTATTATGTTGATATGTAAAGTGCTTATAAATTATTACATGAAAATAGAAGAAAATCGATGATTTTCTTCTGCAAAAAAATATGTGAAATTTTATTATTATGTAAATGAATGTCATTTTAAACAAATCATAGATATTATTGTCTACACGATCGTCTTTTGTTTTTATCCATGTTCTACATCAATTTAGTTTCGTTTTTCAATTTTTAAAGTCATACCATCACGAGGAGACTGAACAATAGATATAGGTGAATAATAACTTGGTATGGGGGTTTCTTCACATACAGAAAATTTATAATTTGACAACAGATGAAATAGAGCCATTTTACTTTGAAGTATTCCTAAGCGTTTACCTACAAAGAAAAAGTTATTTAATTTCTAATACGAAAGCATTAAACTATTATATTGTTATAAAGGTTATTTCATTTACCAATGCAGATTCTTGGACCTTCACCGAATGGTATATAAGAATAAGGATGTCTAATTGCCATGTTTTCTTTGCTAAATCTTGTAGGATCGAAATTTTCGGGCTCAGGAAAAATATCTGGATTCATGTGCAATCCAGAAACTGAAATAATCAAACCCATGCCGCTCGGGATCGTATAGTTAGAATTCGGTATCTGATAATCATTGATACAGACACGATTTAAAAATGGCACAGATGGATGTTTTCTCATTGTTTCTAAATTTAGAGCAGAAATGATTATATAATTATTATTCGAAATTCTTAAATTAACACAATAGTACATTACGACACAAGTGCGGGAAAGTAGATTCTTGTCTCGTGTGGCGTTTACGCCCGAGCGAAGCGAGGGTGGAAAGGTACACGAGACGAGAAACTCTTTCCCGAACATGTGCCGTACCGTATTTTTTGATACAACGTGTGGAAAGTGCGATTTTCAACACACGTTTTTTGCCGAGCGTGCGGGAAAAACGCACTTTCCGCACGGAGTGTCGAAAAAAATATAGTTCTTTAAGGAACACAGACCATAGAAAACCATATCTAGATATTCCAGCTGTAATAAAGTTTCATATGTGAAGGTCTTGAAATTATTTTTCAATTCATCAATTTCCTTATGCACTTTTTCCTGTATTTGCGGGTTCAAAGCAAGTTCGTATAGACAATGCGTAGCTATTGAAGAAGATGTTTCAAACCCAGCAATAAAAAATACAAAAGCTTGTGCTGTTGCTTCCAATAGTTCTAGTCGCCTTGCAATTTTTTCTTTAAATGATACAAAAAATTTATAAATCTATAAAATATTCTATTATATAAAAAAAACTTTAATGTTACTTTTTATGGATTACCATTAAAATATGCAATTCAAACATTTACCTGCGCTTATGTCTTTGCTTGAATTTTCAATTTCCCTATCAACTATTTGTTCATTGTCCATAAGGTCTATCAAGGAATCTAAAAAGTCTCTTCTTTTAATTTTCTCTGACCTTCTTTTATCTACCATATCTTTAAACAGTTCTGTAAAGAACTTTATAACTTTAGGATCCGTAAATGGTTGTTTCAAAGCGTAAAGTATTTTAGGCGCAAAGAGTCCCAAATAACCACTTATTAAGTTAGTCTCAAGCGCCAAACTTCCGTAATGACGAAATACGCTGTCTGGATATTTTAAAGACTGACTATTTAATCCGAAGGCAAGACTAAAAATTGTATCAGTAGTATACCTATAAATTGAATAAAAAATAAATATAAACACTGTAGGAATTTGCTTATTGATAATATCATTATTACACAAGTTACAAAACCTTGCTATCAGATCTTTCATTTCAATAATATTTGTTTTCCTTAGATTTTCTTCTGTGACTAATATCATTTCATGTGCGATGTCATTTAAAAGGGGAAACATATGTTTTAGTTTTCCGGATGTGAAAGTGGGTGACATTTTAGCTCTCAACGTCCTCCACTTGTCACCGCTTAAGAAAAACAAGTGTCCAACCAGTGGATCGATTTCGGCATTATCATAAAGTCCTCGATCACAAAAATTTGCAAAATCTTTGACTAATACATGCCTAATTAGTTCAGGATCGTTAATCATAATATATGGACTATGAAACATGTACAATCCGTGGAAACTGTTTTTTTTTAACTTGTCATAGCTATTTTTCACTACATTACCTAAGTATAGAATAACAATAATGATGAGGCTTGAAAAAAATTATCGTCCATAAAACGTAAAATTAATTTTAGATATTCTGCTATATGTTAGTTTTACGAGTTGTTAGTAACGTTAGACAATTTCACACATCGATGAAGTTCTAAATTTTACTATATAAAGATTAAAGAATTTAGTATTTACAATTTTATTGAGGTAGCTCTGTACCGCAATATTGTAGAAGAAAGCAATTTAGTTATGATACAATAAATGTATAAATGTATTTAAGAAATCGATTATTGGAAAATAGTACTTTTAATGAATAGTTCAGAAATGATACCTTGAAGCATGACATGTAGGTCATTTAAAGATTTAATGAATGTGAAAAATGTAAGAATTGCTTATTATAACATGAGAATATGTTAATTTCAGGTGTTTTAGAAAATCACATAACTGTATAAGCATTTCATTTATGTCAAAGCAGTTAGAGCTATTTTAATATACAAAATGGAAAATAAAGTTAACTCACCCAAACTAATTCTCTTCATAAAAGAATCAATTCCAAAAATACCAAACGGTACTGTAAATTCATCTTGAGGTACGCCATGTCTTTGCCAATATGAAAAAGTTACTGTTTTCAAGTATATATACAATGAAATTAAAAAAGTAGTCATCCAAAATATTTTTGAATGTATTACACTTTCCAACAATTCAATCATTTCAATTATTGAATATTTTCTAACATAGATTTTTATATATCTGGTGTATTATATGCGGACTTAATTTTTAACTTCATGCAATGCAAGGATTCGTAAAATACTAAAGTTCTTTAAATTTGTTATTGCAATACAAGCGCAAAATAATGATAATTGATTTTCCCGCTTTGCTTGCACGATAAAAATGTAATATTGATATTGTATTATCTAATCTTTTCTGAATTCTTAAAGACTAATTATATATATATAATATATATATATATAATTAGTATAATTAGTCTTTAAGAATTCAGAAAAGATTAGATAATACAATATCAATATTACATTTTTATCGTGCAAGCAAAGCGGGAAAATCAATTATCATTATATATATATATATATATATATATATATATATATATATATATATATATATATAAACAAAGGTTTTGTTTTATTTTTAACAAAACATAGAACAACAAATTCATTCTATTGTCGTAAATTCTAGGAATATCATTGAAATGTTTTACTTTAAAAACACTGAAAACATTTTTGCTTCGTCTATCACGGTCATATTTAGTTGCATACTTTCAAATCATCGACTTTGCAGAATAATTATTTAATAAAACGCAAAGCTAAATTTGTATCTTTATACTTGTAATTAACTCTACCATATTTACATTTCATGAAAAATTTATTTTTAAATATTCGATTCTTACGATTATATTCTAAAGCACTTTCCACTGAAAAACTATTCTTGTATAAACAATCACAATAGTCTTATATATAAACAATTACTTTGATATAAGAAAATAGATATGTATAAAAAAAACTTTAATTTTTCTGAATATGCTTAAAAAAACAAATATACCTTCGTAAAATATTTAGAAATTTACGTTCAATGATTATATAAATGTATTTTGAATGATGTTATTAAAATACATTGGAGCATTGTTACAACCGCTGCATATATCGTCACTGTGACTTGCATATTTCAGCTTAAAAACTGTCCGTTAAGCTGTGTCATGTTGATACGTAGAACTTGTACATTATCTTGAAAATAGTAGAAAAATTGATGATAGTAAAATCAGTTTGAGAAATTGTATTATTATGTAAATGCACGTAATTTGAAATAAATCGCAGTTGTTAATGTCTATTATGAGATAGCTTTTTGTTTTTACCCAAAGTACTCTACATAAATTTACTTTCTCTTTTCAACTTTTAAATACACGCCATCACGAGGTGTCTGAAGAATAGATTTAGATGAATAATAATTTGGTATGGGGGTTTTTTCACATATAGAAAATTTATAATTTGACAGCAGATGAAATAGAGCCATTTTACTTTGAAGTATTCCTAAACGTTTACCTACAAGAAAACGTTATTTATTTATAATATGAAATTATTAAGCTACTATTTTTATAAAGCTTAATTCATTTTACCAATGCAGATTCTTGGACCTTCACCAAATGGTAAATAAGAATAAGGATGCCTAGTTGTCATGTTTTCTTTGTTAAATCTTGTAGGATCAAACTTTCCAGGTTCAGGAAAAATATCTGGATCCATGTGCAATCCAGAAACTGAAATAATCAAACCCATGTCTTTCGGGATAGTATAGTTAGAATTCGGTATTTTGTAATCATTGATACAGACACGATTTAAAAATGGCACAGATGGATGTTTTCTCATTGTTTCTAAATTTAGAGCAGAAATAATTATATAAGTGTTATTAGAAATTCTTAAATTAAAACTGAAAATATATTTTTTTAGGGAATGCTAACCGAGGAAAATCATATCTAGATATTCCAGCTGCAATAAAGTTTCATATGTGAAGGACTTTGAATTATTTTGTATTTCATCAATTTCCTTGTGTACATTTTCCTGTATTTGCGGGTTCAACGCAAGTTCGTATAGACAATGCGTAGCTATTGAAGAAGATGTTTCAAATCCAGCAATAAAAAATACAAAAGCTTGTGCTGTTGCTTCCAATAGTTCTAGTCGTCTTGCAATTTTTTCTTTTAAATGATAACAACAAAATGAGGTTATTATTAACTGACAGTGTAATAACATATGAATTCTATAAAATATTCAATTATAAAAAAAAAACTTTAATGTTACTTTTTATGGATTACCATTAAAATATGCAATTCAAACATTTACCTGCGCTTATATCTTTGCTCGAATTTTCCATTTCCCTATCAACTATTTGTTCATTGTCCATAAGGTCTATCAAGGAATCTAAAAAGTCTCTTCTTTTAATTTTCTCTGACCTTCTTTTATCTACCATATCTTTAAACAGTTCTGTAAAGAACTTTATAACTTTAGGATCCGTAAATGGTTGTTTCAAAGCGTAAAGTATTTTAGGTGCAAAAAATCCCAAAGACCCACGTATTATGTTGGTTTCAATCGTTAAATCACCATAGTGGCGAAATTCACTGTCTGGATATTTTAGTGCCTGACTATTTAATCCGAAGGCAAGACTAAAAATTGTATCTGTAGTATATCTATAAATTGAATAAAAAATAAATATAAACACTGTAGGAATTTGGTTATTGATAATATCATTATTACACAAGTGACAAAACCTTGCTATCAGATCTTTCATTTCAATAATATTTGTTTTCCTTAGATTTTCTTCTGTGACTAATAACATTTCATGTGCGATGTCATTTAAAATGGGAAACATATGTTTTAGTTTTCCGGATGTGAAAGTCGGTGATAATTTAGCTCTCAACGTCCTCCACTTGTCACCGCTTAAAAAAAACAAGTGTCCAATCAGTGGATCGATTTCGGCATTATCATAAAGTCCTCGATCACAAAAATTTGCAAAATCTTTGACTAATATCTGCTTAATTAATTCCGGATCGTTGATCATCAAAACTCGTGTGTGAAATATGTATAATCCGTGAAAACGATTTTTTTTTAATTTTTCATAGCTACTTTTCACTACATTACCTAAAATATAAAATATTATATAAGATAAAAGTCTCGCTAATGTTAAAGATAGACCGAAGTATTGATGAAAATGCATAACTTTTTTCGGAACTGCTTTATTAAATGACATTATTTTGTATAAATAAATACTTTATGCACAAAAAATTATGTTTTGCATTTCGATCGTAAGATGGAATAGATGATTCAAAGAATGTCTATCAAAAGTCACGAATAAAATGGTGAATGTTTTATAATATAACAAGTGAATGAATAAATCAAAGGATAATTAATTAAATTTAACTTTGAATAGAAACTTCACTCTACTAAAATTCGGAAATCATGATAATAAGGCGCATCTACTATCTTAAATAATTACCCATCGTTGTTCTTTGCATGAAAAAATCATTGTTGAAAATACCAAAAGGTATTGTGAAACTATCATGAGGTATTCCATGTCTTTTCCAGTACGTAAAGACTATTATTTTGAAGTATAAGTATAGAATACACAACAAAGCAAATATCCAAAATATTTTGGAAGAAAATATACTTTCAACCGATTCAATCATTTTAAGAATACACTATTTTTATACCAAATTATAAAACACTTGTCGCAAGTATAATTTATCTTATATTATTCTAAAATAACTTTCAGGTCACATAGCAATATGAAATAACTTGCAGTATGCTCGGAATCGCGGAAGATGGAAAACTGAACAGTAAAGTACATCTTGCATTGAGACCAACTAATATTCACGGCTAACTACTTATGATTACTACATGCTGTCACGCGATACTACTTTATCTACACGTTTGCAAATGACTATTGCATATTTTTTCCGAAATTTTAAAATATGTTTATCACTATTGTTTAAAAATAAATCATATTTATAAATGATTATCCGCCAATGAAAAGAAGAGAATCGAGTGTGCCATATAATTTATAAGTTACTTTTAGTGACCTGTGACCTAGATTATATATAAAAGAATATTTTAGATTATAGAAATTTAGTAAAATGTTTCTACTAAAAAATAGAATATTCATTAAATAAGTATCTAAAAGATTAATTTAATGTATTTTTAACATTATTTACATTATTGGCATGATCTGATGGTCCAATTATAAAATGCAAATTTATTGAATTAAAAATACCGTCGAAATATCGCTATTTTGTAATTAGTATTAAGCATAAATTTGCTCTGTGACTGAAATTCCTTATTTATTTTAGAACCTTGACCATGCGAATTTTCCTCGCTATTTCATAACACCTACATCATTTTAACCACATGCGTTCATAAATACTAGCGATAAAAAAAATCCTATAAAAACCGAGTTGTTACTTAATGAAATATACTTCATGGTGTCATTAATGATAAAGACAAATATATAGTCAAGAATACAACGCAATATACGTATCTAAGTAAACAAACAGCATTGTCATCATGATGCACGTGTATCATAATGATAAGTCCTCGACACACACAAAACTATCTGCTGTTCGAGAATGATTTTTATCTAATTAAATATTAGTTTTCAGGAAAACAAAAAAGGGGAACAAAGTAATTTTTTTGTATATTATGTAAAATCAAGTATCTGAGAGTTTTAGATACTCTCTAGTGTTACTGAAAATATATTTCAAATATCAAATGTAAGGGTTTTAAATAAAAATGTTACTGCTAGTACTTTCGTGATTTTGTTTGTTAATGTATGATTATTTGGAAGTTGAAAAATAAAAATATATAATATTTTAATCTGATCCAGTATTTTTTATTGTAAACCTAACTTTGTATTATATATGTTAATTTCTTATACTATACAAGTCTTTTTCAATAAGTGTATATGTCGTAAATAGCAATATATTTACATATGCATCAATATTTTCATTGACGTTTTTATGAGCGTCAATTGATTAATTGACATGACTACGTTTTATCATCACTGATGGAATTTATAAGGAAAATTATCTATTTATTTTTTCTTGTACCTGTCGCCTCAGATAATTAATTATACTTACTCATGCAACGTAGGTCAAACATAATGTTTATATTATATAAAAGACGATGTTAATCATTGTCTCCAATCTTGTAAAATTAAGAAAACAAGCTCTCGTAAAATTCCAAACAAATATTCCGAAACTTATACTTTTTATAGAAACAAAATTTTCCAATTAATCAAGAAGTAATTTATTCAGTAACCTTAATTTATAGATAGTCTAATTTAATCTTCATCTTATGTTAAAACAAGTAATATGACAAATAGTATATATTTATTCTTTTATCAAACAATGTATTTATTCATAACTCCTACACCTGTTTTTTTTTATTCACAGAGAAAAACTTCTTTTAGAATTTTGTGTGAGAAGTAATAATAATAATAATAATAATAATTGACGGAAATATTAGTTTTATCACAAATATTCACCAATTTGTTATCATGTCGTAGCATGCTTCGTTTACATTTTTCCGAATTATTTTTTTAATGTATAAGTTCTTGAATTCTATCTGCAAATATAGAATCGTAGCATTGAAATTTATCCAGCTGTTTCATTTCATGGACTTTCACAAGATCGTCATCAAAATATTGCAAAAATTCGACATGCCATTGCAAATAATCTTTTGGTGATTTTCAAACTTTATCGTCTCCAATGATGAATAACTTGTACGAACGTACGCGAATACCGTATGGTATTTATTGGCGTTACTTTACAAATGGAAAATTCCAAATTGCGTAATAGTGTCATCAATTCAAGTTTCCTTCGCATTAAAAGTGGCTACTCTTTGTGCTAAATGAAAAATTTTCAAATTTATTAACATAGAGCATTTTCGAAAATTTCTTAACTTTCAAAATTCCAATAAATTACCAATGCGTATTCAAGGTCCTTCACCAAATGTTAAAAAGCGGTAAAGATCTCTGTTAGCGCGACTTTCCTTTGAAAAACGTAGGGAATCGAATTTTTCTAGATCAAGATAAATGTCTGAATTATTCCAAATATAGAAATAAAGAGTCTTATTCGGTTTGAAATCACACGGTTTTCAACACGCCGTGCGGAAAATATATGACTTCGTCATGCTCTCAGCGAAACACGTGCGCTTTTAGATTCGTGCCTTCCACTTGTTCTTTTGCTATAAAGAATACAAATACTTAGGTAACAAACTCCAATATATTTAATTTATCCTTATTAATATCTAGAAAAATCTAACAAAAACTATTTAAAACTTATTGCAATAATTGACATAATTAATGTGTCTTACTTTTTACATGGCAGGTACTCTCATAATCTGTAAGTTTCGCTATAATATTATGAAATGATTTCTCACAACTTTTTCTGCAACTCGATAATCGACAATGATAATTTCGAAAAATGTATTGAAAAACTGGTTGACGTCATTCCTGAATATTGATACGCGAAAGTAATTCATAATTTTCGAGTTAAATATGCTGATATCACAGCTGTATATTTTCACATGTGTACACGCCTAATTTTGAAAAATCTTCGTTAGAAACAACTACAAATAAAAACGAAAGCTATTGTTGATATGCAATTGTGGCGGCCCAGTCGGCAGCAGTCGTTCTGATTCAGCGCTAGGCGGCGGCACCTCTCACCGTTCTCTTCATCAGCGCACTACGGTTGATATCAAATGATTAATGATGAATTCCAGAGAATTTACGCTAAATAGAATGCTTATCTCATATGTTCACTGATTCGACGTATGCAGCATTTATTATTTTTTTATGGCATCTTTTTATGGAAATGTTCTTTAAGCGATATATGTGAATCGTCGTGTTATTGAAAAGTCATTGATTTTTAACAATATTTGTTTCTTGGTAATAAGTCCTTCTAAGGGTCAGAAAACAAAATAAAAAAGTCAATTCGATAATAGCATATATGTTGTAATACGCGTAACTTAAGCAATCCATTATGGCAATAAGCTGTGACATTACAATTGCGCTCAAAGACCGAATCTTTATAATTTTGTTCCCTCGTACAATTTCAAAGAATATGTTATTCTAATTTTTTTAAATATCAACTAACTGGTATATTTGAGATAAAGCTTGCAAACTAGTTGCTATGTTAGAAATCCTTTCATTTTACAGATTTATATGAAAATTGCATATGCAAAAACAAAAATTGAAACAATATACTATCATCACCTGTATATTTATGACCATCTATTAATGAGAAAAGGTTTTTCTAGATTTTGTCGATCCAACCAAGATACCGAGGATTGAAAGATTCTTTTTCATATTTATGTTCATTCAAGCCATAACTTAATGATTAAACACACGAGAACAAGTTTTCTTGATAATTTTCCTAAAAATGGCTATCTAGCAGGTTTCGGATAAAAAGCACATGTTGAAAAATTGATTTTTGTCCATCGTTCAAAGAATAAATGAGAGGCCTATTTTAAACAGATAATACGTTTATAAATGTTAAATGTGACATGGACTGAACTTTTTCAAGGGACAGTTAAAACTTATTATCGGAATTAAGTGATTTATGTTTGGTGTATAGAATTTAGCCACCAAATTTATGAAAAAGTTTTATTCAAATACAAAAGGTTCCTCCCTCAATCACCCTTACATATTTTTTTGATAAAACTCACATTTTTTTTACTCAAAATTAAGCTTTACAACTATGATTCAAAGGATCTGTGTGTGTGTGTGTGTGTGTGTGTGTGTGTGTGTGTGCGTGTGTGTGTGTGTGTGTGTGTGCGTGTGTGTGTGTGCGCGCGCGCGCACATCATTCGGGATATGTTATTTTCATTTATTACCTAACGTGTAATCTCGAAATATACATAAATATACGTACTTGCAAAAAAAATATTTAAATAATAGCAAAAGTCAAATAATTATCTTCTGGTTACTCTTAAATATAATTTATCGTCTGTCACTAACAAAAATGTACGGTTACTGTATTGCAAAGGTATCGGTGTATCTTCACAAATAGAAAAATTGAATTTATGTAGCAATACTGCGAGTCCAAGTTTTCCTTGCATAAAAGCTATTCTTTTTGCTAAAAAACCAATTTTTTTAATAAATAAAGTATTGGTGGAAATTAATACACTTTCATAGTATAAATAAGTTACCAATGCATATTCGAGGTCCTTCGCCGAATGGTAAAAAGTAGTAAGAACTCCTGTCAGTACAATTTTCCTTCGAAAAACGTAAAGGATCAAATCGTTCTGGATCAGGAAAGATATCTGGATCATTTTGTAATCCCGATACTGAAATTGCGAGTCTCATTCCTTTTGGTACGATAATATTCGAATTAGGAATCTGATAATCTTTCGTACACAGTCGATTTATAAAGGGTACTGGGGGGTGTTTACGCAATGTCTCTGTAATCATGAATTGTAAAGTTGTAATTATCTATTCTAGGTAACTTGATTTTAATAATTCACCAGAAAACACCATGTCAAGGTATTTCATGCTCATAATATTTTCGTAATTAAAACCACTCGGACTGTTCGCAGCTTCGTCAATTTCTTTTTGTAGTTTCGTTTGGATTTCTGGAAACTTTGCTAACTCGTGTAAACAGTATGTGAGAGTGGTAGATGTGGTTTCAAAACCTGCTATAAAGAATACAAATACTTGAGCCGCGGCTTCCACCATATTTAATTTATCGCCATTGATAGCTACAAAAGGAAATTGAATAAAAATTATCTAAATTTAAATAGAACTCATACTGTAATAACTGAAATAATTGAAATATTTTACAATTTTTATCAGAGGTATTTTCGCAATCGGTAATATCCATCAACATATTTATAAAATCATTTCTCACGACTTTTTCTTCTATCCGATGAGTGACGACGTCTCGAAATATTTTTATGAAAAACTCGTCCACTTTACTCTTGAATATTGGTAGACGAAAGAAATCCACAATGTTTGATCCAAATATACTGATTACAGCTGAATATTTTCCCATATCTGTACCTAATTTCCCGTAATTTCGAAATTCATTGTTAGGATTTTTCAAGCTGTTACAATTAAAACCAAACGCCACCGTTGATATGCAATCTGTTATAAATCTTGAAAATAATAAAAATATTTTATAGAAAATGTGAATACGGTCTCTTCATACAATGAGTCTCTCATGTTGCTGCGTTTACCGTTCAACAATATCTTTTGCATCCACAATGTCACTAAATTTAAGATCTTCTTCACATACATCAATGAGTTCATTAGAAACATCTAATAGCAGTGGGTATAGTTGTTTTAATTTTCCCGAGGTAAAAATCGGTGATAATTTGGTTCTCAAGTGCCTCCATTTTTCTCCAGGAAGTCTGAATAAATTGAAAGACATGGGATCGTAATCTACATTTGAGTGAATACCTCTGTCTGCGAAATATTGAAAATCTTTAACTAAAATTAGCCGAATGAGCTCTGGATCGTTGATCACTAAAATCGGATTGTGAAATATATACATTCCGAAGTACTTTTCTTTTCGAAACTGATTGTAATAATCTTTTACCATATCACCTGTAAAAATAATTAAATGAATATAAAATGAAGTAAGAATTTGAGTATATAAAGTATTTTAAATATGCTATATTTCACGTTGTATCTGATAATATTTAATGAAATTTGTTGTTGGAAATGTAACATATGTCTCGTTCCATGATGACCATTACTCTTTTTATAACAATACGATCAATACTTTTTTTTGTAATAAAATAAACTAAATTTTGTAGCCAATCTATTATACTACTATGAAATATAGTATCTATTACTAATCATAATTGCAATTTTTTTACTGGATACACCATTAGAACTCTTACCTATGGTAACTCTGTTCATCAAAAAATCGGAATTGATGTTTCCAAAAATGAGTGCCGGAGGTACATGAGGTACTTTTGTTTTATTCCAATAACTAAAAATTATGTACTTCAAATAAAAATAAAAAATAATAACAAATGCTATTATAATCCAGAGAAATTTCGAAAACATTATTTCCGTAACATTCAATATAGTTGTCTTCAGTTTCTTGACCAGACTGAAAATCGAGCTAATAATAATGCACTCAATTAAGCATTTACGCAGAATAAGTCACTAATCTCACATACTGATTAAGCATGCAGCATCTATAATGTTTTTGTGGCAATGTTTTAAAACAGATACTCCATTGACGATAACTTAATCTTTACTAAAAATTCATTGTCCTCGTATAACTGTTTTTTTTCTTAAAACTAATGAAGAATAAATGGAAAAAATGCAGTTTAATAAATCAAACGTTTATATTAAAAAGTAAATAAATTATATACAAAAATATCCTTAAATTATTAAGGCAAGGGCCAAAGCGTTGTGTACATAACGTATACGATAACGTTACTAACGTGACTTACGTAGTATTTCACACAGATCATTGAAAACTTACAACGTGTGTATATAAAAAATATAAACAAGTGATTTTTTTGTTATTTTTGATTAGACTGATAGATTCAAGATTAAAAGTAAAAACATAACACCCGTTCTTTCCACTAAAAAAAATAGATAAAAATTTCAACAGTGAACTATTGTTATCTCCTGACTTTCTCTACAATTATAATAGCGCTATCACTCGCTCCTACCACGCAAAATAGGCATAATTATATTGTAAAAAAATAAATAATACTTCGATCATCCCGAAGAAGTATAGCCGTTCGCGAGTAATGTGAACGTAATCAACGTAATGTGAAAAGGTAAATTTTCATGATAACTTATACAACTGCGGACATGGAGATGGGAGGTTCAAAATCAACGGTGCGTGCGCCAAAGTGTGTACATTTCTAACAAAAATTTACCGGTTAACATTTCGTATGAGACAACCTATAATCCCCGTGAGTTCTACATACAAACGAACAAACAAAATGCCATAATTTCTCTTCATTCGACTATTATCAATCAGGGATGCGCATTTATATTCCTCGTTTTCGTGAAATGCGACTGGCCGAATTCACCAGCAAATACAGTAAGGGATCAAATGCGCATCGATGCTCGAATAAATAAAAGCGCGAACGCCACCTCAAGAGGATTCCTTTTCGTTTTGCGTCGCAGGTTGCGTCGAATTATCATGACTCTTGTACGCGGAGAAGAAAGCCAAAGCTTTCATCAGTTGATAACTTTTACTGATCGGAATGTTACTGTCGTAGAGGCTCTTCGATGCTTTGCAATCGACGTAGAACCACCAGTTGCATTTGAGAATCGTCTGATCGAAGATGGTCGATTCTGGACAAAGGAAACTCTTCATTATCAAGCCGTCGTCCGTTAAGGCACACACGTGAAACACCTGCAAGAGTTTGAGAAGTTGATGTGACGTCCGACTCGACATTTGGAAATACACCGTCGTCAACCCTTACCATGCATCCAAGATCCTCGTCGGCGTAGAGTCCCGGGAAATGTTTCTGGTCGCCGCAGTAGAACGTAGTGTCGGGCAGATCCACTCGGCTGACAAAGTTATCGTCGAAATTCTTGTCGTATCCAACAGGGTAGTACTCGCGCGGCGCGTTCATCACTTTGGTCACTCCAGAATTCACAGGTCTACAATGCCAGCGAAACATTATTTAGCATCCTCGCACGCGTGACAAAAGCAAGGGTAATCTCAGCGCACCTTTTCACCGATGGACGACTGGTCGTGGTAGTGGAGGTGGTGGGCGGTTCCTGTTTCTGTAGTAGCTGTTGCTGCCTCAGTAATATCGCGGCTTCGAGCGCCTCGAGGGTGATGTTGCTCGCCTCGGTGAGTGCCTTCAGCGACGTCTCCATGCCTTGGATCGGTGCTAGCGAGGGCATCAAGGGTACCGACTGGCGCTTGCCTTGGTTCTGTGGTTGTGGATACTCCACTGCGGTTATTGGCTGCAGAGACAGCAAAGTCATTTTGTTCACTTGGGATGCCGCGCGCTCGTCGGGAAGTGGTAGCTGACGAACGGAAAACGTTTTGCATTCGTTAGTTTCTTCTTGAAAATCGTTCAGCGACCACGGCGCTCACCTGATTGAACTCGTCCTTGGGAACCTCATTAGCCGAGTCCTCGAGTAAGCTCGGACTATCGCTGATCCTGTGGGTAAGTTGAGCTCCAGACCCAGGCATGTTGACGAATTGCGGCAGAGCGGCACCACTCGCTGGCTTGGCTTGCGCGTCCACATTGCCTGTCGCCGGTGGGATTGCAGCTACCACACTTGGTAGTCGCGCTGGCATCACTAAGCCACTTGGCACTTGCTGCTGCTGCTGCTGCTGCTGCTGTCGAAAAAGTTATTTTTGATCAACTTCCTTTCTTACGAAATGTTTCCGCAGTAAGGCTTGACAATTGAAAAAAAAAGAACAAGTATGCTTTGCTGTAATTACTTTCTTACATAATATTTAGCTTCTAGTATTTTTCAGAAGGTATATAATTAGACGAAATCAAAACTATGCTCGTCACCGTGTGCTCATCAATGCAAATGCCATTATTCATTTGCTGCGCAATCGCCGCGCCGGATGATCATTAATATCGCTACTTGGACAATAAATGAAAGACAAGTTAGAAACCATGAAACTAGGTATGTGGTCGAGCGACACACGCACGCGCGTGCACTTTCGTGCGACGTAAATTCGTTGTCTCGAGGCGCAAGAAGAGAAATATCGAGCTGACTTGGTTTCGCGAACTGATCGGTGAAAGTATGCTGTCTACGCGTATCCTCGAGCGTCGAACCTTTGTGCATTAGCTACGCCAGTTTTGCACTCGTTTGTTTTTCAAATTATCGCGCGATAATCGTCTAAAAACCGGCCATACCTGCACTCTCTTGACAGGTACCGCCGACTGAAGTGCCTGCTGCGGCATCTGCACCTTCATCTGTTGCTGCTGCAATCTCGCAGCTTCTAATTGTTGCTGCCTCTGCTGCTTCAGCATCTGCATCGCGAGCAATTCCTGCTGCAACTTCTGCTGCTGTCTCCACTTGGCCTCCATCTGGGCACGTTGATGCTGCTTCAACGCGTCCTCTTGCAGAGTCGCGTACGACGGCGGAGCCATTGGCCTCAATGCCGAAACTGTCGAATTCTGCTGAACGACCAAACGCTGTCGCTCCGGTTGTTTTGCCAGTGGTCGCGATGCTCCTGGCGGTAGAGGCTTGAATGGGGGCACGACATTTCTCACGCGGTTCACCTGGCGCATGTCGTCTCGACTAGTCACCTGTCAGGTGAACAACAATGTGAAATTATATTTATGGTTGTTAAATGTTTACGTTATTGCGTCGAACATTGTTTTCTATGCGTGTGTTCATTGATGTTAATTGATGATTGATGCGGTGTGCCCACAAGAACGAATAGATCGGAATATCAATGAACCAATAGCCGGTAACGCGACCTGATCTTTTGATATGAAGGGAGCTGTTTAAAGTTTGCTATCGTAGTTCATTAAGGTTATGTGTATAATTATAAAGGTTCAATGTGTTAGATGAGCTTGTCATCTTAAGTCTTACGCTGCTTACAGACACAGGTGTATTTGATAAAATGGCATTAACCACAAATCAATTATTAGAATCAATTATCAATTATTACTTTTAATTAGAAAACATCGATGATTTATTATTATAACTGATTCACCAAATAATGATTCCAATTATTATTAAAGAACAGCAAGTGGAAGTGAAAACTTGCTTATACCAATTTGTTCATCGACAAAGAGTTAAATATCAAAGGAGAATATTCCGTTCTCAACAAGTCATATCTGTCATTTCTCTCTCTCTTTCTCTCTCTCTCTCTCTCTCTCTCTCTCTCTTTCCCATCGTGCGAATGAGAGAAGTCGTTGATCGCTCGCGCGAGTTGTATAGCATTTTCAAACCGCAAGGCCGCCGTGGATGCACAAAATTGCGCGCCGCCCAACGCCGCGGGAAACTTGCATTACACGGGCGAAAGCACAGACATGTAATCGAAAGTACATTTCGCGATATTAATGGGTAAGCGCGTGTGTAGTTGCGCGCAGTTTGGCAACTACGGCAATGTCGTCTCTCTTGCATTAAAATTTTGACATGTAATTCTTCATGAATGATGCTTTCGTGAATATGCTCATACGACCAATTTTTTCCTTTCAATTTGTTGAATAAACGAAGAGCAAGATTCCAAATGGCTGTTAAGTTTTAGAAAGTTATTCAGAACTTGTTGAAGAAAATAAGCAACGTTACTTGATTACGAAGTAGTTTGAATTGTCACGCGTTAGGCTCTTTGTTGTTTCAATAACAAAGAATGAATTGTTCCCAAGATGTACGAATTCACTTTTTTTTTTTAAATCATGCGATTGGAGTAAAAATATTATCTAGTAATTATAGCTTCGAACCGTTTCAAAGTTCGCGAAAAGTTATTGCATGAAAACGATATGACACGGCAGCTATAAATTTTATGTAAGTGGTTGAATTTCAAGATTAGCGAGACTCGTGTTCCACCTTTTAATAAAGCCGCTTGTTATCAAGTGAATTTTCGAAATCTATAACGCTGTTATCTTAAAGTGAACCCAGGTTCAGGTAATACGATCGATTTCCACATTTGTCGAATGAAAAGAAATAATAATCTTGATATCGAAGTATATTTGGACGCTTACCACATTAGGATGCATGACTGGAACGCCATTTCTGCTATTTACACTACGCCTCCTGCTGACCTCCAAATTCGTCAAAGATTCTCGAAAGCCGAGCTCGTCCCCAATTGAAAAACCTGAAAAATGTAGGTCCCTCTTATTGTGGCCGTAGGTTTTGATCTGTGCGACGTGTGATTCATTAAAACATCGAATTGGGAATGAGGAGGAAGATTTCTTTTCTTTTTTTTCTCGTGTGCGGTGATAGTACGTTAGCAGCCGTATGATGCAAGTTACTCTTCGAGGAAAAATAAATTCTTTGCCCTACTCAATTGAAACATGACCATTGGAAAATTATAATATGCATTTTTATATGAAAGTAGATGTTATGCGCCTTACATAAAACTTTTGAGCAGGATATCGGGATATTTGAATGGCAAGGATTAAGTGTCAACGAAAATCCTATTGCAACCGGTAAAGTTTGAATTGTCCATGAGTATTCTGTATTGAGTTAAATCGATTGAAAAAAGCGTGAAACTCAACTACAATATAAACAAACGTTTAAACGCAATAGTATATATTGCAAGGCTGCGATTGCATTAGACGTTTCACTGCAATCCCAGTACAAAAAAAAATCTTACGCATTTCAAAAGAAATATATATTAAAAATGGTCTTGTAGAGTAAATAATGTTACTCGATAACACTTGTATTGATGACAAACCGGAGGATAACGAGTGCAAATTAATAGACTTGATTTTTTAAATCTCTAATTCCTAGTAAGTTGTAGGTCTTACAAAAGGTTATTTTTAGTCATACTTCTAGACCTTCCAAATTCCATTTCCAGAAAGTCATAATACTACGTGACTGACTCATTGAGCTCTTAGACCCTTTAGTTCACTAAAGCACCTGTTTATATTTTTGAGGTCAGTTTTTTTGTTCGCGAGCAAGTATGCAAACGCGGCAGTCGCGCGTAGCATTAGTTTTAAAAACGAGCTAGAAAAATTGACCGAAGGTCAGCATGTCCACGAGCTCGTTGGGAAATTGTCACGTTACGTCGCTTTTGCAATGTGAACATCGATGAGCTTATAAACCTTCTCCCATGTACATGCTTTTATTACCCGGCAATTTGAGAAAAAAAAATTTCAAAATCTGGATATATAAAGCACTCTCATCACCTGGAAAGTTTAGAAAACTTGTTAAAACTCATCTTTAATTACAAGGCACAGGTAGTGCTTTGGAGCCAGTGGCGAAACGTTTAAAGGATGGTGTTAGAAAGTCGAGTTCATCTGCTAAAGTAGTTATTAAAGGTCTGCGACAGTGTTGCTAGGAATCGAGTTACTGTTGATTTTCATAATAACATATTCATCGGGTCATTCAAGGACCAGTCTCTAATAATTTCAAGTGAAGCTTTGGAGAAAGGCAATTTGTATTTTATTAACAAAGAATTATATTCCACGTCTCCTATGATCGATTAAGGAGATCAGTTGGTGGTGTTAAATAGTGAAAACTATAAATTTTCTTTACTATGTGTAAGAATCGTTCTAATAAAGTTATTCTCATAAATATTTTTCAACTTAAAGTTCTCGGTAAAAACGTTCATTTTCTTCTTTTTAGGCTTCAAAATCTCACGTAAGGACCGGAGAAAGTCCCCTTAACTGTAACATCTTATTTTTAGAGAAAAGTGATTTACCACGCGTTTTTGAACGTGACAGTGAACGAAAATTATCTTAAAAAGTTCATTTTCTATCATTGTGGCACCTTATTTTTTGAAAAAGCATGATAAATTAAGCTTTTTCAAAAAAATGAGGTATTCCAGTTAAGGGGACTTTCTAGTGTTCTTATGTGAGATTTTGGAATCTAATGAGAAGAAAATAAAAGCATTTACCGAGTATTATGTAGTGAAAAAAATGTCCATGATGATAACTTTAACAGAATGTTTTTTGCACCACAGTAAAGAAAACATAATTTTCACACATTAATACCAGCTGGTCATCTTAATGCAGTTGAGAAGGCATGCATTTATTATTTCTATGCATGGTTGTCATCGCACAATGAAAAGCTAAAAAATTTCTCTTAAGAACTACGACCCCATCTCACCGATGAAGTAACAATAGATTAATGGCGAAAAATTTCATTTTTTACTTTTTCAGGAACGCCACCTCAATTTCAGCATACTTCTTTTTCTCGGGTCAAGGGTGGATAGCGATGAATAAATCATACCTGTCAGTCTTTTTTTTTTGGCATCATAGTGGCATCGCCGATTGCGAAGTTCGCATAAAAATCATGTAATTATCGTCGCGCCGTAGGTGCAAAAAAACGCAAAGTCGTCACCTAGTGCAAAGATGACGACATACTATTTTTTCTTTTTAGGATAGCTACATTTTTTTCAGCGGTCGACTTGTCCTTTCTACATGCTTTTCTTAGTTATTAGCAACTATGTATATCCTAAGATCGTCAGGTCAGATATACGCAAAATAAAACATCGGTATCTTTTAACTTAAAATTGTTGTAAAGTAAATTAAGAAAAATACGAAGAATTTAATTTGATTCAGAACGTAGGTGTGAATTTCAAAAACCAATTCTCTCTCTCTCTCTCTCTCTCTCTCTCTCTAACACGCATCGCTGCATGACAAATCATAATTCACACATTATAAAAGTCGAACGTCATGCGGCAAATATTGAAATTTTCTTCCAATGCAAGTTCAAACAAGAATGAAACTTAGACATTGGTGCTAAAATCTAGTCGCACGCGCATAATAAAAGCCTGGTGTTTACCGACACGTTAATGAACCGCGCGTGTGCAATCGAAATCTACAAACTCATCAAACCAAAATATACTTTCTAATCACTGTGATGGCTTATTAATTGTGATGCATATACGGCTTTTTGTTTTTCTTTTTTCTTTCGTGATGATTTAAAATGGGTTGTTTGATCGACGGTGAAATTGTGCGGCAAGCGACAACCTTGCAATTACGTTTTTTCTCTCCCTCTCTCTTTCTCTCTCTTAGATTGATATCTTTGCAGGCTTAAATGATGGAATTGGATGTAAGCTTGATCTGTTATTTTCTAAATGATTTGGGTGTATTAACGAACGAAAGCGAAAAACTCAATGCTTTTTCACACGACCGTGGTTTGTCGAATTTAAATTAGCATGAAATTGATATTTTCCTTTCCCTCTACTAACACATAATTTTCATAAATATGTTAAGGATCCATATCGAAATTTTACAAGGTGAGAGCTGGAGTCCTTGCGGTAAGAATCAATATGACAGTAGAATCAACAACTTTGCAAATTACGTTAGGTTTGCTCGTGCAGATTTTCACGGAACCCTCGTACGCTTATGACAACACACCTTGTTGACATTAATTTAGAGCGCGTCAAAGCGAATTGAATATTTTTTAAGTACGTGCTACCACAACACTTTGAAGGCTAAAACGAACTGTGAATTTTACAACGCCGTAAACTCACACGCAGTCAACTAGCCCATCATGCCCAATGACCACGAAACTACAAAAAATAAAAAAAAAAGAAGAAAAAAGGCTTTCAAAGAAAACGGAAAGCTAAGTTTAGTTCAATTTCATACATGAAAAGTTACACACACGCACTCCGCAGATCTTTCGTGCTGCGAACCGATAAGCAATTCGTTATTGAGGCTATTGCACTTGCACAATTTTTGCTAGTTAAGCGGCGACTGGACGCGGAACGAATCGGCAGCAGCTCTTCAGGTTGTTCTCCAAACGAGATATACCGTTGCTTCTTTACAATTTTTCGCATGAACATTTGGCATTGTTTTACTTCTTCTTCATCTTTTTCTTTACGGCTCGAGCGCATTTCGCTCTACTTGTTACGGTATAGTTCGTCCGCGGAAAAAAATTACAACGCAGCGGAAATAAAAAAAAAAAAAAAAAAAAAAATAGAATTTGTGAGGGTTCGCGTTTTTGCTCGGTGTATGTGTTCTTCAAGGTCGAATTTGTTGTGTACACGAATTTTAAATGTATTTCGCCCAAGCGCGTACTTTCACATCGCGAGGTTATATACATCAAGTCCTCGTGGCGTATTGTAAATGTTGTTACTTTTTCTTCGGATCACTCGCTCGAGTATTTTCAACCTGGAAAATCTTACGAATGCGCCGCGTTTGATGTAATAGGGACTTTACGCGGAGATGAATTTTCTTATGGCTGGTGAGTAATTTTTTGAATTTTTATTCTTACAGCTACTCGATCAGCTCATTTAGTTTTGATTGATGTAATTTAATAAAGAATAAGATTATTTCTAGCATGTTATATTACATTAATATTAAATTACGCGGCAAAATTGTGATATTATGCTATACGAAAGTTGTTTATGGATCTTTTAAAACTGTAAAAACATGTTATTATTGTTGATTTTAGACATAGAATAGGGCTAAAGTGAGAGAACACCACTTACAAGGTTAACTGTGCCAATCAAACTATAGAAAATAAGCTTTACTAATTCAGCATGTTACTTAAATGATATGTAAATACATTCTATAACTTGGATTTTCATTTTACCTAATTTATCAATTTAAAAAGATCGAAAACAAAATTTGTAATAACATACGTGGAAACAAAGCAGGCAAATTGTGTATCAAATTTACATGCAGCATATAACAGGCAGTATACATAACGTGCTGTATATATGTGTGTGTGTGTGTGTGTGTGTGTGTGTGTGTGTGTGTGTGTGTGTGTGTGTGTGTGTGTGTGTGTGTATTTGTAATATATAAAGTATAAATGTTTGAAACACCCATGAAGTTAAAAAAACTTTCTCTCTACTTGTGATTCCAAGCAATCGTGTGCAATGAATTTGCGGCTATGCCTGAGAAAGAGATCGCCTTTTGATATATTTACATGGTTTCGGAATAAAGGCATAGTTACGAGTACTTTTAATGCCTGCAAAAAGAGACCTATAATGTATATATTACTCACTATCAAGCTCACTACTTTCTCCCACAGTCCTAATTGCAATTCCAGAATGCATTAATACTAAGGTTATATGTACAAAACAAATGTTAAAAGAATTCTTGGTCTGTTCTTCAGAAAAAAAGGAACGGAGACATTTTCCACGATACCATCAACTCGACGAAAAGAAAGAGGCGTAACCTTTTTTCTTTTTGGGGCTGTACAAGTGTTTCCTTAGAATCAGTTAGTTTGGAAAGGGCGTTACGTCATGTCAAGGCTATCCCGTTGTGTTTCGATGTTATTTTTCATAAAAATAAAAGATTGCTTTTGGAGGGGAAGTCAGACACGGCGCATACACACTCACCGAGACCAACGTAGCCCTTGACGCCTCCGAGATTACGGACCCGAAAGAGGCCCGACTTTTTGAAGGCACAGTTTAACGTGAAACCAAAGTCCGATTCCAATACGCACGTGCCCAGTGCTTCTCGCCACGTGCACCCTAAAACCAGAATTGCAAAAAAAAAAAGAAAAAAAAGAAGAAAAAAGAAGAAGAACTCTAAACCGGCTTCGTTTTTGTTAATATATATACACATGTCTGCTGCGTAATTCATTAATTAGAAGCATGACGATGTAGAAACGTGAGCCTGGTATATATGTACAAAAAAAAGTGTTTGATCATTGAAATATTGATTTTTTTGCTCGCTCCTCATACTCTGTGCTACTAAAAACTGACGTCACGTCAGTCTCGAGTTTGCGTTTTTTTTTTTTTCATTTGTACTCCTCGTCACGGAAAGAAATTGCAGACTGACCATATAGGCTTTGATGCAATTTGGTCGGTGCTACTATCATAACTTTTGACCTGATTTCCAAAAACACCGTCTTGTTTCACAGTCTTGTTAGCGTTATCTTTTTCAATTGTTAAGCTCCATAACGATCACAAGAAAAAACTAATGAGATTGAAGACGCGAGTGAAAATTTTGAATTTTGAGATATTTGCTTTGGTACACCAGAATTAGGAGCATGCCGCGTAAGTGATTCGCGACATTTGCCTTTAAAGAAGAACACCTATTGAAAAGATCGGAATCCGATCAATGAACTTGAACGTGAATCATTGAATACACAAAATGCATTTTTTGTTTCTATTTGCACGGTTAATGAAATTAATTTTCAATAAAGTGACTCAGGTAACTGAAGTGTAAAAACACACCTGACGATATTTCTTGTCGAATTATACCTGCGTCAAAGAAAGAAACAACAAAAGGGAAGGAAGGAGTGATATTAATACGACGGCAAACTGACCTCGATTGTCTTTTATATACACACTCATTATCATTTATATAGACCGCCCGCGTGAATTTGAAATTCTACTTCTAAACTTCTTGATGCGTGGGAACAACTACATATATAAGTGACTAACGAAGACGCTGTCAGGCGTAAGAGTATATAACCGTTTATCAGAGTTCAACGAACCGTTATGTTTTTCTTTTTTTAAACCGTATTTTGAAACAAATTTTTTTTTTTCGCGTGACATCGATCGAAGGTAAAATTCGTTGAATCCCGATGCTGCTCTGGTTTCAACACGTCCGCTCGATGTTCGTTACCAGCGTATATTTTGCGGTCAGGTTTTTTTTTTTTTTTTTTAAGGTCGTTGTCGTTACTCAACATTTCTACGGGATGATTCAATTTCTACATGACATTCGTATTGTTAGTCAGTTTGAGAATGCGCGATTAATAGACTACAAATAAGTGATGCCTGAAGCTATTGTTTTTCAGAATGAACAATCGCTAAAAGGAAACAAATCTATAATTGACGTGTAAGCCGTTATTGTACTATTCACGTGTTCACAACGCTTGTGTGAATCATCGCTAAAGTAACCGTTATGTATACTTTTCATCGTTAAGTTTTAAACTTAAGCTAAGCAAAATCATTATGAAAAAACATTTGGTTTCTGTACTGACGAACAACGTTTGAGTTGAGTACATTCATCGAAATATAATTAATGATTTTTTGTTAACCAATTAATTTCGGAAGAAGATCTCAATTAATTGTGTTATTGATGAAAGCGAAGATCAGATCCATTACAGTATCGAAATTTCTACAATAATAATCTCCTCTAATCCTATTAAAATTGTTGATGATTTAGTGTAAATTGAGATTGCTAAGTATTAGCTGTTGCAATGAAATCGATGTAACCCAATCATTAATTAACCTTTGGCATCTAAAACTGTTGAATCGATGTATGATGATTTGCAAATTATTACAGCTTGATAAATCAGTCGATTTCGTACAAAAATGAGCGTTACATCAGTCTCGATTTTCGTATCGCTAAAACTTCGAAACGAGACGTTAAACAATCACAACGAAAAAAACAAGATCGATTTACCAACGACGAGTCATAAAACCCATAGCAGCTAGTGCACATTTCACAAAGCTCACTTTTCCTTCGGCCAAAGCGAAGGTTCCACCGAAAAGCAAAATCAGTAGAGCACGCGGGCAGCGCAAAACACCGGAAATTCCTGAGCATGTCGGTTGGACGTCGTCGCACGGCGGCCGTAGCCTAATGACCCACTTGAGACGCGAGCGCTCGCGCGCGGAGCTTTCGTAACGGAGGAGCCGATCTTCGGCATATAAATGCTAATCGCTGCCCGCGTGCCCATGCGACATGCGTGCGGACAAAGGTGTGTCGTTCACTTCTGAGAAAGGACGGGCTCTTTTTCATGTCTCTGCTCTGAAGTGACGCGCGCGCTTGATGACGATGAGAACACAACGAGTGCGGACGATTGTCGTCGAGTGCGTAATCGGTCATCGGTCGGATCGCCGATTTTTCGTCGTGTCGAAAATAACAACGGCGGATAAACATCGTCTAATCGATCAATCGGTCGCGGCGGACAATTTCGCCCGTTCTAACTCTTGTCTGCAGATCTGAAGCTAACGACAGTCTTCTGATTCGCAATCGAAAGAGATGTCGCCGTTGCAAATCAGCCAAGTCGCATCGCGAAATTGTAACCGCGCGAGCGATTATCAGTCGTAGATTCAGCGTAGCCCCAGCCAAGATCTCTTTCGCGCTCGTACCGAATATATATGTGTGTATATATATATGTGTGTGCAACCCGAACGCACTGCGGATTCGAGTCACGCCGAAACGTCGAAAAACTCATTTATTTCTCGACAATCTGCGAGGCGTCCTGCGTTTGCGCGCAAGCGAACCTTCGTGGAAAAGCTACGCGACTGCCGCTTTCTACGACGCTTCTTTCCTTCTTTCTTTCTTTCTTAACGAATGCTCGCCGTTTTTGCACGTTTAAATAAATATAATCGAAAACGGCGAGGATGATGATGAGAACGACGTCGGAATCGTGATGCTTGAAATTTCATATTTCTTTTGTTAATGAAATGCAACTTGTGACATCTTGCCGCGTGGAGCCGACTTCTATCGCATATCGATGATGAAAAATATGACGGTCGCATGGAAAGTATTCCTCGATCGAAATCAGATTGTTACGTTAGATAAGACGAAACTGATACGCGCGCTGCATTGGGACGAATTGCGTTCGTTAAATTTTGCTATTGTTTGTCAAAAAGAAATCAATTTGACACGATGCTACGTATCTACCATCGAACTGACGTTTAACTTTTGAAACTATAAGATGATTTTAGAGTTCGTCGATACCGATCATACTTTTTTCACATGTTTTTTGCAAACGATGAAAAAAGAATTCTTTTAATAAAAGTACAAGTCACTATAATTATTCTTCTTCGCAATAATATCTTCGATGCCCCCCCCCCCTCCTCCCATGTGCTTCTGATTACCGTAGAGACTCGATGACCTCTTACACTTTTTTCCTCAAATGATTGACAGCTGCAATTATGCGCGCGATAGTATAACGGAGAAAAATCGTTCAAATCGCTCGATTTCTTTATGTTTTCACTCTCTGTTTTTTCCTCTCGCGACGTATCGTGACAACTATCTTGACGATTGCATACGTGGAGTGATTATTAACTTTCGATAGCGTCCTATTTTTCCTCTCCCTTGCCTCGTTACAGCGCACGCTTTGCATGCACTTTCCAACTGAAATTGCCGAGTAACGCGCGATTTGACGTATCCGCGAGTCGGCTCCTCGTAACGAGTGTCGTCCTTTCAGGAGAACCAATCGCTCACAGCAATTTCCACGGGTGGCTTGCGTCGCGACTCTTCTCTTCGCCACTTTCGGCGAAATACGTGGGCGATGTCGCGCGCACGGACTTCCGGGGCGAGGGGGGCAAGCCGATCGATTCGACAGATTTTTTGCCGGCAACGGCGGAACGGTGGATCGATCGAGCCGAAAAGAAAGAAAAAAGGTGACGCGCATTGCGGAAAGCGTGCGTTTGTGCAACACGCCGCTCGGAATTACTTAACTCTCGCGCGCGCACTTTTTCCATCTAAATAGATCCTCGCGGCTGTAGGTTTTCCTCGAGCGCACGGATATGCGGTATATACGTATTTCATCGATAAATCATGTGTTAATGAATACTTCCAATACTTCCTTGATTATGAAATGGACGATTACATTTTACAAGTCATTTCACACTCGTCGTCGTATTTATTCTTATTTACTTTTGTTTTCTTTAGTTATGTACATTGCATTTGAGATATATATTATGTACAATAAAGTAAGTTGGTGTATTTAGCTACTAGTATATTTAGCTACTGGAGAGTCGTTAGTTTGAGAGTTGAAAAGTCATGGTATTAATTATGTATAGATACTAGTAGAGTAGAAGTCAGTCAAGAAGTCAGAAATTAATAGCACAGAATATATGTATACGTATTTTTTACACTTTTTTTGAAATAGAACAATGCCCAAAAGAACCTTTTAGAAATGAGATTTCTAATGATATAGTACACGTTACATATACACGTTTTGTAGATGTGTACATTAATCTTAACGTACAGTCTACAAAAAAAGAGGATGTTGAAAAAAAATCAAATTTCAATTTTGCAACTGTAAAAAGGATCATTCGGCGCGAACGAAGCAATCATTTGAATTTACAACATATTACATTGCTGACGCGGAATGTGCTGGATAATTAACTGAACGTAGCCGTGAGTTTCGAAAATACTCATTCGACAGCTTCGTAAGCGGCGCTTATCGTCCTTTTTACAAGAAATATTTACTGCGACACACAAAATACGACCATCAAAGTTTCTCGCACGCAAGCGTAAACAATATGTTTGTACCACCGACGAGATTTACACGGGCGCGGGAAATCTAGTAGGAAAGGAGGTCTCCGGGCCCTCGAAAATGAGGAGGAAACCGAAAGTGACCATACACGCGCGTCAAGTAAAGGCGACCGGTGCAACGTGTGACCTACAACCGGTCACAATCAAAGGCTACTCTACCCACTTTATTTGATACATGTAGCGTACTTTCACTGGATAAAGTGTATCACATCCCGCAAAATATATTGTTTACGCTTACGCGTCGACCGAAGAGAGAAGTAAGTAGGTTACGCATTATTTGGCAGTGACTTACCGACGACGACGAAGAGAAATAGCGTCGTGGCGATCTTCATGTTCGCCAACGTTTCGCGCCGCTTTTCGCGTCCCGACGGCGAAACGAAGTGAAGCGTGGGTCCGATCACCGAGACGAAAAGCAAAAGCAGGTGCTCGCTCGCTCGTGCACTGATACCGTATGAAGGACCGCGCGCCTTCGCTGAGGCCGCCGAAGGGGACCTGCCACCTCTACCGGCAGCGCAGCAAGGCCCATAACACAGCTGAGTGTGGTGAAAGGTTGGGGGTGGGGAGGTATAATTGTGGCCGATCGACTGTGTGTAGCGATGACATATACTCGCGCCGATTAACATTATTAGTTCGAGCGAGTGTGCGCGCCAAGTTTCTTCTTTCATATTGCCCGGGTTTTGGCTTGTGCTTTTACTTTCTTGGCTCTTCGAGTGCGTCCAACGTTATTTTTCAACCTAGACGCTTATGCAAATGTTACCTTTGAAAATATTCTAATTTTAGTTACGTGTGGATGCACTGGAATAATACATTTCATTCATTAAAAAATCCTATTCGAGGCTTAACTTTATTTCGTATATTATTCAATTTATATCAATTATGCTATTATTTTATAAAGTTTTAATTGGGAGTTACTGCTAATACGTAAACAAAGCATTTTCTGTAATATATAAAATAATATTCAAGCAAATGCAGAGTATTACAGTCAATAGCTTGTGCAGTCAACAGTCGAGGGTTCCATTTTTTATATTACGATCTGGATTCGTTTTTAACTATCTCGACGCATTCAATAGGTAACAAAACATGAATTGCTAATCCCAATTTATTATTTTATCCGCTGCTTTAAAGAACTATTAATAAATAATTTGCCTATGAAATCGCTACCGATCGCTCCATAAATCTCAAGGTTCAAACCGATTCCAGAAGATGTCGATATAGAAACGATGAAAGTAAAAGAGAGGAAGAGGAGCGTACGAGAGAGAGAGAGAGAGAGAGAGAGAGAGAGAGAGAGAGACGTAGAAAAAGAGCTCGTGAAAAGGAAAAAGAGGCAGAGAAAGAGACGTGCCGCTGACCCACTCGTCGGCCGGTAACGGGATTCTGAGGTGCGTATGTGAGTGCGTGTGCGTGCAGACGTGAGGACTTCTGTCGGGAATAACCAGAGATTGCTAATAGACAAGATCGATAGATGGCGATAGACGCCGTTTTAGTTGATCATCGAGCATCCCAACGGAACTGCATTGATATCTGGTACTAAGCGGCAGCCCGATTGAGAGAAAGTTTTCGCGTTAATTCAACCGAAGATTAGATGCAAAAAGAATTACTGTCGGTCGACGTTTCACAACTCACGCTGTTTACTCCTTTTTTTTATTTTGATGCCCCGCTTGTGGGCTGCATTAGCACATCCAGAAAAATAATTCTGAATTTCAAATTCGACCATGCTCAGAGTGGATGTGTCGAAACTCGATGTAGAATACATAATTATCGACGTTCTCGTGGATTGAATTATGTGGCCTCGAATTTTCGATCTTTAATAATGATTTCGGACGGTACAATTTCGCTAACGTATGACGAAATTAAGCGGGACAGCTGTCTATAATAACTTTGACGAGCCTCAAAATAAAATCAATTTGCGGTCAAAGTAGGAATCTGCAATTTGCAAAACACGCAAGACCAATCAGTGAGCTTTGCATATATGACTTTTTAAGAGACATCACTTACAGAAATATCTAAAGTATTAATTTCATAATTCTATAATTGATTGCTAAATGCATGATGCAATATTCTCTTTGGTAAATCGAGTTGGGTCACATTTCTTTGGCTCGGGATAAATATTTGGATCGACGTGAACCCGAGAGACCGATACTTCGTGTTCTTTTCTATGGTAAAATTTGAATTTAGAATCTCGAACTTACTTAACAACATTTTTAAAATAATAACTTGAAAAACCATCTCGAGGTATTCAAGTCGTAACAAGTTATCGTTGGAATTTCTCAACTGCTGATAATCGAACAGTTTCTTGTTAAACTTCATTGCTTTTTATTACTATTATTATTCAATTACTAAATTATTAAAATTAGTTCATAAATACAGCGAGATGACATTTCAAATCTAGCTATAAAAGAACTATGGTTTGACCGGTCGTTTCCAATATTTTTAATTTCCTGGTAATTTTTTCTGTTAAACAAAAATAACTCCTTAATTCACAAATAATCTTCATAAAACAGTCTGTATATGAAAAAAAATTAGTATCACAATTATATGAATATTATACTCCACTAAGGAATATTTTTTATTAACTTTGAAATTTTGTGAATATAAGGGCAGGTAATCCCCATAAATCGATTTTTTGATGAAATTTCCGAAACGTCTTGACTACAATTTTCCGTTTTCTTTACAAAAATGTATATTTTAATTTAATTCAAGCGATTTTGAAAAGCTGGTACTCGAAAAATTAAAAACAAAGGAATATTTTTACTAAAAAAAATTAGAAGTTGTAATCCTTTAGGGTACAAATAATTGACATAAAACTGCCATTTTATGATAAACAATTTGGCATTAGAATTATATCAATATTCAATTTTTTTAGAGATATTGAGAAAAGATTACTTAAAGGGGTCATTTTAAGGGTTGTTTTCACCCCCTATAAAATCCCTCCCGTCGATAAAAAAAATACGTGTCTCTTATTTTGTACGTTCTACAACATATTACAGTTACATAAAAATCGGAGGCGGACACCTTACAAGGGTTCCTTGTCAGTTGTATATTTAAAAATTCTTATTAAAAAGTTGACTAGAAAAAGTAACGATACTACATTATCAATGTTTTCAAATTAATTTCTTTTTTAATTTTCTCGAAAACATTTTCTTAAATTTTTAGAAAACCTTTCTAAACGAAAAGAAAATTAGTAAAGTAAAAAGATCTCGACTCTTGACCGAGCACAAATAAAAATGTTTCTTGTTCACTTTAACTTTTAGAATCGTGCGCTCAAGTCTTTGAGTTAGATTTGTTTCAATTAATAAATAGTGTTTTCATAGGCCACATACTCATTCCAGATTTCGAAACTTATAAGAGAAAAAACTAAAGCTTATTCTAAGCACTTCGAGATGAAAAAATGGTTCTATTACAGTCGCTAAAAGCCACTTTTTCGAAGACTTTAAAATTAGGCGTTGACAACCATTTGTGAGGAAGACGATGTTTGTAATGAATAATTCAGTAAGTCATCACCACGCGCACCTGTGAAACTTTAATCTATACAGAGACAATACCTCGATTTTTGAAAAATATCTCCAGTTCCGGGTTCGTACTAATCGCAAAATAGCGGGCGTTGTGGTGGATGAATATAATTGTTTTGCCGAGTAAGTGCTGTATCATTATAACACTTGAAAATCGTAAGAAATGTTTTAAGAAAAAACCATGACTCTTCGCTACATTATAAGCTATGGAAATGTTCGAACGAGCATTTATTGATATTAATAGAACTTTGTGAAAACTTTTTCATAAAATCTGTATATTTGGCTTAGTCGACCACGGTGACATTACGATTTGTACTGATCGTAATGTACAGACCATCGAGACATCGCGAGCGTATAGGCAAAGCTACGTGAAACAATGAATATATGCACTGGTAAACAAACAGCGACCATATATGGTCATTCTTTTCATCGTTTCGATCATTTCGCTCGCTATGGCTGGTCGCTTACAAGTACTGTACATTCAAGGCTCGGCAAGAATGAAAGTTATATAAAATTCATATAAATGGTTGTTTATAAGCATTTTTAAGTATGAATTACTCAACAGTACGGTCGTTCTTGGTTTGCCAAGGTGATGCTACCACTCAAATTACCCATTGTTCGACGAATTCGATCGCGTACCTAAGAGACTTACTTGGTTATCAATGGAGTGGTAATGGTAATATGGTATATGCGATTAGTATATTACGACAAGTAGTTGATTACATAAAAAATTTGAATCACAAGCTAGATACGTGTTAAATAAACAAACTCAATTACTTTGACCTAAACTTTAAGGAGACACTATGAACATATATACAAGATCTAATTAAATCTATTGAGATTATCGCGTTTGCTGGGTGCCAGGTGAATCACAGAACTAACGCGTGCGTTACATTGTACGAGTGCTTTGAGGGTCGTAAGATCGTATCTATATCACTTTTCTCTCTTTCTATCTTATATTTTAGTTATTTGTCCGATATAGATCTGCAACTAAGCTAATGCATTTATTACAAAAATATATTTGTTTATTTTACTCTTCAGAAGAAAGAAAAGACTTTAGTGGACGTATCATTAGTTGATTGGTCAATTCAGAATATACAGATTAATCAACTTTGAACTCCAAAATATCAGCCTAAACATTGTAAATAATTTGATACCAACACCAATTAACAAAAGAAAGAAGTTGGTGTTTTTATATTATTTTCTCATATTTATGATAATATATCAGTTAGTTCAGCGACCGAACCGTTAAGATTAACTAAATAAAAATATACCGAATGGCCTGATCTAGTTTGTACACCTCTATACTTTACCATCATTTACGATTGAATATTCAGATAACTTCTTCACATTTCTACAATTTATAATAGCGACCTTGTGAGATGTTAACCCCAGGCCTCGTGGACTCGTAATCCATCGCGCGTACGCGTGTGTATGGATGTACACGATAATCTTTCCATCAACTAGACTTTTGAAATACTACGCATACTGTGAAATTAAAGTATTTCTATAGGCTATTATTCTGGACGAAAGGGAATCACATCCATGAAATTACCTCTTCAAATATTTGCAGCTTTTAGCCGAACAAACGCTCACGCCATCAAGGACGTATCTTATGAGCTTATAAATATTCAGTGTGCATTGCAAACGCTAAATTAAATTAAATTTCAAATGTTCTACAAGCTTCATTTTCATGACAAATGTTCAGCTTAGATTTTTTTTTACTACCAATTTATGAACTATGTAAGTTACTTGTGTTTTATTTAAATTATTTTGAGGCAAAATTTTTAGCCTTGATGGCTCTACGCGTCGAAAACGTGATTGTTACTTTTTGAAAGATTGAAGCGAAAACATTTTGAGACACTTTTTATAGCATGGTATTTTATAGTTTTTGCCGAAATTAGATATGTACTTTTATTTACTGACTAGGGGATTCCGGGTGTCCTTTTTTGATGAAAATATCGTAACATAATTTTTCGTCAATTGAACTTACGCATTTCGTAACTTTTGAGATTATATTTTTTACAAAGTTAACAAAAATACAGACAAATATTGTCACAGAAAAAAAACTTCTTTAAATACTAAAAATATATCAACTAAACGTATTTTTCATCGCACATCGTATCAAGCAATGACATCGATCAATATGTCATTGTTCGATAAGTATACATTTTACTTTAGTATCATTAACAAACAAAGATTACATTTCCAATTAATCATTTAGTAAGTCGTCTTCGATTAAATTTCCATCGCAGAAAAACCGGTATCAGTCAAGCGGACTTTTTAGCTAACTTATCTAATCTCCCTTTAGCGCGTTACTAGGATGAAAAATCTACCGCACTCAACTGAATAATATTTTTACGATATGCACCAGATATTGTAATCAGTTGCTAAGCCGTTCGAAAAATCTCTCTCTATCTCTCCCTATAAAAACTGAAATTGCATCGTTAAGGAATTTCAGATGGCAGTCAAAGATGAAAATGCAGATGCATTATTATTTTTCACTTTGTTCAGCAGCCGCTTCGTTAAACTTGGATTAATTTGTAGTATTTAACGAGAATGTTCATTTCCTCGCTTTAAGTTCTAGTGCGCGTTGCGTTTTCAAATATAAACTACAGCGAATCTTATCAGTCGTTAGAACAAAGTCAAATTAATTGTTTAATTGCAACGTGTGTTATATGGCTTCGCAGCTACACACCACAACGTCTGAGGGTGACGCAATCTCGTAGTTCTTTGTTTGCCAGAGCTATGATTTCTCGCTTGAATTGGGATAGATTATTGTTGAAACGATAATAGTATCTATGCACTCGAGGAATGGGCTTTAAAGCGGATGACGAGCTAAAGGGAAAGATGGAAAATTATTTGAGTTTCCCTTACTATTATTTCTGTTCAAAATTCTCAATTGTAGCTCTGCACACTACAAAACTAGGAATTGGTTCTTAGCTTGGTTACCTGGCTTCCTGACGAAAAACTGTTGAGGATGCGAGTGACTGTTTCAGAGTGCTAATCTGCCTGTCGGCAGACTCAAGTCAGAGGGCTACATGCTTAATTGAACAGACCTTATTCAAGGACTTGGAAGCGAATTTCCTCCGAAGTCCCAAAATTTCCCTTGAGCTTTGATGGAAAGCACTTGATTGAGGCTTGTCACTAGACATGTCTCGTTACGTATCGTTTGCGTGGCTTTTACCCACGCTACAGTTGGTTATTTATGTGTGTAGAGATACTTACAAAATTATTATTTAAAACTACTTTGTCTATCGGTTTATAAATTGTAATAATTTAAGCTGAAAATTCTAATTGATTCAATAGTTATTTTTAAAGATGCATTTAAATCTTTTTTTTTATCAAATAGTACAACAGATACTAATAGATTTTTTCGTATAATTGTTATTATTACTATGTAGAATAAGCAGTACGAGTGTCAAGAGTTTATGAGTTTTCAAGTAGTCAGGGTATAGTTTTCAGGTTAAAAAAATAAAGAAAGGGATCACGCATGCTTTGTGCCACAATCTAGCTACCAACTTGGGAACAAGACTTTGAGAAAAGTCAAAAAAATAGCGTTGGAGTGAGAGTTGAACCGAGAGTGGAATCCTTATCTACAAGAGCAGAGATGAACACTTCACCGTTACGATTGTAAAAAAAACTTTTAAAAAAGTAAAAAGTTAGTAGAATACTATGTGTAATAGTTTCGCTTTTTACTTTCTACGAGGAAAAAAAATTATTTGTCATTTGATGATTAGTGAACATTAATTATCGGTTTACGAAATAAAATATTTAAATAATATATGGGTAACAGAAAAATTCATAATAAATTTACTCATATATGGTAGTGTTGCATGTATCCGGCAATCATGCTGCGATCGCTGTCACAACCCTTGATATATCGTTTATATAGATAAAGCCGATGAACAAAGGCTTCCGTTAGCCTTAAAATAATCGAGTGCAAATTATCTACATAGACTATATCGTAAACTAAGATAGTACTGAAGTAGGAAAAGTGAGTGACCTTTAGACAATCATAGTAAATGTTTACATATTAGGAAATGTTTCACTAAAAATAATTCAATTTCTAAAACTTTTTTTATCCTTCACGATTAAGCCTCGACCAAAACTTTGCAGGAATAAGTTCATAGATTTAAATTTACCCTACCTTTTACTTGTATGTTTACAATAGTTAAGAAATCAATTAATAATACATTTAAGTGTGAAAAAAGGAGATAAATCTACTAACATTATAAAAATCGAGGAAGCCATTTTGAGGTGGATCACTAGCTAACATGTATATTCAAGTAGTATTTTATCTGATTTTTTTTTTTAAGAAACTTATGTATTTGAGAATAATCTAAAAAAATGGATTTCATTTAATTTGACTATAAACTAGTATCCCATAAAATTACTAGAAAATATTATATTTTATCTTATTATTTACAAATAAATCTATATGATTGATATTGCAATCAGTGATGTCATACTCGATTGCACTTCGTTTGCTTCCAGCTATTTCCGAACTCAAGTTAGTATCAGATAAGTTGTCGCGAAAGAAACAAGTAGTCTGAGATCCTGTAACATTACGTAATAGAAATTAATAGAAATCTGTTTCTATTAATTTCTAGAAATTATTGGTAAATACTTGTACGTTAGAATGGCTATTCTAACAACAAATTGGACACAAGATTTATTTTTCTACATAACTTTATTACTCTTGGGTCTTTATTTCTATTTAACAAGAAATTTCAACCAATGGAAGAAAATCGGTGTTAAGTATCTTCCCCCAAGTATTTTATTTGGAAATATCCGGGAATGTATTCTTGGGAAACAAACTGCTTACGATTTTCTACAAGATGTTTATAAAATTGGCGAAGGCGAAAAGTTGATCGGTTTTTATGCCATGGATCGGCCATACTTAATGGTGCGAGAGCCAGAACTCCTAAGGCGTGTTTTTGTCAAAGATTTCCACAATTTTAGTAACAGATTGATGGCGGGCTATAAAAATGACGTGCTAGGATCGTTTAACGTTTTCCTCATCAATAATCCACCATGGAAACAATTACGTCAAAAATTGACTCCATTATTCACAACGGGAAGACTTAAAAAGATGTTTCATCTGTTTATGGAAATTAACGAGGACTTCCAAATTTATTGTGATAAATTAGATATTGATGGTAAGAATTAACATGCAATAAGGATAAATGTCGAAAATTTAAGCTCAAATCGGTTAATATTTTGTACGAAGTAGATCAACGTAGATAACGTTAATTGTGTTATTCGGACCAAAACGTTTAATCATTCTCCCATTAGACTTATACTTAATCGAGTCTAGCGTACTACTCAAATATGTATAAATATTGAGGAAAATCTGTTATTTTACTCAGATAAAATTGGTAAGCCTGTGGACGTTAAAGAAACATGCGCAAGTCTCACGACAGATTTTATCGGTATATCGGCTTACGGCATGAAATTCAATTCTTTGTTGAATCCAAAAGCCGAATTTCGAAGATATGGCAGAGCAATGTTCAAGAGTACCTACTTACGTCATTTAGAAACCTTAGCTATTTTCTTTGTGCCAGCTTTGAGGCCTTTGACAAATCCGAAATTCTTCGGCGATGGGTCCGATTTTATAATGGACACCTTTCACTATGTAATAAAGGAGAGAATAAAGAGCAGACAGAAGAGAGACGATTTAGTCGACGCACTCATTCAAATGAATGAAAGTCAAATCGATGGTGCTTACAGTATGTATTATTTTATGTTAAATATATGTTGATGTTACACTATATGATATTCAAACGCTGTTACACGTTACAAGAGGCCTCATTTTATTTTCATTTAAAATGTCGCTAAACTCGCAATTACGTTAAAATTGAAATTAATTATTTTTACGGTTTTTTTTCTATCGTAATTAGAGTTGAATCTAGATCAACTGATTGCTCAAGCAGCGATATTCTTTTCCGCCGGATTTGAAACTTCTTCCACGACAATGTCATTTGCTCTGTACGAATTAGCGAAAAATCAGGAAATACAAAATAAGCTACGAGAAGAGATTCTAACTGCTATGGAAAAAGCAGGTGGTAAATTAACTTATGAATGGGTGAGATGTATATTTTAAATGCCGTGATCTGCAAATAATGCTACATGATTGGCGTGGTACAAATTACTTCTTAAACGTTAATAATTGTTCAGGTAACGAGTATTCCATATTTACATATGGTGATTAATGAAACGATGAGATTATATCCAGTGCTTGCGTGGGTGGATCGAATAGCAGATAATGATTATACGTTCCCTGGCACCAATGTAACTATACAGAAAAATACAGCACTTGTGTTACCTATGAAGGGTCTACAAACCGATCCAAAGTACTGGCCAAATCCTCAAATATTCGATCCAGATCGGTTTTCCGATGAAAATAAAAACAATATAGTACCATTTACGTTCTTTCCTTTCGGCCTGGGACCACGAAATTGTATAGGTAATAATTAGTTTTAGTTATTTGCTATAACCTTACGCTTCGGCCACTTTCGTCGTTAAATTCTATTTAAGTATAATTTTTCATTCGTTGAACAATTTTTCACTTTGTTTTCCATAAAAATGTTTTGTTACAGGCGAAAGATTAGGCTATCTGCAGGCCAAGCTTGGTTTAATCAACTTTATTAGCAGATTCACAATTACACCTTGCGAACAAACGCCAAAGACAATTACGTTTGATCCGCTTAGGGTTTTTACTTACACACGTGGTGGCTTATATCTGAATTTTAGAAAGCTCGCGAAATAGAAAACTATGTAATCTGTTCTTTAAGCGCTTTAGTGAAAAAAAAATCTTCAAATAAAGATAGAATCTATTGTTTTCTATTTGTTTTCACAATCAACAACAAACCAAGTAACCTTTAAAGAGATTAGATGATCGATTGGTAAGACGAGTTGGAATATGTAGGTCTGAAAAGAATTTCGTTAGTTAAAAATATATTTATAACTTTTTCGTTTGCAATAATTTAAAAAGATAATATGCAATATCGATCTTACGAAGCACGCAAAATACGCTGAAATTAAAAAATTTAGATTATGTACATACACTGTTATTATTAAATAATTGAATAACTTTGCAGCTGCTCAATATGACATTGTGATTAATTAAATTTGAAAAAAATAATATTTCTAATAGCGTGGAACCCTCTTTTTTCACTCTTAGTATTCTTTTTCATTCAGTTTCAAGTACACGTCAGTCTGGGAATTCAAAATATGTTTTTAACTGAATATCTATTTGATATTGTTGTTCTACTTTTTAAGATAAAAAAAATAAAAAATTTGATTTTAAGGACTACAAGACACCTGTAAAAATATGATTCATTGAATTTCTACATATTACGGAGCGTGCACGAACATCAATTGAAAAATAAGATAATAGTCAATGCACATTCTCTGACTAAACGGTAAATTAAAGATGTCTGGAAGCCGTTATCTTTACTGAATCGAATTGGATCAAACTTTTTTGACTCGGAATAAATATCATGAGTACTGTGGATCCTAAAAATCAAAATCAATATAGTCATATCCTTTGGTATTGTAAAGTGCCATTTTAGATTTTATAGCCTTCAAGGTAAATTCAGAAAAAAGTTATTACTGTTTGATATATTCGCATAGCCTCAAAAAATAAATTGTCGATGAAGGAGTCATTTGAGCAAGATCATTGTACCAAAAATCAATTTCACTATTTAAGATCAAATCTAGGTATTCAAGTTAAAGCAAATTATCATAAACCAAATCATCTATAGTCTACAGTGCCAACTCAAATCAATAAAAAGTCGTAACTATAGAGATGAACAAGAAATTTTTTTACAAAAAAATTACTCACAAAGTTAAAGTTCAATGAAGATATTAATGAAACAGGATCACCTTTCTAGCATACTCTTCCAATGAACTCACTCCCATTGAAATTAGTTTAGCAATTTCAGAGATATGCGAGAATTAGCTAGCGTTATCGCTGGAAAATTTGTGTCTAGGATCACAAAATTCTTTGACCAGTAAAGCTATTTAAAATTTTTAACCAATTTTTTTATTACCATTTGGACTGTAGAATGGAACTTAGAATGGGAAAATATACGCTTAACCTGGTTCAATATTTTCGTGACTGTAGAAGTAATTTATCTATCGGAAACGCTGATTGATTCCTCCTATTTAGAAGCCGGCAATAATATCGTACAAGTCGTTCTATTTTTGTCTTACTCTGTTTGCCGATTTATTTTTTATATCATTAATTTTGTTATAGTCTTTAGAGAAAATGAAAATGCGCATGACAAATACTTTGATAAGACTAAATAATTTTTTATCTTTTGAATTTATTTTATTTTTAATAAATATGTACATTTTTTTCAACACACTTACACACTTGTTTTGGAGAATAACTTCGTCTATTAAAAAAATACTGGCATACATTTAGTAAAATAAACTGCAGAATGTTATTTAAAGAACAAGCATTTTCTCTTAGATGAATATATAACAAAATAAATGGTGTCAGTTGTATAAAATGATATTTCAAATAAACAGTTAATTTAAAAATACTAAAACACTTAAGTTGTGAATGAACAGTCGTTACGGAGTATTAAAAATAGTACGTCTAACAAAGCAAACATCGCATTTTTACAATACAACATAAAAACTCAAAAAAAAGTCTTAAGTTATGACAAGTTATTTCGAATTAATCCTTAAAAATTGTTTTTTGTTCGTTTCACATGAGTATGCTATGAAAAGATATTATTTTATACTTCATGTTAATGACTATTATAATAAAATTAAAAATAGTCAGGAACTCCAGTTTTAAGAGAAATCTACCTTTAAGATGATTTCTACATTCCAAGATATTTAAAAATCCATATTAATGAGTTACCTCATAAATAGTGTTTATAAAAAAGAACACTTATCTTACATATAAATATCTCACTCGTGATAAGTTCTTACAACTAAAAGATTCACACATGGTCAGTTGGGATCTACTGGGTAAAGATTTTTTGGTTCTCAATTTCCTTTTTTCTACCACTCTCAAAGGCAGTTTGACAAAAAAGCAATTATTTTTTCTTCTTTTTGCTATCCTATAATATGAAATAAAATTCTTTTTAATGAAAAAATTTTTTTTAATGAAAAAAACTTTTTTAATGAATATTTTTAATTAACTTTTTTAAATTATTCAATTATATAGACGTTTTCATAAAATTGTGAAAAATGTACCTTTGGTTTCTTATGGCTTACAGAATTCTGAATATCTTCATTAGAAATTAAAGCATTGCAACTTTCAATCTGATTTTTTGTTGTTGAATCATTGTCAATGTTAGGAACAACTGATTTATCCTTCTCATCATTCAAAGCCTCATTTTCCACTAATACTTCAGTAGCTTTTTCTTTATCCAACAATTTAACAACTTCATTTTTTACTTCCAAAGATTCAGTCACCTGCTCTGAATTTGATTTTGGAATCTCATTTATTGAAGTTTCACTCTCATTTTGAATTTCGACAGGCACTTGTATTGCATCCGGTTTATTCTCATTATTTAAATTACTTTGTTGACTAACTTCATCAATAATAGAATGTACTACTTCTGTAACAGGTATTTCAATTAGCTTAATTTCATTTTCATTATTTACAATTTCTAGAGCAGTATCAACTGTTCCATTTTTATTGGCTTCTTTTGAATCTATACTCAAAGGTTTGATTTCTTTATTATTTTCAGTACACGATCCATCTGCTTTTGACATAGTTTCATCAGTCTTGTTGTCAATTTGATATTCATCATTAGTCTTATCTTTTACATTATTCAAAGCTGGTAATCCATTTAATGTTGACTCTGCTTCAATGTTCTCAATAGAAGGATCAATAGTTTTTTCTTTTAATTCAACTAAAAGAGTTGCTCTTTCTTGTTGAAAAGCTTTACACAATTCTTGAAGAAGTTGACATTTTTTATTTAACTGAACAATTTCGGCATCTCTGGTTTGTTTGTCAGTCACCATTTCTAATAGTGCAGCATGACTGTTTTCCCAGCGTGTTTTCCACATATTGTTATCCTTTTCTAGCTTCAATATTTTTTTAGACATCTGTTTAAAATAAAATTATAAAATTTGTCATCTACATTTGATAAAAAATCATGTAAGCTAAGTTATTTAAAAATTTACCTTTTCCATTTCAGCATTGAATCCTCCAAAAATTTCATTGCTTTTACTCAAAGCATTCTGAAATTCATCATATTTTTCTGTGTACATTTGAACTTGACTTCGCAAGTTTGATTCAACTGCATGAAGTTCCTTTATTTTATTTTGATATTCAGTGAGTTTCTGAAAATTAAAAATAAATTCAACTAAAAATCATATTTTATCAGAATAATCACTGCAATCTTAAAATTCTTACTAATAAAAGAAGATTTTTCTCTTTTAGCAGATTTTCTCTTTCCTCAGTCATTTCTAAATTCATTTTGGCAAGTTTTGCATCAGCTACTTGCAATTCTTGTTTCATAACTTGATGCATACTTTCAAAATGTTGTTCCCTAATATCCATTTCGTCAAATACTGACTTAAACTTTTTGTGTATTTCAATATTATCTTCATGTAGTTTGACATTTTTGTCATTTGTTTCAGCCCATAATGTTGTGATTTCTGTCAGTGTACTTTGGAAGTTAGCAGAAACTTCTTTTCTTTTTTCTTCCTCTTCTCTGATTTTCAATAAACTTTCCTCTTTGACTGCCTTATTTTGCCTCTGCAACTCTCGACATAAATTTTCTAATCGACTCTTTGCTAACACAGCTTTACTTTTTTCGGATTGACATTGCTCTTTCTCTCTTTGAGTCATTATAATTTTTTTTTCCATTTGCTTCAAATTCATTTGTAATTTACGATTCTCATCAACGATTTCATTGTATTTTTTGCATACTGCAAAAAGTTTTTCTTCTGGTGTATTCAGCCCATTGAGACTTTTTAAAATATATTCTATACTTTTATCCTCTTTCTTTCTGGATTTTTCATCTTTGCCACTACGCTTCTCTTTATTGCTGACTACAACTGACTTTGGCTAGAAAAAAAAAATACTTTTAATTGACACTTTCAAAACATTTCAAAAGATTGATACTTTGAAAACTCTGCCAATTTATTAGCAATTAAGATTCTTTAATTTTTAATTGTTCTAATTAATTAATTATTTACTTTATGAATTTTATAAAATTAATGGTTTTTTTGCAATTGTTACTAATCTATTTTTTATTAAGCAACTAGCAATTTTCAGATATTTTTTATCTAATGAATTCTTTCAATGTTTGTCATGATTTTCTTTGGAAAATCAATAGCCTTGATAGTGCAACAAGCAGTTAGATTTTTAATTTTTTCAATAAAATCACTGTTTTTATCAATTATTATCAAAAAGTTACGTGTATACTCACATCAGATTGATTGTGCAAGATCTCACTTTAAAGCTACTATTATAATCTTTACAAGAATAGTTTATGTAATAAATAAACTTTAGTTAAATATGGCAATTGTTACCATCCAGGGTTCTTATTTTATTTTACAAACCAAACACATCATTTGCTTTATTTAAGATAACTCAAGTGAGATATAATCAAATAGATTGTACAGAACTTTATTTGACGATTTAAAATGCAACCTCATAGAATGTAAACATTTATTTCAGTCAAAAATTATGACTGTTTATATCAAGAATACCATGTTAAATGCATACAATTTAATATAAAATACCTTGCGAATGTAAACTGAATGAGCTGTATAATGAGTTTCATTGATTGTTCATAATAAACAATATTTATATTAAATTTTAACTCAATTCGATCAAGGTTACTCTTATTATAAAAATAAAAAAGAATAATTTTGTGACAAAACAAAATTTTTCAGCGAGAACTATTCCATATAACAACTGGAAATTTGTATGATATTTTAGCAATAATTATATGAGTATCTTTACTAAAATTTTCGAAACATTTTATACAATATTTTTAAAAGATGATTTTTTAAATATATTTTTTAAAATAGCTATTAACTAAAGATGATTGATTCTCTTTCGAAATTAAAGAGCAAAAGAAATACTAAAAGATTTCATTATGTAATATAGAAATAGAAATCCTTTTTTGCACTCTTCATTACGTATGAATTAATATAATTAGCCTATGTTAATAGTAGGTTAATAATTGCAAAGCTTCTTCGTAAAAGAAGTTAAAAAATTTGACATGTAAGAGAAAGAATAATTGTAATCATTTAAATATTAAAAAAATGCAAATAAAAATAAATTTGTCATTGAATGACAGCGAGTTTTCATAAATTAACAGAGAGGTTATGTGAAAACCTTCAGTACCCGGTCATCATATAAACTTACTTCGTCTTGTTTTGGCTCGACAGTTGGCTCAGATTCTATATTTTCTTGCTTGTTCTCCATATTTGGTGCATCTATATATAAGATTTATTACTGATAGAGTTAAAACAATAATTTCTTATATTTAGTCGTTGGACACTAACGATCAAACCAGCAAACCTCTCACTCTTTCCCTTGGCTTGTAACATACACAAACGACAAAAATAAGAAGGTGAGTATCCACAATCCAAGCTATCTTAGCTATCTATGCTATGCGTGTGTAACATGTATAAAGGAGTGTCCACGCTGGGTTCCTTTTCCTTTCCGATCCCGGGACAATCTCCGTCCGAGTTTTTGTATGCGCACGCCATCTCTATAATTTCGAGTTCATAGATTAAGATGCGTATCTCGCATTCATTATGAAACTTACCACTGAGCTCAAAGTTATAGAGATGGCGTATGCATATAAAATCTCGGACGGAGATAGCCCTGGGGTCAAGAAGGAAGAGGGATCTCGTGTGAACACTCCCTAAATGTACAGGTATATACACTGCTAGGTTATTTGTGAGCCGCGAAATTCAAAATCTGATATCTTTTCGAGAAATGAGCATCATTAGCATTAAATAAATTTATTCTGGCAAATTACGCGGGTACAACTTGCCTAAATAAGCCCTTGACTTAGCGTTATTTAGTGTCATCAACATTCAATCGTCAAGAGTAATTCGGTTTTTCAACTTCGTGGATCGCGAATTAATGTCCGGGCTTAAAGTCCTTTGCGCATGGTGCGCACTTGCTTAACCGTAGTCAGCAGTCTAGAATTTCTTTCTTTTTGTCTAGATGGCGGTAAATTCCTATGAGACGCCGATCGGCAGATATGCCAAACTGGCCAACACGCATGTGTAAAACGTAAACGTTTTAAAATTTCTGCGCAGGGCATGCGCTGGTAAGTGCAATCACGCGCGAATTATCCTTTATTTTAAATAACATTTTATTCCTTATAAATGCTTTAACAATTTTGATTACCGATTTCTACTATCAATTGAAAATATCAAAAGTTTTTTTCTTAAGAAAGGCATAATTTATTTATTTATATTCAAATAACGTTTCAATCGAGTGTGAGTTGAAAAAATAACTAGATAGTATAAGATTTTAGAGGCGTACATTTGAAATAATATAAAAAAAGTCAGTGTATATAGGTTATCTTTCCCGTATAAAACATGAATTCACTATTCAAATCAAGTTTGAAAAATACCAGTATAATATTATCTGGTTTATAATACGTTGTAAAATTTCAATTTTATAAATGATGCTTTCGCTATAGTAAAATCGTATAATCTTACGTCTTTTATTTGCAAGTCTTATGTTGTAAAAAAAGTAATAATAAAAATATATATAAACGGTATATGAACTTTTCTTCAATCAATATAAAACTTACACGCTCAACTTTTTTCAATCTCGCGTATTTCTAAAGAAATAAATGTTATTATCAGTTACACAATATCTTATAGCGCGACTGACACCAAGAAAAATCGCAATTCTAATAAGAAAACACAATGATATTCCAGCAAATGTGATTTCAATTCTAATCAGCCGCGAGTTTGCAGATCGTTTTTTCTCGCAAATTCAGATTCAAACCAAATCGTCAGGGATAATAATTACCAGAACAATCCACGCACAAGTAGAAGGCAGCGTGCAATATCTGATGTAGCTCTTGTCGAAGACTGTTCTATACAAGTTAAGCTACGCCGGAGTATAGTCTGTCTTATTTTGGGAACGGAATCTAAAATAAAGTTTGGTGAGAGAGCACGTGGGTCGCGCACGCGACGGCTGTCGAGGATTCTATGCACCGCGTGCATTCGATCTTTTCTGTTTTTATTTCATGGCATGATTTATCGATGGTGCGAATAAGTTTTTGAAATGTCGATGTTATCGTTCGTCATCGATTGCAAATTTATTGAAAGGTCAGTTGTACTGTAATGCTGAGCTCCTGCATAGTTCGAGGTTCGCGAAATAATTTATAATAATTGTTCCTAATTAAATCTGTCATCACTCCATCTTTGTAATTTCTGATTTCTTTGGATATTCATTCGAATAAATTATTCAGAATAATTTTCACTTCAAAATTGCGGTGAAGCCGATAAATTTTTATCGCATAATTTTTTAAATTAAAACTACTACGATCTATTCTATTATTAATTGGTTTGTCAAACGAAAAGGAAAAGCTTGTTAAAAATGTTATCTTCCATGGTGCCGTCTTGTTAGTCACAGCTGATGTACCACAGAGGGCGATGCGCGCTCTTGTCAAGCGTTATGTTATATTAGATTCAAATGAGGAATGTATAACACCCTGGAAAAAGTTTTTTTTTCAACTACTTATTGCTTGGTTGTTTTCTAATTCGTCTCTATCTTATTACTTACGGCAGCATGCACAACAATTATATATTCAATGGCACTTGGGAAACCGCAACGCGTGTTTAACACACCACAGCTAAGAAACAACTTGCATACAAACGTGAATCGATTAAAAGTCCTCCGTGGCACGATCATCCTCGCGTGTAAATGTGACCAATCACTCTTGTTCTTTTTCTCTGGATCTTTAACATGCTTGTGCGTGTGTTATGGTACAACGTAAAACAATCTACTTGCAGCATTCTTTCGTTAGGGATTTCCATCTAATTAATTAAATTGTCGAAGGACGTGTATTCCAGATAGCAAGTTTCTTGGTCGAGTTTTAAATTTTAAAAGAGCTGCCTGAATGTACTCGCGCCTTATGTTATATTATTAATAATTTATAAATATGCGTGGTAGCGGAATTTTGGGGTGCGCGGCGAAAGATAGTAAATGACATTCGGCGCTTCGTCCAGCTGCAAGCTTCGATAGTCGTCTGATAAACTGAGACCGACATAACGTGGGAGCTCAGCAGGTGGAACCGTCGTTTCGATGAAGTCGCTCGCGGTCCGCGGAAAATCCGCGATAAAGATCACTTGTCAAAGATTAGAAACGAACACAAATACAAGGCAGAAATACATATACATGCGGGTATATCTATCTATATTAACATGCGAATGAAGAAAATAAAAGGATCGATTCCTATGCGGCATCTGTTAGGCACCGATCGTGACTGGATTTGTTGAGCGCATGGAATCCAAGTTCCTCGTTTTACTTTCGGCATTGTCCATTGTATGTTTATAGGATCGGCCGCTGACCAAATGATGCTGACGAGCGAGTGAGAAACACATTCCTCATGCGAAAGCTGCACTCTACACCTTCATATACCTTGCATATCAATTTCAAGTCTCTCTCTCTCTCTCTCTCTCTCTCTCTTGCAAGCACGCTTCGCAGAGGAAATAGCCTCTCGTGCACACTTTTCCTTTTTTAGGGAGGAAGCGATAAATAAATTTTTTTCTCCTCTTCTTTCTTTACGGTATCGGCGTGTTGTGTGTAGGAAAGGATGCACGCGTATGGTAATTTTTTCTCCTCTGTCGATGTCTATCAAATTGCATTTCGTATGCGTCGAGTGATATGAGGAGATTACTAGTTTTACTGATCGATATTGTTGTTTATAGAAATTTATTGGTGTTCGGTTTGGTACGAGGCGACGGATCTGAGACTTTGATACTGTTATTCATTGAGCGATAAAATGTTGTTTCATGTTATACACGTTTTCAGGAAAAAATAAAAATTAATTTGAAATGAGAAACAAGTTTTCGCACGTTAATATTTCAAGTAAATTTTGGGTTAGAACGGGCGAAGATAGAAAGAAAATGAAATCAATATATGCCTTCATGATTAAATTAATTAAGAAAAACTTCAACCGACAAGTAAGTTTTGCATTTCAAAAAATTATTACTGTAAATATATTAATTATCCTTTGAGCGAAATAAAAATATAAAATTTGTAAGATATAGTTCATTTCTTAATTCTATAAAGGATTTAGGATAAAATACTTTGATGAACTTCTCGAATAAGTGGAACCTAATTTGAAAATGGTAATAGATACATTCCTTTGAATACATTCAATTTTCTATAGATAATATAAATTTTAAAAGAGCAAATTATTAATGATTTGTAATAATTAATAATTATTAATAATTTGTAATAATTAATAATTATGGCTTTTGAGAAAAACCAAGAAAATTATGCTTAATATGTAATTAGAAATGCTATTACAGTAGAAATAGTAATTTGAAGATTGTTTTTTGTCTATCTTCATAGTACACGTGATCCGAATAAATCTTAAAACGTACTTAAAAATTTGTTACTGTAAATATTCCATAGCAATCTTCTCAACATATTATAAAAAAAAAGGAAACAAAAGTTGATCTAACGTCATAAAATTATTTGCCGTAAGATAATGTCATTGAGCACTCAGACGGTATAAATAAATTCAGAAAACTTTCCGCTGACAATTAGCCGAGGAAGAAGACAATAATCGCCTCGATGCGCGAGCGACAATTCAGCGCACGACGCATATCAGTTCGCGAATCGAATCAAGATGCTAGCGGCGCAAAATTACGTGATGGTAATTGCATAATGAGAGAATTTCGGTATCCTGCCAATCCATATTGAGCACGGAACTTTGCGCATGTAATGCACGAATTTCTAAGCCACGCGCGCGCGCCCTGAGATATATAATTCGCGCGCGACGAGACGTCTGTTTCTCAAAGCGATATTAATTTCGCTTGTACGCGAGTGTTTAGCGAGAGACAGAAAGAGAATTGTTTGCGTTGGCCGCTCGAGCTTTTCTCATAAAAGCTATGCTCTCACGACGTATGAATTGTTATTTGGGGAAACCTTGTCGAAGTAGTCGGGATAGTCAAGTTGAAACTGTGGCCGTCTTTTTCCCCTATGATTCATGCAGCATCTAGCTCAACTACTGAAATGCTTCTGGAAAATTTAAATTCGTTTTTGCGTCTTTTATGGCGAAATTCGACTTTTTTTTTAAATACAGGGGGATATGAAATCTTGCGAAGAATTTTAGCTGGAACGATTATTTGGAAGCCGTGTACACGAAAAGAAATTTCTCTGAAAAATTACGGTGATGTTCTCTGTAAACCTGGGACATCGATGACATTCGTCAATCTTTATAATGATTTCTATTAATTTTTAGAAAGTGAACTTGAAAAAATACACTTAATAATTTTTACAATAAAAATTGTTTTATTTTTATAAGGAAATTTTTTTTTAATTAGGGGATTGTCAAGATTCGTTATGTTTACGCATGTTAAAATTTATGATTTCGTCACGGTAATTTTTATTGGTTACAAATTTAATCAATATAACAAATAAACATCCAAATCGCTTTGACGTGTCCTCGCCAGTAACATACTTCGATTAAGTACGAAGGATTTAAAAGTAATAACAATTGTTAGATTCTTCAATATAAAAAATTGGTTTTAATATATTTATTTGCTAACATTCTTCGTGTATTATTTATTGACAATACAACAAAATGCATTTTATAAAATTCGTCTTTAAGTAAATGTTCTTACGAGTCATATTTTACATGCTCTTAAGTAAGATATAATGGAAGAAGTGACAAGTTGTAGTTGATAAAATCTGCTTTAAAAATATAGGGCTTTAATAACAAACATGAATATAGTTAATTCAGAAGAGTGAGGGAATTTTTACAGCGAATGAGTGTAAAATTTTACTGAGCATCACTAAGAAAATTGTACGTTTTTCACGAAAATTTTTAGGATAAGATTTAGTTTGTCGGTGAGTTGAGATAAAAATTATGGTTTATTAATAATTTTGATCTATCAGTCATGATGTCCCAAGATCATGGTTACCTACTGTAATTTTTGTAACGAATTTCGTAATAATTTTTAAGAGAAATTTCTTTACCAGTACGTAAAAGTTTTAGCAACATATGAACTCGTGGACTAAAAGCAATCCACGTCGGAGAAATACTCGGCTTAAGCTTGGGAGATCCAAATAAATCAGTTGATTTTGACATAATTAATGCTTCGATGGTTTGTTTACAGATATCACAATCTGGAGAACATGTTCGACGAAGACTTGTTGCTGCGCAAAGCGACTTGATTATTTCCCGCAAGATGAAACGCAAGTGGGTAAACTTCAAACTATTGAGAAATTCGCATATCTCATTCATGATAGATCCAGTTCTATCAAGTTTTTTCAACTCAATTGCTGTAGACAATTGATATTCGTAAAGTAAATAAACTCTTGCAATATTACTATTGTTCTTATTGTTACTATTATTTATTACTATTATTATTATTGTTTGCTCCCAGTCTTGGTCGGGACTAAGAAAATTGGAGCTTACGATAAATTTGTCTACGTGGCGCACTCTAATTACACCCCTCGAGTAAAAGTGACGGCATCATCTAGGGACGCAGGGTATGCGCGCGCTAGAACGATCATTAAAACTAGATATAATTTCGGAATATCCATAAAACTTGTAGAGCTTGTAGCGTTTTTATCGGTCGTAATGAAAACGTGGAACAACACCTCGTGAGTGCCTGCGGAGAAAGCGTAGAGTTCGACGCAAAGCTCGCCAAAGTAAAGCTTTTCGGATGTAAGTGCGAGCAAAACTAAGACGTATAAACAGCGCACGAGGAGAGGTTGAAGAACATGTACGACTTCCGGAATATATAACTTTGCACGTACGACAACGGGGCAAGTGTATGTTTGATTATATGTCCGTAAAAGGCCGAGCGGAAGACATTGGCGCGTGCCACCTATGTACGTGATATGTTGAGGAAGAAGCGACATGTCTTGTTGAAGGATCAGGTTGTAAGTGCTGTTTATTGTTAACAAATTGTCAATAACTCGACTGATGGATATATCGATGCTCGTTGGTGTCGACTGTCGTGTTAGGTCAAATTTAAAATCAAATTTTTAAATCGGCGCAATTGTCATATATTTTGTATTTTAATTGCACGTATCTCACAATAAGGTTTGCCAGAAAGAGTTGTTTGTCAGATGATGATTTTTATGTAGATCGAGGATCGCTTCTCGTTGCTCGGAGTATACGAACGACAACGAATTTTTGCGGATCCGAGCTTGATTGATGCGAACGATGGAAAATGCAGAAAACAAAAAAAAAAAAGAAAACAAAATCGTAAACTTGAATATCACTTCCAACGACCAGCGAACGAACGAAGTTCAATTACAGTATTACATTGATGGCGGGCAGGTTAGTAGCTTGATGTGATTATTGGAATGATATCACGCGACACAGTCACCGTCGCCGAAAGCACTAGCTTCGTGACAACAGCGTCTCGCCCGAAAGAGAGCTTATCAACTTGGTATTGAAACGTTTCACGTGTCTCTCGGGTGGAAAGCCGGCGAGACGTCTCGCGATGTATAAAAGAAAAAAAAAGGCAGAAGCTCAAACACAGAGCGGAGGAAGCGAACGAGAGAGCGAGAGAAAATGAGAAGTGGGCGAGGAAGGAGGGATGGCGTTCAAAGTCGGTTGAGGTGCGTGCGCGCGCCCGGCGGCGCGACATTGTAAACACAAAAGTGCGGAGGACCGCGTGGCCCGCGGCCAGTCAGTCGGAATCTGCGCTCGTCGCGACAGCTTCCTCGCCAAGCACGCAGCTACCGAGACCGATTGTTCGAAGCCAACCTCGTGCCATGCTCGCGCTGTAACGGGCAACCTCGAACGATGAAGCTGCCCGGTGGCTCGCGCTTGCTCGCCAATCCGACGACGCCGGCGAACGAGCCGTCGACCTTGCTGGAGGCTACGACGATGCTGCTGGAAACCACCGAGCGGCTCGCGAGCAACGACGCGCGCAGAGAGCACCCGCCGAATTATTTCCTCTATTTCATTCTATGCCTGGGCATCTTGGGCAACTTGGCCGCCTTGTCAATACTGCTGCACAAGGACAAGGTGAGTAAGACGGAGCGTTGTTCGAATGCGCGCTGCGTTTCGATGATAACAGTGCGCTTAGTTTTTCCGCGATTTTCACCTTCGCGGAAGTAACGACATTGTAGTCGGTGCGATGGACGACAGTGCTCGAAATTAACGATCGTTTTTACGGAAAAGTGAAAGAAGACGAAGAATTCGTAGAGGGTTTCGATACCGTAAATTTCATTCGTGATTTATTGCTATTCAGTTAACTGCGGAATGTATGTAAATTATGCACTCAATGATAACACGCTAGAAGCCCTCAGTTGTGAAAGCATGGGTTACCGAAGCTATTCTTTGTCACCGATTTCGAACACTCACCAAAAGCAAAACATTGATACTTAATATCAGTAATAATTTCGCTTGATTTCGAATATCGTTCGCCACTGTCGATCATTAAAAGCACGTATCAGAGCACGCGTGTGTCCCGCTATTTTCGTAATCTCCGACCTCCTCGACATCCATAAACGAAATCGTCAAGAGAAAAAAAAAAGTTTACGTTGCACATTTTTACCATCCGTCAATCGCTCTCGAAGTTTGTTAGATGCATACGCGAGATCATCGTTGACCTTATTCCCGACTACATACACAGTTGATTAAAAAATCTTGACCTCCGAATTACGTTGATGAATGAAGCAAGGCTTCGCCGTAGAGCTGTTTACTAACAATTCGCATTGATATACGTTCTAAAAATAAGTAGTGCAATCGGCAGCGATAATCCATTAATTTTGCGACTGAATAGAAGCGATTCAAAAGACTGATAGCCGTTATCTTTATTACGAGACGATTCAATAAAGAATATCGATTCATTATTCATCAATCCCTATGAAATATTACGGTCTAGTAGACTTCTCGTATTGTATGATGTGATTGTTTTCATTGATCGATCGATTGATCGATGAATTTTTTTGTTAATAATATTGATTTTGCATGCGTACGTTTAAATGTAATCAATCGTTTGAATGAAAAACCTTTTGTGGGACTTATAGATACATACTGCCAAATTTTTCTCTTCGGTATTTGTCACGGAAAAAAAATTATTGATGAAGATTACGACAAATTCTGCGATCAACATCTCAGTGAGTTTTGTAAGAGCAATGCGTATGTGGCTTTAAAAATGAAACCTTATATCGTAGACTTTGACCCATTCAAAATAAGTAAATTAAATCTGATTCCTTGATTATTCGTTAAATTAAAATATTTGCAACTTCTTTTTGTTAATACGAACATTTTAAACTTCGTGACTAAAAACGCGTTTCCTCGTTCAAAACAAAGAGAATAAAAATAAACATTTTCAATGTCACTATTACTTTCGCATCGAACACAAATAAACTTTCTATTTACATTTGAAAACTCACTCTAAAAGATTTAACCCGAATCGAATGGAAAATTTCTCAAAAAAAGGAAACTCTCCGCGCCCTCTCCGAAAAGAACTCATGTATACTTATCCAAATTGATACCAAAAGAAAAAGTTATTTTAACTGAGTAATGACTATTGCTCAACATGAAATGTAATGAGATTTCGTAGAATTTTGAATACTCAAAGAAATTGTCGCGTAGAAACAGTGACGATCTACCTGCATTGTAAAAAGTGTTTTACGATGCAGCAGCATTAATATTTCACCAATAGGTCAAATTGCACTTAAAATTTTCCAAAGGCTACGAACCATCTTAAAAATTCGCCGCTCGTAAAAAATCCTGCACCTTTGACGAAAGCCGCCATCGAAAGGAAATGCAGGCAACCTCCCACATCGTACATTTTATGATTCTCGCGCGTGTGTACTTATGCTTGCAGCGCCGAAACCGGAAGCACTTGCTGATGCTACGCTGCCTGACGATCAACGACCTGATAGCGATGTTACTGACAACCTCTCAAGTGATCCTGACGCGTCATCAAGATGACTTGAAAAACGACTACAATTTGGACATCAGCGACTACCTGTGCTACGTGCACGTGCTTTGTCGCCTGTTCGGCCTGTTCAGCGGATGCGTGGCGCTCGTTATGGCCGGCGAACGTTGGCTCGCGCTCACTCGCCCGTTCGTCTATCAGAAGGTGCGTTCATTGTCATTTCGGCGCTCTTTACGGTAAGCTGGGATATATGGAAATACTGCCTCTTTCGGACGACGCCCGATGGTCGCGCGATCAACCAGCGGTAAAAGCTCCGCTGCGTATTGCAAGCGAGGGAAAGTGCGCGTGCCCGGCCGTGACCCGTTCGTAAAGTTTTTTACGATTGGACGCACTGCAACAACACTTGCCTCGGCGCTTATTATCGCCATAGGTAGCTACGGCGTTAGGCGCTGCTGCAACGACCGCGCTGAGAGCCATCGCGATGCTATGGCCACGCCAAAGGCCATCGAGTCCCAAATTGTCCGTCTCGGTTGAGTGCGTTCGTGCCGGTGCGTCGACGCCAGCTTCTCTTCGAACGAGTTGAAAAGCGCTCGCGAAGGTCCCGACGAGAAAATCAACGCGGGGGCATACGGCCCGGCTCGATAGCGACCAAGCGGCGAACGAAAATCTGGTCGAGAGCTTGGAAGTCAACGTTAACGTACGCGGAATAGCAATAAGTGAGTATAGCTGCGCCACGCCGACAAGATAAGCTTCCGCGATTGTCGCCGCGCACAAATTAGAATTTCATGCGCGTCTCTCATTCATGCGAGCGCGTGTACGGGCATAAGTGTATATTATATTGTCAAAGAGAGAGAGAGGGGGGGGGGGCGATGAAAAAGGTTCGGGCTTTAGTGGGAAATTTATTGTTTAGAAGGGCGAAATGAAGGGGCAGATGGCTTTTCTGAGTCGTTTGGGAAATTTCTTTTTTTTTCTCTGGAAGCTTCGTCAAGTTCATTGCTATTTTTCTGGCCGAAAGTACCATTTAATTAAAATGCCGTTTAATACTTCTTAATGCTTATTGGCAGATAAGGCGCTTACTCTATTCGTTTTTTTCGTTTGTTTGTTGTTTTAGTTCAAGTGATTTACTTTTATTGGAGTATATTGTGTTGCCAATGAAATTTGCCATTTCGATTGTTGGAATCGAGAGGGGGAGACTTATTTTTAGATAAGCGCTTAGAAAAAAAAAAACGAAGGGTTCGGGAAAAAAAGTGATATTTCTGTATAGGTTTGCTTCGATTTCAGAAGCGTGATAAGATAATTTCTTTATTAGAAATGTAACGATCATCATTATCGCACAACATAATCGTCATTCCGCAAATCGATAAGGACGACGGACTTGGACGAAGCGCGGGCCAATTTATTTATTTTCCAAATATTTCCTCGCGAAAATGTTGACGCGCGGCAGTGAATGAGACGCAATTCGAAATAGGCAAAGTCGAGCGAATCGTTATTTCGATTAGGACGATGACGAGTTTCGGAGGTAAAGCCGCGCGATCGTGCATTTTGGCACGTACTTGCCGCCTGTCGCAGTGCATCGCTATCCGCTAATCAACGAGATGAGATGCCGCATACTTCCGAAATAGCGTGACTCGCCCTTCCACTTTTGGAAAGGTGTATTCTATCGTGATGGCGCATATATATCTTGCTTGACTAAGAATAAGGTGTAATCGCTACGTAGACGTGTCGACCTCCGCTCAAATAAAAACGACCTTGGAGCCCTTTTTCGCTTAATATTTTTCATCTTCCATGTACTGATGAAAAAACGATAGTCCCTCTGACAAGCGTATCATTAGCCATTTTTTGGTGTAGTTAATGATTGTTTTCCGAGATATTATTGATGTATCTTGATAAACGTCAGTTTCACGTGTGCTTGCTTATTTACTCTGGAGAGATGGGGATTCATTTATCCCGTGAATTTAAGAATTGGACGATGTTAAGGAAAGTCGCGCATTAAATTTCACGTGATAATAAATATCTCATGCGAATTATCCGATTTCTGTTGCTCGGTTAACTCTGCTGATCTCCGCACTCGTTGATGGAACGATCGATAGTCTAATTCCATTCGCGTTCCTTAACCTTCGACGAAGAAAGGAAAGAATATAATCTTGGAATGAATGAACAGTGACCTCGTCGAACCAAGTGCACGAACGCAAACTTCGAGCGACCCATTGGTCGTATTCGTTCAAAAGACCGTTCACCTCTCCGATTAGACGCGTTCGCGAGGGCCTGGCGATGTCACGGGAGCGATCTGGTTTCTCTGCTCGCGTTTGCATTATTCAATGAAAATAAATCGTAACTTTCCGCGGCGTACGCGCGCCTCGCCCGCCGGCACGCGCACAAATATCTCATCGCGTCGAGATTACACATCGTACCCGCCAACGCGAGCGGCGCTGAATCTCGCAAATTTATAACGATCGCCGCGCGAGTATATCTGTTTACAAGCCGTTTCTTTCGAGGCATTATCGCGCGAGCGCCTTTCGGTACGTGTATGCGCAGGCACCACAATGCCGCGGGCGATCATTGTGGAGTGTTTTTCGAGACGAGGCTTATTTATCGGCCCACTTGCGAAAATTCGGCACTCAGCTAAACACCGATTCGATATTGTATCGTTAAAAAAAAAATAATAATGACGACGATAGTAATAAAGCGCGCAATCACTCAAACGCCGTTCAATATAGAAATTGAATTTGTTGCGTTACGTGCGTCGATTGCCGCCATCGAATCAATCATCGCCCAGTAGCTTCGATACTACGGTACACTAATTGCGACAAATTGGCAAAAAAACCTCACGGGTGGTCTAATTGACCGAGTTCGCATCGATTTTTCATCTGCGCTCCGCGTGAAAACGTCTCCTTCGAAGATCGCGGTACACGTATACGAGTCATTGAAAATGACAGTGAGACGTATGTACTTGAAAACTCAGACGCGTCAGGTATGTTTCTTTTTTTTTTTTTTTTTTTTTCATTCTTTTGCGCGGGCATTGACTTTCTATTTGCTGTACGAGGCGTGAATTCCGAAAAGATCGGTGCCAGAGATTACAGCCTCAGAGCTAATAATAAATTTCAAATTTCTATTCATTTGTATTCTGCGATCGCCTCAGAATTTCGGTATACTGATCGTCGAGGAAAAAAAATATACCGGAAAATCCCCGGATAATTTTCGTCGCTATACACATCGCATTGTCGCAGTTTCTTTGGAAGAGGACCAGCGTTGTGCAAAAATTCGTCGCATTATGTTTGTTTCTTTTTTCGTTCCATTCTTTCTTTCCTTCTTTTTTTTGCGCGCCTTTCTCGAAAACGAGCGACGAACGGATCACGCACATCTCCCCGAGATACTCGAAAGCGATTATTTCCTGGAATATTTGACCGACTGTTAAAAAGCGATCGACGACCGAGAAAGAGAGAGAGAGAGAGAGAGAGTTTCTCCTCAATGCCAAAAAGCACGCCGTCGAGGAGAAGATGCAACGCAAGCTTGACTGACACGACGAGCGAGCCGTCAAGTCGAGAGGCGTCGTTGCTCCAAGGCTCTCACGCGCGTGGTTTCTATTTCGGAAGCGCTCGCGCCGAGCTTGCACGCGTGAGTAGTCGCACGGATTGATAAGTGTAATCAAGAGCTTGCTCTCGGGGACGCGCTTCTATGACCCCGTTACTGCCACTATTAATAGCGCCGCCCAACGGATATTATGCATTCGGTCGAACTCGCTCGCCGCCGCTTTTGATCCTGAAAATTTTATTGGCCTCTCCGCGTCAAAAATAATAATAATACGCTCTTGCTCGCCTCCCGCAAACGAACGGCGAGAAAGATTATTGGGCTCGGAGGTGACGCGCTCCGGTGAAAACAAAAAAGTCAAATAAGAATGGAATCTGGGAAACTCATCAATTTAAGGGTAGTTAGTCGAGCTAACGCACGGGCGCGTGCGCATCAGTCAATATTTGCTGAGAATTAGCTCGAATGTCGAAACTTTATCATCGCCGTGACTCCTAAAAATACATCCCATATCGTTGACTCGGAGAATTCGGCAGGATCCCCGTCACGTTTGCAAGAAAGACAAAGGAAAGAAAAAACAGGGAAGAATGGGGGCGCGAGAGCGAAGGAAAAGAACACGCGTGTGATTTTTGTCACGTTTTCATCGACCCGCTCCTCGGTCGCAGCGGCACGCGAGGGAATCGAGCGTGCTCGGCCCACACCCCCTCGGTTTACTAAACTCGCCAAGGTCGCTGCCGCGGCATCTTTATTTGCATGCCCGGCGAAACGTACCGCGCGCAGCGACGAATCCGTTCGGCGCGAGAGCCGCACGGTTCGACGGCAGTGCCGGGCGTTGCTTCGGGGACGGCACCGGGCGGCGATAAAGCGAGATTTGCCGAAGGGCTGAAGCGCATGTATGCGCGAACGTCATATATTCGGTGGGGTGGGGGGATTACGGACCGCGTCGCGCGAGCAATAATGCGCGCTATCACTGCGGGACGATCGGATGTACGGAGCTATTTTTTTTGTTTTTTTTTTTTTCCTTCAGTTTTTCCGTCTCGCGCGAGCATAAATTTCCGCCAAACGGCGATAAGCGGCTTTAATCGGCGCGATATCAGTGGATTTCAGCGTCGCGGGAGCCAACGGCTTCCGGTCGCGCGAGACGATGTGCGGGGCGCGAGCTTGAAAAATAGAACGCTCGATGCGTATCTCGCGCGGCACACCATCGCGGGCGCGCTAAAAAAAGAACGTAAAAGGGAGGTCTGACATCCCGACGTATCCCCGGTGACGTACATGTGTGATGTTTAGCAGGTGACGTTCCCGATGATTGTGCGCTGTATGATCTTACTCTGGCTGGGCGGCATCGCCCTGACTTGCATGCCGTTCTTTGGCTTTGGCATTTGGCGACGCGTCAATCGGAACGGAGAAGTCGAGTGCGTCAGATACAGAGACGCCACCGAACCGATCGACATCACTTACGCCGGTGTTTGGTTTTTCTTTGGTGAGTACTTGCGTCTCTATTTACATAAAAAGAATACGACCACTTCGCGATCAACTTTACCTGCGATGCGATGAGAATGCCATCGCATTTCAGCCTCGGTGAAATTTCTTTGATCAAGAAAGTGTCCGCTCTCTGTGAAAATTCATGTGAACCAAACTTGAAAGCTCTGCTTCAAAAGTCGAAACGACGCGACGAACCCGAAACGATTATTCAATTGTCGAATACGCAGGAACGCTACTGTGCCTGTCGATCGTCTGGTGCAATTTGGCAGTAGCACGCGCGTTGAAACGTCTTGGCCGTCGTAACGGCGCGCTTCGACGTATCTCGCGAGCTTCGTCGCGAGCGAAGCCACTGCTCGCCGTCACACATGGATCGTCGGCCGAGGTGGGCGTCACACCCGAGGAGAAAGCTTTTGCTAAGCTCATGGCCATGCTGTCCATCTCTTTCCTCGTTTGCTGGATGCCGCAAATGGTAAGTTTTACTTGGTTTGACACGCCACCGGCGAATATTCGCCATCGGTGAAAATAGCGAAACGCGCCGGTCACGCGAACAAGAACTTTTCTTTCCTGCCGGCGAACGTACGCCGTCATTAGAACAGCTCGTGCGCGACGATGAAAGTCCGTCCAAATCCGCCGTCGCGCGGCGAAGTTTGCGATAAGCAAAGAGTCGGCGTTATGCCACGCGACGCGAGCAACGCTATAACACGCGTTCCCGCAACGAATTGAAATGGATCGACAAGGACGGGACTTTCCAGCGTGAATATCCCGAATAGCGTCACAAATAAGAAGATAAGAAAAGGGCGAGCCGAGGAATGTTCGACACGGTAGATTGATTCGCGCGGGGCCAAGAGAGAATCGAGCGACCCCTTCGCGTCACCCGTGAATTTAATCCCAGAAGCGGGTCGCGGACCGTCAGCGGGAATATGTCCATGACCGCGGACGTACGGCGCACTTGCAACAATCGCGAGCGACGGTACGACTTGGACCCCGTGGCGAGCGGCCGCGACGCTCTGATTTCCTCGCGTAGCGCTGCGGAGAATTGTCCAGCTTCTATTCTATCTTCGCGTCGCTTCGGCGTGGACTCGCGTGGAGACAGGCTGACGCAAGTAGTATAGGCACGCTGCGGTCAGCCACGCGCGCCTGCCTGCAGAAGCCCAAGTCTCGAGTGAAACCGAGTTCGTGACTCTCGAATCACACGCCCACCTTTCGGCCTATCGTGCGAAATACTATTTTCGGAAGGAATTAACAATTAATTGTGGGGAAAAGACATTTAATTAGAGTGCGCTCTGACATACGTGTGTGTGTGTGTGTGTGCTTGTGTAGAATGACACGAGAGTTATTTCATATACATAAATGCTAATGGGGCCGCAAAGTGTTTTACCTTTATGAATATTCCGGGTGTAAAATGTACCCTAATGTATTCAGCCGAGAAACGAAGCCTCGTGTCCCTCGTTTTCCGCAAAGTTCAATTCCATTACCGATTATATCTAGCGTCATTCCGGGCAGCCGGGAGCAGCGAAAACGGGCCCAACGCGCGAACAATGCGCAGAGGTGTGGTTGGCCGTTCGCTCGCCGATTAGAATTCGATCGGCAAAATCCGGCCGCTCGGTGCTAAGGTGTTAGCGGGGTGTAGTACGCACATAATAAAGACAGGAAGCCACTCGATTTATCATCTGCGCGCTACACACCCGTTCCCGCACTTCCGACATTGACTTTTCCGCACGCATCTATAACGGCTCTTGTCCCCCGGCCGTTCGAGGCCTCCGCAAGTAATGCGATTGAGCCGTCGACCGTGTCGCTGAACTCTCGCCTCTCTTTCGTTTCTCGTCGCGGCGAACGTAAGGCAGAAGCCAACGACGGGGACGAAGTCGCGATAAATTTCGCAGCTGCGAAACTAGCCGGGCAATACCTCGATTCGACGTGTACGCGAGCAGCTGTCGCGGCAGCGCCGGTCGAATCGCTAAACGATCCCCGATCACGTGTCCGTCCAACGGCAAAATAGCGTGACGTACCTTTCTAAGTCTTGCTGCCTCACGCGCTAATAGAATTTTAATGAGATACATTTATAGGCATGAATTTATACACGAATCCTAGGTAACATTACTGTTAACGCGAATGAGCGAATTTCGACCCCCCCCCCCCCCCCCTCACATACCGAGCGTGAAACTTATCTATTCGCTCTCTAATTACGCGTCGCGCGCGGCGTTTTGATAGCTTTTCGAAAACCCGGGGTACGTATATCCGTTCGGTTGCCTATACGGGTGAGAGCTCATCCACATACGTAAGGATTCGTAGCCCATCTGGCAAAGAGTGAATCTGGTTGGGCACTCAGGCTAGGCACTGCGGCCGCGGGCACATATACGATCGAGCGATTTTTCTTTTGCACGCCGAGATCTTGGTCGTCTCGACTCGAGAGACCGTCGCGCGACATTCCCCCGCGTGCGCCGCGGAACGATACAGCGCGCGGAATGCCAATGTTTCTCCTTTATATCTCGTTTTACTTGGCAAGTGACAATGAAGCAGGTCGCCGAACGGCGCATGCCCGCTGCCAGAAGCCGCCGCGCCGAGTAATCGTTGCAAATTTTATTAATAAATGTAACCCTCGGCCATCGACGACGCATATTGTAACAATCGCACGCGGATGGTATACCGGGAAATTACAATGGGATGATTTACGGTACGTGCATGTTCGATCTTCGAGTAAAGTTTCTGTTTATTTTTTATTATTTATTTATTTATCGATACAGTTAGTTCCTGCGCTTTGATAAATCGAAGCTCGAATGCAATCTCGGACTTCGTTCGTCATTCCAAGCTCGGAATATTCGTAAACAAAAAAATTATATATATGTGTATATATAAATGTCGAAGAACATTAGCAATGCAAATAAATCTGATGAATAGTGACCTAGTAACATAGAATACAATAGCCAGGGGATAATAATAATGATAACAATAAAAAAAAATATCCAAGGACGGAATTGGCACGGCAAGTCAGTTTTTGCGCTTTCTAAATCGATTTGCGTATTCAGTCGCACGAGCGAGCTTCCTATTTTATTATTTTGATGTCTCGTCACGCAAATAGACGTGTTCGTTGCGAAAAAAGCAATAGATAAGTATTTTAGGAAGTACTTTGGTCATTGAATTCTAATGAGGGTTGCGATGTTGTAACGTGTCAGACTTTCAGATATGTATCTGCATTCTGATCAGCCGACAGCTTTGTATTAGCCGTCTTGACTTATGAAATTCTCACAAAAGAAAACCATGTCTTCTTTTTTTCAAGATATCGATACCACTATCGCAATACGTGGTGCACTCGGCAAACATCAGCGACAAAGCGAACAAGTTGATATTCGTCTTTAAGAAAATAGCCGACACATTATTGGGCTTGCACTTCACCCTCGATCCTTACATCTATGTGTTGCTGAGGATGCCAAGGCCCAGGTTTCCGTTGGTCAAACCGCTCTGCCGTATCTGCTGGCCAGCACGTAGTCGAGCGAGTTCCTTTACAGGTACTGAAGCTTTCATTTACGAAAGATTGACATCGCTGAAATATTTCGACGTCAATTATCATCATATTACGATTTACCTAGTCATATTTACCCAGTGTCGTGGCTATAAATACGCAAAAACTAACAAGCGACGGCAAATAAACTTTAGCTCCCTCGGCGAAAGCCAAAAACTCTGACTCGCACGCTGCCCCTGCCGGCGATAAACCAAATAAGCGAGCCCTGGCTTATCGCTCGTTCCCTCGTTTTAGGTACTATCGAGCAACATGGCAGTAGCGGTGACCCACCAACTCCGATAACCGAAGCACCCTCGACGCCGGTAAGCGAAGCCGAACGTGATTCACAATTGGTTGCCGTAGCTGTTTGACCTACGTGGCGATCATCATCAAAACACAACAATGTCCTTAGAACAACGACTCGAATCTGATGATTATTTACGCGGATCGCTCCGCCAGAGACTGATTTAGCTTTAAAGCGCCGGGATGGCGTTTACGACGATGGGCGAACATATATTCCCAAGAGCCCGCGCGTAAGCGGTTTCATTTCTGTTTTGTGAAAGTGAAATTCTTCGACGGCGAAAAAATTGTGGGCTTCGACGTACGACGAAGGTAAATGCCGTAATAACTCGATTCAACGGTTTTCGGACCTCGAGTTAAAATATGTGACATCTTTGTACAGATTCCACTTAACTATTGTAAGACAATCGTGCATTCCATAACACATTCGAGTAAAAGCCATTGTTCTTTTTTAACGAGTAAATATATAATTGATTGCACCATATATGCGCTTCATTAGATTTTCTACTGATAGGATTATGCATTATTGTTGTTTTCGCTCTTGTTTATCATTGGCCACTTCGTGTTGGAAAACAAATTTTTGCGTTCGCTCCACAGCGAACGATATTTATTATTGCACAAGTGAAGATTTTTGTACAAACAATTTTGTGTTCTAATATTTGCTAACTGTATTGAACTTTATAGTGATAATTTTTCAAGTAATTCAATAGAACGAACGTGATTTTTTTCATGTATTTCGTTTAGCTAGTAGAGGTAGTTTCAATTTTCACGGTCGTATATAATCAATCAGCATGACTCTGCATCAACCAAAGTACTTTTATACGTGTAGTCATTCATTCGTTGAATGTAATCATTGACAATTTCTTGTGATTTAAAGTAATGTTGGAAAGTAAACATAAAGTTATATTTTCTAATCACTTATAATAAAGAGTGAGGAAAAGAACTTGCGTAAAAGTTCTTTTAATTTCGATAACTTGTCAGAATAGTCTTATCAGACTATATAAGATGTATTATTTTTCTAGTATATATTCCCATGTAAATTTACATAAAAAGCAAATTACGTCAGTAGATCGTATTTTGTAGTGATAAGGATAAACACACAAGACGCGAGAAAGAGAAACGAATACTTGCGATAATGAAGAAAATTCAAAATAGCACAAAATTTTAGTATGAAAATTTTTGCTAAATATTAAACACGAATAATGTGAAATGTAATGTTTTAGTTCAGACGAGAAATTTACGATTTTAGAAATATAAACATTCAACAAATATTATGAAATTTTTCAACTCGCAAACGATAGGAATTATATTTTTTAGAAAGAAAATATTTTTTTATGGAAAATCTAAAAATTATCAAGAAATTTTTATAAAAATGTTTCTTTTGGATAATTTGAATTTGATGACTAGCAAGTATTTATTTTAATTTAGTTTATAGCAATCATACTAAGTAATAATTTTAAATAATATTAGTATAGTTGTGGAGAATATTAGTACATGTAAAGTAAGTTTCTTTTTTCATGTGCATCTACAAGTTAAACATAGGTGCAACATATTTGTACAGCTCTATTATATTCAAGATACGATATTTCTGTCGTTATATAAAATTGAAAGTAATAAAACAAACTATAATCCAACTGTGTAAATAAATTTTTTATTTACACTTCTCCTTTATAATGTAAACTTAAAATTTAAGCATAGGAGTTTTTTTTAATTGTGAGAAGTAATTTGATTACAGATAAATAACCAAATGTCATTTATTATTTATCCAATAAAATGTATTATATACAAATCTCATTTTCTTTTCTAAATTAAATATTGCCAAGAATATGCCTAATATAGTCGACCTTCTGAATTTTCGTCATCAATTGATCCCATATAACATACGTAACCTAAGAAAAAAAAAACAAAAATAAAATGTACCCATTGAAATGGAATGTTTACTCATCTCACAATAACTTTAAACTTACTAAGATAGTTCTGTATCCCATTCGTTCCAAATGTCGCAGTTGCATAGCCAACATGCCAGTAGGTAGATGATGATTCCTGGTCAAGATATTATGTGATCCTGGTACGACAACAATCCATTGCTTTCCATCTTTCGGCGCGTATTTGATTTCTCCCAGTGGAATTTGCGAGAGCGGTTCTGCTGGAGGTACATAACATTGGGAAACTGGGTCATAGCACATGAAAATATATTGCTTGTTGTTGTAAGGTAATGGGTAGTCTATATGAATAGCTAATTCTGAGCCTAAAGTAAACTGGAAAACCCACAAAAAATATTAACTGTTATGCGTGATAACGCGTAGTTTGATTTTGTAAATTAATTAAAATACCTTAATGTGATGTGTGAGGTCAATTATTAGTTTACCGCCAGCATCCACTTTGTAATTCTTTTTACTTTGTAACTTCTGCTTTTGTAATACACCGAATCTCTGGAAAAAAAATCAATTTAAAACTTGTTAATTATTAAGGAAATATGATTCTTACCTTTAGAAGATAATTCAGTTGATCTTTCCTTAATTGAGGACCTTGGTATCTTGGATGATCAATTTGCAAACAATAACTCATATCTAGATATTCACGATCCATTGTACTAAATTTGTTGTCACAGAATTTATTTATGAAATCTGGAGCCATGATTTTGTTCACTATGTCTTCTGGGAAATAGTTCACTTTGAGCATATACATTATAGTATACACATAAGGTTTTATAAACCTAAAATAGAAAATAATTTTTGTAGAAATTATTAGTATAAGAAGTAATTTTTACACAATAAATAATAACTAAATAAATGTATCAAATAATTACTTGGAGATTTCACCTCTTCGACGAGAACTTAATAATTCTTCTGTAGCAATTTTATAAAAAGAAGTTTTTTCTGGATCACAATTAAATATATACAGAGAAAATATAAACCTTTCAATATCTTTCAATCTTGCATTTTCAACTTCATTTTCGAACCTAAATAATTTATTTTTTAATTAGAAAAAATGTTCAAGATCTATTGAATATAATTTTTAAATATTTCAAGAGATTAGTGAATGTCCTACTTTTCTTGTATTTTTTGTAACAAATTACTGTTATCTATTAAAAGTGTTGCTTGAACAAGAGCTACATGTGTTAAAGTCAGTAAGCTTTTATTTTCAATTTGATCTTCTAATACTTTTATTAAAGTATCTATTCCTCGCATATCACTCAAATTAGCACTGTACCTGTAAATTAATTTGAAATAAATAAAAATATTTAAAATTGTTAATAATTCAGTAATATTCCAATTTACCTTAAAATTTTTAAAATGGACGATAAAGTAATATCACTAACATTTTCAATGTCAGCTATTAGCTTTTTTAGAATTTTTGAAAATAATGTGGTGCTCTTAATGGCAGTTTGATATTTGAAAAAGGACATGCAAATAATACCTAATTCTTCCACACTAAAATTATCTATGTTTTTCTCAATGCAGAATTCAAATTTTTGCATATTAATCATAGAAACTGGACCTTTTACTTTCATTAAAAATGCATACTGTACTAAATTTGCTGGAGTCATATCTTTTGGATTTAATTTTCTCATAGCATGATAAATAAAACTTGAGAATGTTACTATATTTAATTTATAAATGTAATCACATATCAAAAATACTTGTTCAATTGTCAAATTTGGCAAGTTATCTACACATGCTTTATCTAAAGGTTTGAATAAATTATTTTGATGCAGACCATTAGTATTCCAGAACTGTAAGAGACTCAAAAATTGAACCATTTCTTCTTTATTAAATTTTGAACATTTTTCAGCTAATATATCAAAAACTCCTTGATATTTTGGATGGTTAATGTCTTCACAATTTTGATGAGCATAGTAAGACAAAAGCTTGAAGTTCTGAAGAATTTCAGTGTTATGCATACTTATCCATTGTTTATCTAATAAATTATCTACACTATCAATTTTTACATCTTCCGTGACTGTTAATTTTGGTGAAATACAGTTCGAATAAGCTGTTAAATTAGACATAACTTGGTGGGCATGTGAATTCTCTGTTAACCGATTAAGCACTGCATAACATTTCCTAGTAGAACTGTTACAATGCGAATTGTTTAAACACAATAATTTTTTGGTAAATTGACGATTGCTTGTGATACTTCTATTCACATTGTAAACAGGTTTTATCATTGAAAACTCTAATCTGTTAAATACAATCCATCTTTTACAATTAAACACTTTGGTCATTTTTTCGGCAAACATTTTCTGCAACATTTAAAAACTGTACACTAAAACTGTTCAAAATAAAGTCATGAATATCTGAAACGAAAAAAATTACTTTAAGAACTTTTCTATATCAACATTCTATAGAAAAGAACGGTAGAACAATAGAACCGATGGTCGCATGTTCGCACTGCGAGGAACCTATAGGATATAGGTTAATCTTGCACATGCGCTTAAAATAATTTTCAAGAAAAAACGCGGATTTACGACAATATTATATTTGTATGAAAAAAGAGGGTGCGCTACGGTAATTCATGTTTTCATTGACATTTTTGCCATTCATGTGAAACTTTATACTTGATTTCTAAGCATATAGCATGTAAATTTTTATTTTTATATAGCTAATCAAAAGTTTTTACACTTTTCACTCCTCACGTGGTAAGGTTATAATCTCTATGAGTTTGTTTGCATAGAAACCAGGTATCTATGTGATTAATACGTGTAATTTTAACAATTTTTATGGTGTCCGTTCGATATTATTGTTAAACCTTTCAATATATTTATTAATTTGAAATTTCTTTAATGTCAAGCATTTATCTTTTCCTTAATTAAGTTTCATGGTATAAGAAGTATAATTTATTTCAAAACAATATTTTCATCTAAAATGTATGTAAAAATATTTTAAAAACAAACCATACTAATTTCCACTATATTTTACAGATAAAAGATTATTAAGATGTCAGTCCCAACAACAAAAGTTCACGAAGTTAGAGAAATTACAAGGATTGAGCGTATTGGAGCACATTCTCATATTCGTGGTCTTGGATTAGATGATAGTCTTGAAGCTCGGAATGTCTCCCAAGGGATGGTTGGTCAATGTCAAGCTAGGCGAGCAACTGGTGTGATTTTAGAAATGATCAAAGAAGGTAAAATAGCAGGTCGTGCTATATTATTAGCAGGTCAACCAGGAACCGGTAAGACTGCTATAGCACTTGGATTAGCTCAATCTTTAGGATCAGATACACCTTTTACCCTTATGGCTGGTTCTGAAATTTTCTCCTTGGAGATGAGTAAAACAGAAGCTTTAACGCAAGCTATAAGGAAGTCCATAGGTATTAGAATCAAGGAGGAAAGTGAAATTATAGAGGGTGAAGTTGTAGAAATCCAAATAGATAGGCCAGTTGCTGGAGTTGGTGCAAAAGTTGGAAAATTGACACTGAAGACTACTGAAATGGAAACAATATATGACTTGGGCAACAAAATGATTGATTGTCTTATGAAAGAGAAAGTCCAAGCTGGCGATGTCATTACAATAGACAAAGCTACAGGCAAAATTAGCAAGCTTGGACGATCATTCACAAGGGCAAGAGACTATGATGCTACTGGACCACAAACACGATTTGTTCAGTGTCCTGAAGGAGAACTGCAAAAGAGAAAGGAAGTTGTCCATACTGTAACAATGCATGAAATTGATGTTATAAACAGCAGGACACATGGTTTTCTAGCTTTGTTTTCTGGAGACACAGGAGAAATCAAACCTGAAGTGAGAGAGCAAATTAATCAGAAAGTTGCTGAATGGAGAGAGGAAGGCAAAGCTGAAATTGTACCTGGAGTGTTATTTATTGATGAAGTACATATGCTAGACATTGAATGTTTTTCATTTCTGAATCGAGCTTTGGAAAATGAAATGGCGCCTGTTGTAATCATGGCAACAAATCGTGGTATTACAACAATTAGAGGCACTAATTACAAGAGTCCACATGGAATTCCAATTGACTTGCTGGATCGTATGATCATTGTTCCAACTATTCCATATGAAGAGGAAGAACTTAAGGAAATTTTAAAGATTAGATGTGAAGAAGAGGATTGTGAGATTTCTAACGATGCATTGACGATACTCAAACGCATTGCCAAAGAAACTTCTTTGAGATACGCCATTCAATTGATTACCACGTCTTCACTCGTTTGTCGTAAAAATAAGAATACCGAAGTGACTGTCGATGACGTTAAGAGAGTATATAGTTTGTTTATGGATGAAAATCGATCTTCCCAATTCCTCAAAGAATACCAAGATGTTTTCATGTTTTATGAAGAAGAGAACCAAGAGAAACAACCAGAACAAGTGCAGCCACAACAACAGCAACCTATGGAACTTTCATAATTGAACCTCATTGTATAAATTCAATTCATCTCCATTGATACAACAACAAATAACTTTAAACATAACTTTTAATAGAACTTAAGAGTGTAATTTAAGAGTAAAATAAATTTTCATTTTTTAAATTGAAACATTTTATTTCAGAAAATTAACACCTGAACCTGATCAAATCTTGACGATTCCGAGTCACTATAAAACATTCTGCATTTGTACCTTAAACTAACAAAATAATGCTTTTACAATAGGAGAATACTTTAATAAAACATTATTTCTGTAAAAAAATATTCAATTTGTATCATTAAAGACATTACATCAAAATATACTAATAATAATTACATGTCAACAGCTATTATATATAAAATTAACTAATTATAAGCTAAACGGAAACTTCGTTCATTTTCTTGTTTAAAACTCTGATGCATGTGATCAATCTGTTGTATTTTCTGATTTAACAAATTGCTTCTTTGAACAAGCCATTGCAAGCTATTCATATGAGCGTTAAGAATCTTTACTATTTGAACAATAGGGTCACTGGAATCTTGAGCACGATTTGCTTCATTCAAGTGTTCTATAATTTCTTTAAGATCTTCCGACATTTGTTTTAATTGTGTATCAACATTTTCAGCCAAGCGATATGTGTATTCACGTTCTGGATCTGTTACTGATAACTGAGCCAACTCTTTTTCTAGAGGTATTAAGCAATCTTGCAATTCTTTTTGTTGACCAACCTGTCAAAAAAAAGACATTTAATGTACAGTTTACTTTAAATGTATAATTTAACTAATGATTTACTGTAAAAGAGGATGTGAATGCTTACTACATAATCAAGCTCATGTTCAAGATGTTGTTGTTCCAATTTGACTCTTTCAACTTCTTGGTTTAGTGTAACAATTTTTTCTCCATTTGCAATCAAGAGTCTATCCCAAGCATTGATTTGTGTAGCTTGATTTACAAAAACCTTCTCTTGTTCTTCCAATTCTAGAGTCCATTTGTTGATTGACTCTTCTAGTTGACAGAAATTGATAGCTCCTGTTGGTCTGCTTGCAGAGGAAGTAGTAACTCTGAAATAATGAAAAATGTAATAAAAAGTCATTCTAACTCAACTGTCTTAATTCTTTGTTTATTGCAAAGAAAGATTATTTTCATTGCTAAGAATTAAAACGAACAATCAAAAAATATCTTAATTCAAACAATACCTTTCAATTATCTAATTTTTTCTATCCAATTTACAAATGTTCACAAAATGACTATGTAAAAGAAACAGATACTTTAAAAATGATTTTTAAAGATATGTATTGTATAAAAAGAAAAATAACTTAAGCATACATTTTCTAATACAAAAATATGATAAACTTTATTTCAAGCTGAGAATTAAATTTGATTTTCCATGCTCTAACCTTGGACTATATAATTCTGCATATTTGTCTAAATGAAAAAGTTTGATATTTTAATCATCTAGTATATAAATCTATAATCATCATATAACACTTACGTAGTTGTAGTGCTCAAAGAAGTTTGAGGCTGACTGCTAACAGCAGCAATAGGACCACCTGATGCAACCCCGGAAGCTGGAGTAGTTGTAGATGATGGTGCTGCTGTTGTTTTACCCATCATAAGCGTTGAACTAGTAGAAGCAGGCGTAGTGCCTCCTAAAGTAAATCCAGAACCCATTGGTGAAGCGGTACTTCCTAAATTAAATCCACTAGCTGTAGATGTGGTTACACTACTCAAGTTGAAGGAAGGGGTTGCAGCAGCTGTGCTTCCTAAATTGAAACCTGATGCAGTTGTTATAGGAGCACCCATATTGAATCCCATGCTGGTGGTTGTGAGTGAATTTGTAGTAGAGGTTGCAGCACCAGGTCCATAACCTTTATGATGAATTAAAGAAAATTTAGTAGGTAGAATAGTCTTGCTTTCACTGATTGTTATTAAAAACTTACCACCACCCAAAGCAGTTCCAGTAGCAGATGTAGTTGCAGGGGCACTTGCTCCGAAACTGAAACCTCCTGTATTGGCACTTGATGCACCGAAACTGATTCCAGTGGTCGGCGTCGCTGTATTCTGAGTTTTGTTAGGATCGACTCCGAAATTCATGATGATTTATTCAAATAAAGAAATTGGCGCTTTGAATTATACGATAACGGCGGCTTCGACGCAAATACACTCAATAGTTTGTGTTCTTTTTTATAGGTTAGAAAACCAAAGCTTCCAGTTTTTAGGTGCGCAGTTGCGGACTATACATATATAGCTCATTTCTTTTTTTAAATTTAAATTGTAAAAATTTTATTCAAGATATTGGCATAAAAAGTCACGTTATCTACCGAATAAATTATAATTTTTTATTTTGTTTGTAATTTTTTATTTTGTTTGTAATTTATTAAATTATTTAAAAGTTTATACGCAATTATGTTGTATGAATAGCTTCGGTCAGAATGTGTAAAAAAAATTAAAAATTATGACGTAAAGAACTATTTTAATTATATTTTATTTTATTTTAAAAGCTGTTAAAAAAATATGTCAAAAAGATGTCATTATGTATATGACCTTGTTAGTCATCACAAGCTTGCATCAACTAAACATATTTTCAATTATTAAAAAAGAATGCACCATTACGTAAATAATGCCTAAAAATATTCTTTATTACAGTACAGCAAACATAATTTATATTAACATAACTTTTATTTGTGCCCTTGGTTATCAATAACCGAAATTAGACGTAATAAAATATTTTAATTCATGAAACCGACAAAAACTTATAGTTTTACCGATCGTTAATAAAAACTATGTCATCTTCTGATGTAAATATAGCTTGGCGATTCAAATTATATAGTGGTTCTGAATAAGAGCATGAATCGGAATAAAATAATCGTTGAAACTTTTTATTTATATTGTAAATAGAGTAAACGGATTTCGAGGAAGCAATGAATGATCGTTAAACGTGCATTTTCATAGATGTATTTATAAATACACGTATAAGTATACAGTTCATGCATATATATATATATATAAATACTAAGAATTATGTTTGGCCTAACAGCTAATCGAGCGTCGCGCTCGTTTCTAACGATAAAAAATTTTTTTTGATTACGTCGTATATAATGTATAAATGTCACCTATATAAAATCATTAAATACATATACACATACACTATGTGGGGGGAATAGGGGGTCGAGAAGGAAAATAAATTACAATTTATCAATACTGCGCTTTTGTATTACAATGATTAGCCGTTGAGAAGCGAGATCTTGCTCGCTCGACTCTTTCCCCAACATGGTAAGTACGATTAACCATGGGTGGGAGCATTTATTCACTTTTTTTTTTCATTTTTAAATATTTTTTTATTCATGCGCAAGTGGACACATTGATGACTGCTTTGTATTTTTATGCTCCGTAAATTCTGATCAGCTCAAAAGACGAAATGACATTCATGTTATCCAAGCGCTAAGTCGAGTTGCGTGATTATACATTCATCTTCTACTATATTTTTTTGTTTTTATCAATCTTATGTATGTGTAAACGTCGGACGATTCGTTTTTGTAAATCCTACGAAATGTTTAATTTTCATTTTGTTACGATTATGTAAGGTCGAACACACATTTTTTTGCACACATTTACGAGTTTTCGTCAAAGATAAAATCATATACAATGCTACTATTTTAATGTAGCGTTGCTTATGTATAAATAATTGTTTGAAAAAAGGAGAAAAAGTCTGCAGTCTGCGTAAGTCAAGATTGGAATGGACATTTAAACGATCGATTACTGCAAGGCTTTTATAAAATATATATATACACGATTACGAATGTAAGTACGTTGAGAAGTTAGATAAGAAAGAAACAAAGAACGCGAACATACAAAATGAAAAACTCGGAATTATGTACATTTGGCAATTATGCGACAGTTTAAGTGCTGTTGTTCAATTGATCTACAACGTAACGAAACCCTTTCGAATCGAACACAACGAAAAAAAGAGCTGTCAATCGAACGTACGATCGGCATTTCAAAACTGGGTTATAATCGCGGAGGAATTGGACGTATCTTTCAAAATCCTCTTTTATCTTGCATCGGTTTTCTTCTTAATTGCAGACATGTTCCTCGCGCGTATGCCGACACATATCGCACTTGACGTCGCAGCACCAGACAAATCGGCAGTTGCACTTCTCCACTACGTCGCGTACGCGAGTCTGGTATCCCCTGCCGCAGCACAGCAATCGGCAGCCGTCTAGTCCGAGACTTGTGCGGTTGCATATTCGGCCTCGTGTTCCTGGGATGCCAAGTCTGTAAAAGAAGAGAAAAGAAGAAAACGACAAGCGAATGAACAATGGCTCGACTTCCAAATAAAATTCCTTCGCTCTCGATTTGGAGCTTTTCAAACTCATCTACTCTTTCAAGCTGTAACGTTAAAATTGGAAAGCAACTCACGTCAAATTGCGCTCGCAATAATCCGGACTGTCATCCAAGTAAACGAGATCGGTCTTGTTGGGTCGTTTGAGCTCGGGTCTAGCGGGCTTGAGTCGCGCGGGTCGTCGGCTTCCACGTTGAGCCAATCGTACCAAAGACGCGCCTTCGTGAAGTTGAGCCAAGGCGGTACCGGCTGCTCGAAAAGTTGGTAATTTACGCCAGCACACTCGCACGCTGCACGAGCCGGACATACCTGGCGAAATAAAGAAAATTAAGTTTGCCTAATGTAAATTCTGAATTGATGAAAAGGTTTCGAACGATTGTAAATTTTTTGAAAAAATATTATGTTTTTAGGAAAAAAAAATTTATTCATATCATATAAAACATATTACATTTTATGTTGTATTTAAGTTATATTTGTTTCGAATATAAAAAGATTGGCAGCGAACCATATTTCTCTCAGTTCAGTGACTAGAAGATTAAGATCACTTCGTTCTGTGTTAGTTTAGTCACGATTCATGACAATGAATCTGTCAATAATAATTATAATTATTTTTAGTGGACAAATCTTAGATAAAAATTTATAATAAACTATACAATACAGATAAAAAAATGTTAATACGAATACTTTTATGATAACGCTACAATGGAATACATGGATCATAATAAGAACTTTAGTTCTCGCCGATTAATAAAAAATGCTTTACTTCACGTTTCACATTTCTAGATACATATTCCATATAGTCTTTACAATCATTATATGCGTCAATCAATTGACATTTTTTATACTTTTAATAAAAAAATAGCGTAAATATCTTGAATATTGTATAATTAGATTAATTAAACAGATAAATAAACAAATACATTGTAACGTATGTGGCCATAAATAATCGTCAATAAATTAGAACATCACAGAGTTATTACAATATAAACAGTTTGATCTAATTAAATAAGAGTGTATTACTTAATGTAAAAAATCACACTGAGTTAATCAATTGTTTGTCTATCATCGATTAACTGCCACATGGCGAGAAAGTATGTCGATTTAAGATACACCTTCTCAGAGTTCTCAATAAATATTCTACATTGTATCTTAAGCCCGTTTATTTTACAATAATTGGCAAACAACATCATATCGATAACGTTCGTTGGCGTTAACTCCGTTACCATCAAATCTTTGCATTTTTCTGGAATTTCAGCGACAATATACATGCAAACCAAGTTTTTGGCGTTTCTTTCAACCATTCCCCAAAGATTAAGATAAAGCTTTGGATCGATGAAGATTACTCTGGCTTCTCTGATCATGCATCTGCACTTTCTCCCCAAAACCTTCATGTCGTAATTATAAGAAAACACTAGATTGTAGACGACGTTATTCCACATCAGTCTTTCGGTAAGCGAACACTCGCAGATTTTCTTCAAATTGGTCAACTTGTAGAAGTAAGCCAAACTTGCTAGCTTTTCAGCAAGTAAATGCAAGTTTGTAACTCGACCGCAATAAAGGAATCGCAATAGCTGGAACAAAGTTTTCCTATCAGCGTCTACAAGAATGTCCGTGTTGTCAACTAGAATTTCAGCGAAAATATTGCTGTTGGTAGTGAGGACGTCGCGTTGAGCAAGTATTGTTACGCCGTCATTAGCAATCATCCGCACCATTTTCGAAGGCATGCTTGCTGTGGATGATACGTAGATATATAAAACAATGAGACTAAAACACCGTAATTGTATCGGAACTCGCTTTGTCAAATTATGCATAAAATATAATATCTAGCTAATTTTATTTGTTATTTCGAAAAAAATAACAATTAGACCTTCTGTTTTATATTTGATCTTTAGAAAATAACTAATCGCTATATAATAATTGAGAATATTTAAATTGTATTATTTTTTTTCTAGAGCAAATTCGTTATATTTCATACCAATTGCATTATCCCTTATTACTCTGAATACTTCTAGGATTTAGCTGCGAACCGGTGATTTTACAGCTCAAAAATATTCTTGATAAAAATCACTTTCATACCTGTAAAATTTGGAAAGAATGCATTTTCCTCTCCATTCGATATGTCATCCATCAACATTTTTTTTATAAAACCGAACCTTTGTCCCTGTCCTTATGAAAATCTATAACCCGTTAATAGTCATAATTATATCATAAATTCACGACAGATGGTTAATTTAAAACAAAAATAGTTTGATAAATATTAAATTTTTACTTAACTTCTTTTTACTTGACTTTTCGAATCACTGCTTTTCAACACATAAGCTAACATTCGTGTAGGTTGGAATTGGTTTAATGAATATATTAAATTTATTAAATTAAAAAATAAATTAACTTTAAAAATCCGAATACAAATATGATTTCTTCATTCACCTTAATTCGTCTAGCACTATGATTCCATATATTACATATAAAACAAGCAAGCAACAACAATTTTCTGTCAAAATTAACAATTGAGTTTCACGACGAAAGATAGTGCGGTATATAGTGTAGTCAGTATGGCTTGAGTTTTTATTTGCCAACCGGCTTTGGCGTTAGTGTACTTCTACAATTGAATGACAACAAAGTGACAATTTTCTTCAATTAAATACGATAACTGAATGAGTTACCGAAAATAAAACCACCAAAAGACGTACGCGTTTCTTGAAATATTTAGGAACAATACATACGAATGAATAAATTAATAAATGAAATAATTAAAATGCAGATGCGGTTGATAATTGTGGATTAACTTAAAAAATGATAAGAGCTAATGCACCAATGCGAGCGCTTACTACTGGATGAAAATTTCGCTGCGTTGCAAACGTGCATAAGGCCCCGGTCCCATAGGTACGTACGGATGCGGACGGATACGGACGCGAATCGCAACTCTAGTAACATCACTAAAAATATCTAGTTCGATTATTTAGTACCAACACTACCGGTAGTGAGCAAAAGTGACTGTTGTTTAAAACTGTAGCGCCGAACGTACCATATTTAATGAACGCCTATCTAACCTTTACATTATTGCAGTCAATAAGATGGCAAATGATAGAGAATTGATAGACTTTCAACTACAATTAGTGGAATTAGGCCTTAATTTTATGGAAGTACTTGAATATATGAGAAGAAGAAAATATATATAAATGATATCTATTAATCATCCCAAAAACTTTTTTTACATTAGCATACTCATCAATAAGCAATATTCATGAAAATTTGAAAAGTAAATTGTAGACCTGACATTTGAACATTAAATGTGCGCGCGGCAAACTATACGCAGATTTTTGAATCTGAAATATTGCCGAATAAGCGCTTGGTTCCATCTTATGTCAGAATTTAATGCTGGGATGCTATCGATATAAATGTATCCGGTTGCGCAGAGGCTCTATTGCACTTATTGCGCAGTTGCAGTATAGAGCCCCTGCGCAACCGGATACATTTAGATCCCACGATCCCGATCACAGAAAATTGAATTGCGAATAATCGAATGACCCAAATGTACGTTTATCATCATATCAACAAGTTTTCATCGGAACGCACGTAATCGAAATTTCCGTGACATACTAACCGTGACATTTACAAACGCGCTGCATCCTCGAGCGAACTGCGCGTCTCCCGGCTTCACTGTCGTGTCGCCTCATGAGAAGACCGGCCAGGCCTTCGGGCCCTTGGATTTCACCTTCCTTGATCGGTTCTTCACCAGCTTCTGACCATTCGCGTGAAAATTTCTCGCCAAAGTGGATGTCCTGTTGGGTAAGTAATTTTTCATTTTTAATTTTATAAATATCCCCACATATTTTCACAACGACGTAAACTTCAAAATTATTTTTATGGTGGAATTGCGGCTATTGTAGTGCATTTTGTTGCTTTCTTATTCGCACGCAGTTCAAAAAAGAGAGTCAAAGATTTTGCATTCCTGTGTTTACAAATCTTGTTTTCTCAGGATCATCCGAGGAAACCCAGTTTCTGGTTGTGTGCATACGACCACAATGTATATATATATATATATATAATGTACCTACGTACCGGAGAAGCGCCCAGGCAAATTCAAGTTTCTCGCGCGTAACAAGGGATATCCCTGCGAGATCCTTCTGCCGTTTGTATGACAATGTTTGTCTTTGTTTTTCTTTTGTATAGCACATATATTTAGGATTTTTTTTTCACCGATGTCAACCGCTTTTTTTCTAGTCGGATACTTTTAATTCAAGACAAGATATTTAAATTCCTGCGAGTTCATCGAAAATATGTAGCTAAAGTTTCTTTTTCTCTCGATCGAAGTGCATTATTCACTTTTATAATTACTTTTTTTCACGATAAATTAAAAAAAAAACACGTACGCTTGTACCAGAACGAACGTGAATTTGGAATTGTTGCAGGCTTGCATTCGCTTGGAGAAAAACGTAAAAAGTCACCGAGCGTCACGAAAATCCGAGATCAACGGAAGAAAAAGTAAATGAAAAGTCCAAGTGAATTTGTGCGCGAACGCGTAGGTGAGAGAGCAACTTGTGAATATATGTATATTGTTGTCATGTACACAGAAAGCGGATGCGTTTCGCGTGAACAGGTGACCCCTTGTAGACATCGCCAGCTTACAAGAAGATTAGATGGGCAGCTAAGCTTGTTAAGTTACGACAACCTTCCCCTCTGTGTATGTGTATGTGTGTGTGTGTGTGTGTGTGTGTGTGTGTGTGTGTGTGTGTGTGTGTGTGTGTGTGTGTGTGTGTGTGTGTATGCGTGTGCGTGTGCTTCTTTTTCAACGCAACGATCGCCGCGCGACCGCAAGCCTGTGCGCAGCAAAGCCCATTACACAATGGGACGGCACCGATCGAATGCGACCATTCTTGGCGTGCTGCTTTTCAATACACAACTTCTGTCAGCGTATCCAGAGCTTTAGTGCCAAGAGCTCCCCTGAGCCTTTCCATTGCATTTTTTGCGTTTTGCAATTTGGAACGTTTGGTCCTGCGTCGCGCGCACAATTTTACCGAATGGCATTGCGGTGCAGTTCGGTATTCCCAGAGCAAACAATTGCATGCGGTTGAAAGCTCAAACGATCGAGATGACAATTTCAAATTTATTTTTTTTCTTTATAGTTCATTATAGCTCATTTTACTTATTTGTTTCTTTAAATATGTAGACGTATACTGTTTTAGGGTGAAATATTTTCGTTTGTATTGCAATAACACTTCGCTGCATACGATAAGTTTCATAAATTGTACATTTGAAGATTATACTCGACCACTTAACAGAGCATTATTTAAAAAACTGCGCGATACTCAATCTCTTGGTCAAGTGCTCGTAAATTCACGAGATATCAATCGCTGCCTTATCAAGAACAATCGCAAGTTCAAGAGTAAGCGCTGCGTGAAAGAGAGTCAGGTAAAGCGAAAGCTCAGTGGGTATATACATGACGTTTCTCGCGCGTGCACGGCAACGCGGCTTACGCACCGGTAGCGAGCGTTGCGGTCTTCTGGGTGAGCTTTTACCTCTCGACGAGATAAGTCTTCCGTGGTCGTGTGTGCGCGAGCTATTGAAATGCATACGACGAGCAGAAGGCTCGACTTCCATTCCAGGTAAAAGCCTTGCTTGTCATTTTTTTTTTGTTTCTTTCTTCTCTCTCTCTCTCTCTCTCTCTCCTCCTATTTTTTCTATTTGAGCATTACAAGATTATCAGGGGTTTCAGCAATTGTTCCGAGAGCTTTCAGTGTAAATACAAGGGACCCGCGCGCTCCTTTTAAGTTGCGGCGACATGATATTTCTCGGAAGTTCTCTGTATGAATTCTGGGCGCTGTCGTTGGGTCAGTCGTCACGATCGCTCCACTTCGCACTCGATTTCATCGTCACGGCCATACGAGTAGGCGCTAAAAGAGAAAAAAAGACAAAAGCAGCCTCACCTCGCTGCATCCTCCCCATTGCCAATTGGTGGAGTGCTGCCTCGTCCTGATGCGATTGTCGCAGGAGCACTCGGTGAGCTCGCCCCTCGAGCAAGCTCGCGTCACGCTGTAGGCGACCCCGGCCGCTGATATCGCGTGTACGAAGGCCGCCTCTCGGCTGTCTGGAAGAGCGCAAAGAGTTTGGTCGAGAGACGCGTCGAGCGACAGAACGATGGCGGTTACTTACTGACTAACATGACACCGCCAAAAATATTGTCGGCGCTGTCGGGATCGACGGTGCAGTTCCATCTGGATAATTTGAACTGGTGCTGGCATTCCTCGATGGCCAGTCGCGCGCCTGCACTGATCGCCTGTCGAGCAAACAAGAGGCCACGTTTCATTGCGAGACGATGAAAATTCATGAAACGTTCCCACAGCGAGTTTTTTTTTCTTTTTGAGAAGCGCACAAGCCAACCCAAACAGAATCTCAGCGTCGAAAGATTTCCGTTCGTTTCACGCTTATCTTCGAAATAATAAAAACCGCGTTTTTATGTCGGAGTCGAGTTCAAACGCGGTAGCGCGCCGCGGCTTCTTCGATTTTTATGGGCCATTTACAGCTTCCGCGCGTCGCTGACGGATTCCAGATTTCGGTCTGTAGCGAGTGCGCGTTCATCGGTAACCGTTTGTTGGCTTATTATAACTCGCTTCGAGAAGTTCGAGAAAGTGCTTACTTTAAGCCGAATTGGAATACCCAACTCGAAGTCGGCGTTCGGATACTTATTTCAATTGGTCCAGCTGTTTAGCGAACGATACAATAGCTGTGCTATTCGTTGTCTTGGTAACGAAAAAAATATGGTTTTGGCTTCCCAGCGGTAAATAACTACTTTTTTACGGATTACGCATACGAATAAGAATTTCAACCTCTATTTAAACTCATGTGAAGCAAATTAAAATACTTTTCAATAATCCAATTTAATTGAAAGATTCAAATTAATAACTTTTAAATATTATTTAATTTTTTTCAATTTCAATGACTTAGAAGTATTTATTGTGAACAACAATCACAAAACGATGAAAATTCGTAATGGAAAAAGAACCGGCAGAAAAGATAAAGATGGAAGCTTTTGTATAATTATTAATGAAAACCTGTTTTGTCACAGGATGTCGAAAGAACTATAAATCTATTTTAGCAACACTCTTCATCTCAAGTTTTCCAAAAGTAAGTTTCGTCGCTCTCTCTCTCTCTCTCTCTCTCTCTCTCTCTCTCTCTCTCTCTCTCTCTCTCTCTCTCTCTCTCTAAAACAGATCAGCCTTTTAAAGATTTTGCAAATTTTACACCGACAAGTTCAGATAATTTTAATGTCCAAGTTTTCAAGAACATCAATCCTCGAACAATTTTCCGATTATAATTAATCTCTCCATGAATTGTAGATAGTAATGAAACTAGAAAAAAGAAAGAAATGAAAAATCACGTAAAAGTGCAATACCCCTTGAAAGCATCGCCTCTGAGAACACAGAAAATCTATATAGAGGACGATTCCTAATCCCTAAAGTGAGATCTGTCCCAGTGAGCCAGAAAAATCAATTCGCATAAAAGAAAAGTGCTGGTACTCCAAGTAATAGGCAAAAAGGCATACACAGTCTCGGACATTTTTCAAAGGCTCAACGGGGTTGACTTTCTTTCTCGCTCACTTTCGTCGGTTAATCATTGCCGCAAGAACCGCGCAGAGAAGCAATCCGATTAGTACGGTTTTCCTCGTTTACGTTGCTGCTTCTGTATGCTAATTGCCATGACGCTCGATCGTTACGCTAATTGCTATTCCCTTACCGTCTGTGCTTCATTGGTTATATGGTTATAGTAGAGATTAGTTCGTCTAGATTTTCAATGTTTCTTTTTGCTCATACAGTACTGAAGCTTTGAAGTGACAGGTAGGTGCTTTCTTTCTTTGCTCAAGCCTTTAATACCATGAAAACACTTTTTGAATAAACTTTGAACGATTTCTATTGTGTGTTTTAGCATGATAATACTAATTATTACATTCTACGATTTTCTCGCAAATAATAGAAGTAACGGTACATTTTCATTGTTAAGAACTTGGAAATAAAGCTCAGCCGACAGTTGTCGTTTGCTCCACATGGGGAACATTGTGGTGGTGTAGCGCGATGAGATGGTTCATCGAAAGCTTAATTGTACAAATCTTGAAAAGAAAGTCCATATGCATGTGCGATTTGCTCACCTGTAAAACTGGCGGCGCTCGAACGCAAATAACCTGCTGCTTGCTCGTGAGATGAACGTTCTTACAATTCCTCTCGGCGCTCGCTGGTCCGATCACTCCAGCGCCAATTTGCGCCGGCACATCCACTCCTACGTCGTGACCTGCGTGGCTTATTATCCTCTGCTCGATACCCAGAAACCTATCGGTGAAGGAGGGAAGATAAAAACAAGAAACGTGACATTCAAATCAATTTTCTCGAGCGCAAAAGAGAGAAAACGAACGAAACGAAGGTACAGAGATTTATCGGTTCATCGCGAGATATCCGGCCGCAATTAATAAGTATAAAAGCCGCGGTGGAATATGCGCACGGCGTGGGTCAGTAATTAGGTATGCAGCCGAAGCGGCGGGCTATAAAGGCCAAAAATTACACAGCGCTTCGCTCAAATTACAGCTCTACGTGGACGAGAGAGAGAAAGATATGCCGAACCGGTTGCGAAGGATGAAGGATACTGGCCGCTCGTTGCTACTGCGGTAGCGATACGATAAAAATTCAATCGGCTATTTCTCTGCGGAGTGGTGTATAGATGCTCTTTGTATAGATAAGTCAGCTACTGCTTTTGCGGGATTGACCGTTTCTTTTTCCTGCTGAACAGCTGGTTCAGAGATTTTATTTTATTACGTGCTTTCGTCTGTTTTTTTTTCTTTTTCTTTAGCATTCGAATAAAAATGTATGTTACTGACGAATAACATCGTTCAAAATTTTATCATGTTTGCGAAACGATCTTGACGATTTTCAATGTATCGAACGATCGTGAGACTCATTATATGAAGGAATAAAACTTCGATCGTATACTAGTAGTACTTGATTTTGATCGGTTATCGAACATACGTTAAATAATATGTTATCAATATCAACGTATTCCAATGTTAACCCATCAAATCGGATAAATTATAAGTATACGTGATCAATTTCAATGGCTTATTCAATATAATTTATTAATTTTAATCATTAGTTACACTTATACCATCAAATCATTCATAAAAACATTTTATAGCGAAAAGTATTTTAGAAATGTATAACTAATTACACATTCGTTGTAAAAGGCAATGGTAGCAATTAAAATTAAATAGTGATAAAAGAAAAGGGAGATGTGAAAAAATGATTGGAAAAATATGGTGCTCGTGGAAAAAAAATCCATAATTTTTTTAACCAATAACCGTAGTTTGAAATTCTGGAATTTGCTTTATGATTAAATTCTTAATACAAAGATTTCCTTTTAATCATATTTTTAAGCACAGCGATGTTTTGCGCAATTAAGAAAGACGCTATCAAAGGGAAATTCTTTTGCATAATAAATACGACAATTCAAAACAAGTAACAAAATGAATTTTCATTGTACGCGCTTTCAACGAAATCTAATATAAATTCTAACCAACGAACATCAAAATCAACATTAAATTAATTCTGCTGTTAGTCACAGTTAATTAAGAAAAACTTGGTGTCAGAATAAATGTCTTGCGCCATAACTTGTCTGCACGAATGAGTCGGTAATGAACGTGCAAGATGTGACATCCGCACAGAATAGTTGTAAGGATAGTTTCGATAAGTAATTTACAAAGTTCTTTTTAGAACGACTTATGAAGTGGAAAATGAATGCGTACTAAATAACAGAACAACTCTCTGAATTTGTGATGAAAGTTACTCTGATGAAACAGCATAACAAAGTTTTTTATAAACATAATGATATATTTTTCCAGGCTCATGCGTACACGGAAAGTGATAGTAACAGGCACTTTAATGAAAACTCTAAGAACGCTGTCGAAAGAAAAAGAAGAAGCTATAAGAAAAGCACAGCTCATCGTATATTGCGTCACGGGTAAATTATCAATTTAACGAGTATGTAAATGATATTCGCACTGAATGAATAAAACCTTTCGAAAATGTGAAAAATCTTGTGGTAGTTCAATGCCGTACAAAAATCTCCGTTTTCAATGAAAAGCTACGTAGACGGCCTGGAGAAAGATGAGAATTCGATTGAGCGCGCAAGTCAACGTGAAGCGCGTAGCCAGCACGCGGCTCTTTCACAGTGATTAACGATCATTTTCTGGATTTCTCCGCGCGCCAGCGTAGTAGCGTCGAAATTTTACGGCTTAATTTTCGGTTTCGCGCACTCTTGAATTACGAGCCGAGGTTGCGCGCGTGATTTTTAAATGCCACACTGCGGCGACCCCTCGCGAGATATTAATTCGAGAAAGTTTCGCTTCGGTAAACGAAGTAGCGTCGTTAAAGTGTCTATCTGTGACGCTAATAAACCGTGGATTTATCGAAATACTTTTAACGATACGAGTGTACTTTGTTCGATGAAGCTTTCAACCAGGAGGTAATTAAGAAACACTTTGGCATGTATTAATGACTATTAATCTTGCGACTTTGAAATTGAGACTAATTACGTCGAGAGCTTTGCGATCGCTCCGAAAGTTTTGCGCTAGAGTCGAAGCGCATACGGCAAATTTCTATCACAAGTCGCGAAAATAAATCCTGCGATCCGTCTCTCAGATCCGTCGAGAGTTAGCTTATCTACGAAATTGCTTTTTATTTATAATCCATTGGAAGATGAGTAACTCGAAAGCACTCAGTTGGCGTTAAAGGAATATATCGAAAAGACCGTAAGAAAATGAAACTTGTCACTGCTTTCGAAATCGCAGCTTTTATATGACACCGTTGGATTTTAATATTTATCTACTTCTCTTTACAAATACTTATGTTTATTAGGAGATTAGCTCACATCGAAAATTATCGCATTTTTCCCCTTATCGCGAGGTACAAAGTTAATCTTCTAAATCATTGCGTTTCTCTCGATTTCCCATTTGAAAAAGCGCGATATGTTGGACGGGGCAGTTACATAGATTTTGATTGAACGGTTGGTGCGTTTATTCATTTTAGAAAGATTTATTGGCTGATGGAAGATTGACGAGGAAAATACAAAATTCTTATACAGAATGTATCAAAGATTATGACTTTAAATAATTTTATGAGAAATGTCTACATTGCGAATATAACACAAAGATAAAATGGAAACGGGGCATCTTAAGTATCAAGCCGAAGACCACTTAATTAAAAACTCGTGTATTCGTGAAACTTGCGACTCTCGCGAGAAATTCAAAGAAATCCAAAACCGAATCTTCCCCCTTCGCGTGTACACTCGGAATAGAAAAAAAAAATAAATAAAAGAAGCATGCCGGCACAAAGCGGAGGGATTTCAACGGCGGCCTCGACTGCAATTAGTATAAGGTTTGTATCGCTGCTCCCTGTTGACGATACGGCTGAGCTGCCACGCAAATAAGGAGCAGTCGCACACATACATATACATACACGCATTGGTGGAAATCAATATTGCGCGAAAATCCTCGGCGCTGTGTATGTGCCCGCAAGATTTACCATTTGTAATGACGGGCTGTTAGTCCGTTGCGCGCAATCCTCCTACTGCGTCGATCGAAAAAGCTACTTTGACGGATAACTGCGTCGGTATCAAGTATGATGTCTTCATCAAAATAATTTGCACTTGACGCGCCGGCAAAAAACGTTATCTCTCTCATTCTCCGGAAGATCTCGTCGAGTTTCGTAATTGGCCGCGATCGAAGCCCGGATCGTTCATATCGCGATTGATTGCACCTTGCGCGCGGCGAAGCCCCCCCCCCCCCTGCTCGGACAATTACGTTGCCGTGCGCGGTGTATCGCGCGAAAAAAACGAGCGCCTCGCGATTATCTCGCTGGTCAAACAACATTGTAAAGAGATAATGAAATTCCTAGAGAACGACTTGCGTCGTATCGTCTTAACTGTAGAATTGCAGTCATTGGAGCCCTCGCGCCGAACAAGAGCAATCTCCGTATTTTCACATTGGCGCATGCCGCGGAAGCACATCTGTTCTTGCCCGCTCTGTTCGGCGTTCGCGACGTTCGCTGAGCTTTTACCCCGCGAGTCATCGAAGATGCTGCCACTTACCGAAGCCCAAGTTTCCTTGGGTAAAATACGTCTCATAAAATTATCAAACTACGTAACCAAGAACGTGCAAGAAATATATATATTTACATATGTTGTTTTCTCCACATAGGCAAACGATCACACTAATGCTAGATTCGGTTGCTCGTTGATAGGTGTTAGTTTTATTTACTCCAACGTTATTATCTATCCGTGGCATATCGTACGATAGCCTCCTCTTTCCACTCGATTTTAATTCGTCATTTTAAGAGTCTTGTCTATTTGTTACCCATCGTCCTGATTTGCACAAATTCCATTGAGCGCGCGTTCGGTAATAATTTCACATGGTGACGATACATTTAATGGCTTTGCTCGTTAACGCGTTGCTAGCAGAACGCTGCCGTGCTTAGAGAAATGTTCGACAAAATAAAGAGGCAGTCCCGTCATGCATCGCTGAAACGTCCATTCGAGCTGCGCACGTGCACCGATGCGTGCTACATACACCGCCAGTGTCTTTCGATTTGCCAAGTCAGCGGATATCGTATGCGACAATTTTTAAGAACTCCGCCGCAAGAGGCGTACGGTTACTCGGATTCGATGTAATTTTGTTAGACTAAACTATCGCGATTCTGCGCCCGTTGAAATATTCCATCGTCGAACGAAGTTGTTCCCTTAAAAAAGAAAAAAAAGAAAAAAAAAAAAGAAAAAATGTGAAACGCAGAAACAATCGGCAACGATGTAATAAAGGAAAAAAAGAAAGAAATGATCAAAGCTCGCGAGACAAAAGCACCCGCATCTGGCGGCAGTCCGCGTGCGCGAGAATTGTATTTATTATATGTACACGACGAGCGGAGAGGGTGGGGGGTATCGTGTTGCTCGTCATAAACCGCCATTGTACGGCTGACAGCGATAGGGCCCATTTGGGCCTCGCCCCGCTAGTTTCGTTGCTCCTCGGCTCGACAACGTCGCCGCCACTCTTGATTAGCTCGGACTTTATTTCTGCGCTGACTTTTTAATAAACGATTGCCTTACGAGAAAAAGGCATATTGCTCTTTCCTGTGCTTTCGATCGACCTTTGGGCAATCGCGGATAGCCGAGCAGACGCATCGAAGGCGCAACCATAAGCCGAGGGACATTGAAATAACGTAAAAACAGTTTCAAGACGTAGACTGACGGCGGAAGGAGACGAGCAGCAATGAAAACGTAAGAAGGAAGCCTT